CGATGGCTTTTTTTTATCTTCCTTATATAATATTAAGGCATAGAAACTGACAATTTTCTGACAATAATCGTTGCCTCGTTACATATTGAATCATATGAATTATCATTGATAAATACGGCTCTTTTCTTCCTGCTCCCAACGTGTTCTTTTGAGTTAAGTATGTTTATTTTTTTAATTAAAAGCAATTATAGGTAATGCTTAATCATTAAAGCGTTATCTTATTTTGAAGATCTTTGATCAAACACCACCTCGAGAATCAGAATTTGCAAGTGAATTTTCATGAATTTTATGTAGCAAGTTCCGTCTTGGTGTCAAGGTTATCCCTGGGCACGCCTCGCAACTTTCTGGGATCATGAATGCTTGTAAAATTGCAATTGTACTGCGAAATTTTCGTGTTGTGTTGAATAGGATACAATCATCACTTTTTCGAGATCTTCGTACATTTTACGTTGAGTATACAAATTTTTATCTTTTTCACGAATGAAGCACGGCAGTCCTAATTGTATTTTTTTCTAAAATAATTACTCATATGATTATTTGTTTGCGTGTGCGACTTGATTATGTCGTCGCCTAGTATTTGTTTCTCTAGCGCTGTGCTGGCATTTGGACGACTGTCCTAATTGTATATTTTTCTAAATAAACACTCGTACGATTATTTGCGTGTGCGACTTGATTATGTCGCTGCTCAGTATTTGTTTCTCGAGCGCTGTGCTGGCACGTGGCCGATATTGAGGAGGTATTCTGAGCAAGCGTTGGCACCCTCCACCTGCCGCAGCTGCCCACCTGCAGCAGGAGCACCACGCCCTGCGCTCGGGTGCCTGCAGTGCTGCGCTCGGGCCCTGCTTCGGCGTTCGGTCCTCCCAAGCTCTGGCTTTTAGTTAACAAATTTCCGCATTCCTCAATTTTCTATACATCAGTTTTAGTGTGATTTTCTATTCAGAGTTAGCTGTGTGCTTAATTGCTTGTTAAGTGCTCTCAGCATTGCATAGAGAACTTCTTTGTCTTTATTTTCCTCTAAATTATCTTTAATAAGTTTGATTTTACAGTGTTCAAGAGATAGTTTTAGTCTAAAACGAGCTTTGCAAAGCTACAAAGTATTTCTTTCCATTGTTGTTCATTTGCCTGAGTCCTGACTATGCCAATTGCTCAGTTTTACTTTCAGAGAAATTGAACGCAGCAATCTCAATATTTTTGGCTGTTGAGTAGTCACAAATTTATCATGCTTTTTTTACTTACTTTTATTCGATTTTCCTTTAATTTCTTCACATCAACCCTGAGTATCGCTTTTTCAAAAATCAATATATTTGCTAATTAGCTTTTGTGCCCCGTTTAATTCATAAAATGTACGAAAATAGCAAAATATTGTTTTCATCATTCGTTCAGAAAATCTTTTATTGATCTTGACTTTATGACTTTGATCTCATCGGTGCTCAGTTTTCATTGTGAACTAATGCTCATAATTGTTAATGATATTCGTTTGTATATTCAATTATGTAACAATTTAGGTATTTGCAAAAAAAAATCGGTATTTATAAAGAAATAATCTTTTGTTATTCAGCAGTGCAGATTTTACATACTACAAATTTATGAACAATGTTTCGATTCGACAAAGTAAACTCTAAAATGGAAATAAAGCCTGACAAGAAAAGGACTACTAATTTAGCCAAAGAGGCTGAAAAAATATCTGCCGATTTTGACGAGTTTCTGAACAATTTGTTTGGTGGTAAAGTTTTGTCCAAGTTTTCTAAGTTTGGAAAATCCAATTCTATTCCTTCGGTTGGTGCTTCCGTATTTTCGAAAGATTACAGGAGCTCTTGTTCTGAAAAGCTTTCTAGAAGTGAATTTTCAAAATCATCATTCGGACGATCCACATCCTCCGTTTCCGAAGACCAGGGGCTAAATTATGGAAGGTCATCATTTGGGACTGGGACCTACCATGACCAACAATCGCCTGAATCAAGAAAAAATCTACGATTCAACGAGCGCGTGTCGACTTCAGAAAGCATTGGAGGCGGGGAAATAATCGAAGAAAAATTGCCTAGTGTTGTCTCTGGCATTGCGCTCTGGGAAAAACGGTCTTTGAAAGATCCTCCTTTGAACCCCAGTTATAATAGAGCCCATGGGAGCTCCTCCATTTCCGTCACTTCGAAAAACTATTTTTCAACTGTTGACGAACAAACTCAAGAACACAGGACACCTTTTCCTGCAATGCCATTACCGATGTCCAACGCTGAGTTATCATACGGCAGATGCACAAACTCGTCGTCTACTGTTGTCACCACTTCAAACTTGTCAACGAGCAATTCTCCTTTTCTCGACTCGTACCGTCGAGTTATGTCTCCGGTTGGTGAGAGTCTGTCTCAGTCCACAAGTCCCGTTCCTTCTAAAAGTCTCCAATCTGTGTTAACAAGTGAAAGTCGCATGGCACCTTTTAATATATCTACTCAAATCACAACAATTTACAACATCCCATCTTTAGCACATCTTCCAGATGCTTCAGAAATGACCCAGCCGAAAAATCATGTTCCGTCTAAAAACGAATTTCAGTCTCGCGAAGAGCATCAATCTTCAGAGAGTTACAAGTACGGTAGTAAAGTTGCCTCCGTTGAGCGGGTAGGTCGTTCATTTGTTGATTACAATCCAGCGTTAGACGATAAATTATTAGAAACTCGTAAGATAAAAGATGGCCCCGGAACATTGCGTAGCTCCTCCGAGCAAGAAGATTATATCGATAACATTTTACAGTCATTGCAATCGGCTGAACAACCTTCTAAGATGTCTCTTCATAACAAGTCTTTTGACTTTCTGCCTGATCGAAAATCACTGGAGAAAAGTGTGACATCAGACGCCCGATCTAAATCATTTGAGAACATCGATCGTTTTGAGACAGATGAACAACCGGTAAATGTGAGTAGTATGATATCTTACTTTGAACAACGAAGGAAACTTTCCAATACAATCAAAAGTCTATCCGAGGGCAAATTGATTGAATCACCCAATGTTCAGACGCTCAACAGGTCAAAACTTTCTGACATTCGTGTCATAAATAAAGATGACAAACACACGAGCAACCTAATTCCATCGAATAAAAAATCCGTTGAACGCCGTGAACGGAGAAAGAAACCTAAAATAAAACAAACTACTGAGATAACGATAATTAAAACAATTCGTAAGAAGGAATCTTCATCGCTGAATCAATCGTTTGATAGTTCTGATTTGTCCCACAAAAATCGGCTCTTTATCGAAGATCCAGGGCGTCGACCAGCCACATCTTTGCAGCGAGATACATCACCAACAATTTATCCTGTCAGTTCAGCACCCAGTGTCGAAAAGCCAGTATACATCGTTGAAGAAACTTCAGTCCTTGTTGAGGACTTGTCATCATCTAACCGGTCGTCTTACCTTGACGATTCTGCCTCAGCAAGCGATGCAGTTGCGAGTGCACGAAACTCAAGAATTTCAACAGCAGATGTAAGACCAAGCCCAATTGTTGAAGCCATGAATAATGTTTCGAATGTGGCTCCCGATTCTTTTGTTTTGAATGCTTTGAGTGACGAGAAGAAAGTTGATTTGCCAACCCGTACCGATTCTATTGCTGATGAAGCTCAAGAGACCTACTATGACGCCCGAAGTTCGTTGCCATGCCTCACACCTGATGGAAAAATTTACAGCATAGAGCCTCTATTTGTAATGTTAGATAGTGCAAGCCAGACAATGGACGGCAATGATCTGCAAAGTAAAGGTGGAGCTGAAAAATTACAAATGGTGGAACATTTAGAGCCCACAAGAGAAAATTCTCGACTGGCGTCCGCAATAAAAACGAACTCTCTTGCCGGAAGGAATGATTCCGTTATTAACAGAACCGGTTTGACATCTCCACTTCAGGAATCTTCTGAGTCTCTAGATTACTCAAATTCGACAAATGCACCCAGTTCAATTCAGGGATCAAAGTCTGTTGTGTCAACAAACGAAATCAGTGTAGTGATTCCCCAAATTGGAACGGATCGAAAGTGTAGTACAAATTTTTCGGCTATTGCGCTACTTCCTCTGGCCGAACCAAATTTGACAGGACAAGGTGGTATAAATATTTTTGGTTCCCTTGTCGAGAAAACTGCTGAATCAAAATCTGCAATAACCAAGCCCACTTTCGTTGATTCTTTAAAGTTGGAAGAAGAAAATGCGTCATCACAAGTCGAATTTAAGTCATCTCGAATAGAAAACGAAGAACGTATCAGCATATCGAGCATTTACTCATCTTCAAGTAATTCCGATGTTATGCGTGACAGTATGAAAGATCAAAGTTTAGATGAGATTTCAACACAGAACTCGCCTTATGTAACATCAGTCTTGAAAACTCCGACAAAAATAACTTCGGACATTACTGTGCTATCTGTTGGATTTCAAGAAAGCGCACCCACAGATAACATTAAAAGTTTTGCACCTTGCATCAGTAATATAAATGATGATCGAGTCGACTCTCATCGTACAAATTCTTCCTCCGTCGTTCCAGACGTCTCTAGAGTCACATTGTCTCCCCAGTTACCATCTTATAAGATAGAGAAAGCTGGAATTGCGTCAACTTCGACGTCATCCACCTCCATCTCTTATCAATGTCGTGCCAATGCTGATGAGCAAACAACGGTTAAGATATATGAACTTGGACGTCTAGAAACAGACGAGCATACAGGTGAAGTAAATGCGGAGCTCACAACTGAAACTTATTCATCGGAGTTTGTTATTCCTGCCAGCAGTTCTGATGCTATTATCACCGCATCTGATAACATACAAAATGTTTCAGGAATTGCTTCAACTTTGACGACGACTGCTGTTCAATTTTGTGGCAACTCTGATGGCATGCGAAGAATTGTTGAAAAGCCTGGACTTCGGAGTTATGATATCGTTGAGGACTCTACTAGAAGCGAAAGCCAGGCCATGAAATTTTTGAGGAAAACTGAGGATTCAAGTGTCAAACCTCCGTCTCATTCAATCTTAACTTCTTCTGTTGTTGCTATGGCCGTTGCTGTCCCAGATCATTCTGCTCAGGAAGCAATCGACACGGCGCCCGAGTGTGAACCTTCGGGTGGAATTGGGCCAGCATTGGTAGCTTCTTCGAACTTGGCCGTTGTTATCGCAGCTCTCACATCACCTTCCACTGAAGCAAATTCCTGCGAACCGATAGTGCCGACACAACCTGAGCTTCTACCTGAGGGTCATGCCTCAGAATCTGTAATTACATCGAACAGTAGTGATTTTTTGACTACATCGAGCCAAACATCTAAGTTTCATGCTATTGGAGTCAATTCTCAAAAATCGGTTCATATTTTTCATCCAGCCGCTTGCCGTGCAGATAGTCAAATGGTAGAAACATCAAAAACGGCTACGGTGGTTACTTCTTCTACGTCAACAACATGCGAAAAAAGCTACTCAGAGTCAGCAGAAGCAACGCGGCTCGAACTTGGATCTGAAAGTAAGCATTCTGAACGTCTCGTTTCTGCGAGTTGTGATGAAGTGATGAGCACATTGGACGATGCTCATGCGGTTGCTGAGGTTCCTTCAACTTATATGCTGACATCAGTCGTTGAGTCTCAATCTCGTGCCATGACTGATGAAAAGTCTAGAATGGCTGATATGGCTAAACTTCAACATTGCAATGTCGATGAAGGCTCTACGGAAAACCAGTGGAAAATGAATAAAATTGGGGAAACAACACTTCAATCGGGTGTCAGGCCGCCAAGCCATTCAATCCTAACTTCTTCTGTCGTTGCTATGGCCGTTGCTGTGCCAGATCATTCTGCTCAGGAAGTTATCGACACGGCGCCCGAGTGTGAACCTTCGGGTGGAATTGGAACTGCTATTGTAGCTTCTTCGAACTTGGCTGTGGTTGTTGCTGCTCTTCCGCCACCTTCCAATGAAGGCAATCCTCCCGACTCGGTGCCAGGAAAACCTGATTTGCCACCTGAAAGTCATTCCTCGGAGTTAATTAGTTCTAACAGCCGTTGTGATGTTTTAACGTCCGCATCTGATATCGCAAATGATGAGTCAATGATTGCTTCTACTTCGACATCTACTGCTTATTTTGCTGTTAAATCCCATAGCAATACTACTGGTGACGAACAAAGAAAATTTGAAATTTCTGGACTTGAAATTTATGATATCGATCAGAACTCTACCAGCCACGAGAGCCAGAGAACGAAATTTTTGACGAGTCCTGAAGAGGCGAGTGTCAAAACTCCCTCCCATTCAATCCTAACTTCTTCTGTTGTTGCTATGGCCGTTGCTGTACCTGATCATTCTGCTCAGGAAGTTATCGACACGGCTCCCGAGTGTGAACCCTCGGGTGGTATAGGGCCAGCATTGGTATCTTCTTCGAATTTGGCAGTAGTTGTCGCATCTCTTGCGTCACCTTCTAATGGGGCTAATGCCACCGACGCAACATTGCCGGAAGAACTTGAGCTCCCTACTGCGAGTCATACATCGGAGTCTGCTATAAATGAGAGTTGTAGTTGTGTTTTGACGACTACATCGGACAAAGAATCTAATCAAGAAGTTACTGGGAGATATTTGAACAGTGAATTTAATTTCAAACATTTACTGCCCTCTCAAACATCGGTATCGGCTTCTTCCTGTGTCACTCACAACGATGCTAAACGTCAAATGATGGAATCCTTGAAACCAGCAACGGCTGTCTCCTCTATCACGTCACCGACCACTCAAACAGTGGTGAAACCTATTATTTCTGAAAGCTGTACTTCGAAGTCTGATATTTCTAAGAGCATAACTGACGATTTAATGGCCAGGTCGAACAACGCACCTGATGTCCTCCATGTTACTGGAATGTATTCGAATCCTACTGCGAATTTCGGGACTTGGACACATTCTCAGACTCCTTTATTGGCTTCTCACATGGATATAGACGCGGAAGCTAAACAAATAGCCGAATATTCTGATAAATGGTCAAATTCTCAGACTACAAGGAGGGTCGAAAAATACAGTACAAAAACAATTGTAAATTCATTGGACCTACAATCTCGAATGAAATACATTGATAAGTTGCAGAGTCACTTAGTGGACAGTTCTAGTTCATCTTCTCTAAGCATATTTACATCCAAAGATGTACCATCTTTCACTCGAAGTCCTGATTCAGATTCCGAAAATGCAACTGAAGAACGAATTCAAAATCTTGGGTTACAACCTCCTGCCAAGATATGCTCAGTAACTTCTTCTGATTTTGGAAAATATCCGATCACTGCATCTTTGGTTGCTCCAGCAGCAACTAATGATGCAAGAAGACCTGATGATGACCCAACCATATCTTCAAAATTTGAAAATCAACGATATCAGTTTTTGTTTGCAACTCCCAAAGAACACATTATTTCACGGCCAACTGATTCAAAGACGCTAACCACTGTGATTGCGTCCACTGAAAAAATGCTTGAGTTAAAGTCGAACGTGAGTGTTAGTGGCGCAGTTGAACAGCTGCCAACAACTGAAGTTGCTCGAGTGCCATCGAGTTCTCTTGAAAAAAAAATTGATGCAGATCATTGTGATGTTGAACATGAAATAAAGGTGTGCCAAATCGATGGTAAAAAGGCAACTGAAGACTTCCCGAAAGATATAATTACGAATTCTTTCACTGGAAAGAAAGTGCACTTTCCCGAAGACTCTAATGAAACCCAATTATTGAAGTCGAACACGTTTTCTGAAATAGATGGTTCAACAGTGAAGACATTTTCAATCAAAACAAGCGAGATAGTCAGAAACTTCCCCACATTGACCAAGCTTCCCGATGATAAATCACCCACTGGAGATGCAGGTACTGTGGAATCATTTTCTTATGAATCTTCTGCTGCTGATCGCCAAAGCGCTCAATTTCAATCCCTAAAATTTAGGAAAAGTTTCGAGAGTAACACTGACTCCTCCGAATCTCGCTCAAACTCCCGCACTTCTCGTGAAATTTACGAAAGTAATGTTAAGCAATGGGAAGAATACCTTGAAGCTGCAGCAACCGGTAAGCTTAGCAGTGATGCTATTGTACCGAAAAAGAACAGGGGAGTGCCTGTTTTGCCTCACCCTGAAGGTTCGTTTTTGACCCCTCTTGTTCTAGAGTCTGTAACGCTCAAGCCTACTGGATTAAATAGGAATGATTCCATCGAACAGACTCAAAATGAACGCTCATATTTGCATCATATCTCGTCTTCGAATGCAGCGACTTCCGATGCAGAATTGGAGTCCGGAATTGATGTGCCTGTAGAAAAGGTGTCTTGCGACGACAGTATAAAAAAAAACTTCGACATGACACAAAATTTTAAAACTAACTCAAGTGATGAGTTTTGTGGAAAAGGTTCTGTAGATAGTTTAGTTTGGCCCGATGATTGCGTTGGTGGATTTTGGGATGGGAGGCGTGAGCATAAAGAATTTCTTCTTGGTTTACCGGAGTCGGATTGGGAAGGGAGGAGAGGCGTATGGGAAGGAAGAAGTCGTCAAGGAGGAAGTCTAGATAGGAAGAGACTGAAGTGGAAAAGTACTAGAGAAAACCAGTTGCGGGCTGAAGAATCACCGTCTGTTGGCCGGTCATCTTTGTCTCCGCGGAGATTGATTGTTTCTCCTCCGTGTGCTCGTGTCGAAACCGCTTTACCTAACTCAACCAATGAAACGTTGAACTCGTCATTGGAGACTGATGTTTGGAGGATGGGGTTTGAACGATCGATACCGAACGAAACAAAAGGATGGAAATGGAATCGTGTACAGAAACAGAACACAAACATGGTGGGTGGTTGGCGTGGTCGTCGTGGGGAGTGGGAGGGTCGATGGAAAGAATCGACTGAAGTGCGTCAACCGTCACCAGCGATGCGTCAACTGTCACCGGCTGTTACTCAACCTTCACCAGCAATACTTCAAGCGTCACCAGCAATACGTCAACCGTCACCAGCAATACGTCAACCGTCACCAGCAATACGTCAACCGTCACCAGCAATACGTCAACCGTCACCAGCAATAAGTCAACCGTCTCCAGCAGTTACTCAACAGTCACCAGCGATGCGCCAACCGTCACCGGCTTTTCGTCAACCGTCACCGGATGTACGTCAACCGTCACCGGCTGGTCATCAGCCGTCACTAGCAAAACGTCAGCCGTCACCAACTGTTGGTGAAGCGTCACCAACCGAAGAGTTCCTATTGCAGTATCTGCATGAGCTCCTAACAAAGTATTCCGCAAGATTTGCGGCAGGTGAGCACGGACTTATCTTGCTTTTGGAATTTATTGTTTTAGTAAAAACGTCGTTCTTTCGAGTGTACTGAATTAGTAAGTGGTTGATTTTAATGCCAATGTTTAACCGTCCTTTTTCATCAAAACAAACTATTAAAAAACAACAGTCTCGTTTTGACTGTTAAAGCCATTTATTTCTCAATCGTGGTTTTTTACCTTCCCTCGTCCGTTACTACCCAGTAAGGATTTATCATTTGAATTTATTTTTTAATGCTTTTCCGTGTTCTAATTATTTGCGTCGCACTTGAAAATATGAAGCTAAATTAGTACACGTAATTTCGCACAGACTTCATCAAAATAAGAGTGTCAGATAATTCTATAGCATTTGCTCTGCTCGTTAAAATCAATTTTTTAAAGTAGTGGACTACTGTAAGACTCGCGTTTGTCATACAAGCAATGCGAAACTTTGTCGCAGTGCAACTCACGTTCATGTGGCAGGCAGTGCAACACTTGGATGCAGTGCAACTCACGTTCATGTGGCAGGCAGTGCAACACTTGGATGCAGTGCAACTCACGTTCATGCTCGTCTCTTATCTCTTATCTCGCCAGTTGCTGGCACAGGCCACCATGCGTCGCCAGGATGATAAGCAGCGCTCTGCTCTCGACAAGTTAAAATTGTCAAGTCCCATTGGCTTGGAGCTTCATCTTTATTTGTAACTTATAGCACGGACATTTCTTGAATGCGTTTTTGGATCGAAGAATAAGCTTATTTGCATTGTGAACTCCTTTGTTTTAATTTGTTCTGAATGTTACTATTACTAAATTGTTACTGATTCAAGCGGCATGTTTCTACATCATGGGTCATATAAATCCGGCATAGTCATGGATGGTATCTTTGCTTATACTTGTATTATTGCTGCAAATCATTTTTTATTTGATACATTCAATTCTTTCCGTGATGCACTTCGTGTTCGTGAGCTTGCGTAAAGAAAGGTACATTTTTCGTTTTGTTAAGTTCCCGTAATCGCAAGAAACTTTTAGTTGTTAAACTAGTCTGCGTTATTATGACCCTTTTCCTCATAGGCCAAATGAAGTGACACTCTTTCTACAGTATCATGCTTTCTTCAAAATTTAAGATTTTCTAAAGACTCACAAGAATTTTTAAAAACTTTACTACTTTTTCTTTTCGCATCAAGAAAAATATTCATGTTTAAAACGGTTCTTGAGTTCATCAATGCACTATATTATAAAGCAGGTTATATATATATCGCTCCATGGCACCTGTCACGACATATGGATAGAATATCTTGTATAAGGTCTGGCATAATAGAGATGTTCTTAGGAAAAAGAACACGAGATTCGTTCTTCAAGTATTATAGATTGTGAAGTCACGGCGCCGGTAATGAAAGTCAGGCACGATTGTTAGGTTATATTGTTTCAATTTTGATATTTAAGAAATATTTATTGCGTGGTAAGCATCGAGACCAATTAATTGTCTGCTGTCTATATTTGCTGGAATGAAGAATCAGCTCTATTTTCAACTGCATCAATTCGTATCCTTAATGCTTATTCTTGACCCATTTTTAGTTTTAGCTTATAGAGACTTGAAATGCTTCGAAGAATTCAATATCTAATTCGTCGCGTTTATGTGAAGCGATTTAAAACAAACCGTTTCCTTGATACTTGTCCAAGAGTTGCAAATTTAATTAATAAAGTAATTCTAGCATCGCCCAGCACTACTAGTGACATCAGAGCTACCGTCGTTTTTTTCATATTTCGCCCTTAATATTTATTTAATGTTTAATTGTTATAAATATTTTCTCGGTCTTTTTTGTACTTCGTCCTTGTTTTATCAAAACGTGTTGCAATTTTAACAACAGGAAGCCAGTTGCAGGTCCAGCGACCGTTCTTTTTAAATTAACTTCCCTCGTGTGTTTAATGGAGAAATTCACATCTGGTCTTGAATTTCCTCGAATTTTTTTCAAGTGCCTGCGTAAGTTCGGTGTTTGTCCTTGGCTTTTTATTGCGCTCTGAACTTTTTAAAAATAAACTACACATGTAATCACTGTTTTTTCGGATTGGTATACGTAATATCTATAACATAACATCTTTTCACGACTTCGTGTTTATAATTGCGAATTAGTTCTGTCAAAATTACGATAAAACATTGAATGAATGAATGAATGAAAGCTTTAAAATATAAAATTCTCTTACAAAAAATAGCAGCTATCCTATCCATAAGGATTTTTTGCTGACGTATACTTTTTCGTCAATAATATCGTTTTCCTACTACCTGAATTTTTATTACCTGAATACCTTTTTCGCACTAACGTCGTGCTGCTGCTGCTGCCATCACTATTAAGCTATGTATTATGATGCAGTGCTCCTGATTTTTCGACACAAAACAAAGTTTTTATACGCAATTCCCGAGCGTAGCCTCATGTGTCACGTTCAAATATGGTATGCAAGGTTCCCTACACACAACGCGTCTCGCAAGGTCGTTTCTGACCGTGATTAACACTCTTGGTTTGCTTGATAAGCCCCTACATTAGTAACTAATAAATAATCTCTTCCATCTTTCTGAGTCTTTAAAGCTCTTTCATAATTTCGAACTGCGTTACCGAATTCCAGCTTTAGTTTACCATTTGTGATTATTGATTATTGCTTGCATTTGTGATTACTGATTCCTAGTTGACTGAATTATTTTATTGAAACAATAAAATGAACGCTAGTAATTTCCCAATTTCTGTGTGGCACTTTAAAAACCTAACAAGCAATAATTTCCTCATTTCTATGGCTGTGAACTAACCTATATGTGTATTGCAGGCGTGATGAATGTAGAGCGTCGTGGTCACTTTAAGGCTAACGATAAATAATTTCCTCATTTCAAAGGCTGTGAACTAACCTATATGTGTATTGCAGGCGTGATGAATGTAGAGCGTCGTGGTCACTTTAAGGCTAACGATAAATAATTTCCTCATTTCAAAGGCTGTGAACTAACCTATATGTTTGTTGCAGGCGTGATGAGTGTAGAGCGTCGTGGCACCAAGGCTCTGGAGGTGTGGGCGCGGCGGTCGACATCAGGCTACCGCGGCGTGAGCGTCGACAACATGACAACCGCGTGGCGGGACGGTCTTGCCTTCTGTGCGCTCATACATGCCCACCGCCCCGACCTCATGTGAGTTCAGTCCAGAGTTTATCAGTAATTGGCTATGACTTAATGGCTATCGCTTATTGGCTGACTCCAACAGCCAATACGTGATAGCTTTACACGCTAAGCTTACCAATTATAGAAGATAAATTGGCCGCTACGTTTTCCTAAAAGAGTTTCGATATTATAGTCTCAGGCCTCCACTGCAACATTTAGTAGGAGAGAGGCATTTTTATGGAAGTGTCGCTTAGTTGGATGGCGTTCATAGTACCGTAATTGAGAAATCATGAAGCGTGTAGAATTTATTAGTGAATTGTTTGTATTTTTCACATTTTGCTCATCGTTCAAGTATCTCTTGAAACTTAACCTAATATTTGGACTGGCTTCTTGATGAACAAGCGCTCGTTACATACAGATGATCATGTTGAAAATGTTACTAAATCTATAGTAGCATAAACACACTAATGCAGAGATTAAACTATTATCATTCCTTAAAATAAAGATTACTTATTTTGAGGCATCGTTAATAACGCGGGGTATTTTTGCAGAGATTTCGACTCGTTGGACGCTGCCAACGCGCTCGAGAACAACGAGCTTGCGTTCCGCGTGGCCGAAGAGGAGCTTGGCATCCCCGCCCTCCTGGACCCGGAAGACATGGTGGACTCTGCCGTGCCCGACCGACTGTCCGTCCTCACTTACGTGTCCCAGTACTACCAAGCCTTCGCGTCCATGGGGCTAACCATCGGCGGCTGCTCCCCGAAGAACTCCCCCAAGGCGGACTGTCGGATGAAGCTACCTGAGGATATCGATGACAGTGCGACAGGGCTTCCCCAGCCGGAGGTCATCAAAGCCTCAGCGCCTCCCACCGCAGCTCAAACAGATCGGCTTGCATCTTCGGTGCTCAAAGAAAGAAATTCGACCGCTTTTCCTGTCGGTAAAGGCAGAGACATGCAATCTTCAACGCCTGTGAAAATGGTCGTTGCCGCGAACGGAAAAGAAATTTCACAACCGACATCCACGCCATCATCCAAAGACCCTACCACCGTTGCCACGGCCGTCACACCGACAAATTCAAGCACCAGAACCTCAACTACAACCACGACGTCCTCTGCAAAGTACAACTCCGTGTACTCTCCGAGCTACACTTCGCCTTACTCTACCTCCTCCAAATACCGGGGCTCTTCCACATCGTCATCTCCACCCGCGTCATCACCCATCAATAGCAGTAATAATGACAGCAATAATAAAAGCTCTACACAATCACTCAGAGAAACAAATAACGATAAAGTGTCGAACGCGACCAGCAACATCAGAGTCGCCACCGTACAAGAGCGCATCAGAAGTCTTGCTCTGGCCACGTCGCCTGTAAATAAGGTGGGCGAGTTTCCAATAACTTCTTATATATTATAGCAACATTGTTTTATTTCTTGCTTCTTATGCAGTTTTATTTTGCAAACTCTTGATATTAGTTTCTTTTAGTGAATTCACTTTGTGAGTTTGTGGGAGGCGATCTAATTAATACACTGTATTTCAATGTTTTTGTATATCAAAAGGGCAATTTTATTTAGTCTCGCTACATCCAACCTTATGCTTTCTGCTTTTATCAGCGCCAATATGAAAAAATTAGGAAAATTTGCTCTCTGACCTTAGTTTTTGTGCATAGTATTCGACTTGAGAATTGAATCATTTATCTCGAATGCTTTCTTCAAGTACCATTTATTCGTCTCAAATTTTCCTATTTCAATTTTAAACCTTTGCTTGACATTATTCTTTTTATTTTATCTTTAGTTCAGTATTTCTGTTTTCGATTAACCTCGACTAAAAACACTCTACTTTTTAGACTTGGATGACTATTTATATGATGTGATACAACGTGGACATCACCCTTTCCTTTGGTTGTAACTTTATTAGCGAATTAATTGTAAATCTGTAAGACTGAATGGAGTACGAGAGAATGGGGCTCCTATTGTAGACTTTGCAAGAAAGCTAGGTCTACTGCAGGAAAAACTGAATTATTAATTTAATGGATGGCACGAAAGAACTGTGACCATATGAACTGCTTACAATAATAATAGGTCCGATATATTAAACTCGATTAAACAGCGATATTAAACTCGCTGTCTGTGTGGCTATACTGAGTGTGTGGCTGCGTGTTGGTTTTTTAAGCACAATGCGTTGTAAGTTTTTCACATGCATGTCTGAACACCAGCTTGTATTTGAGCTTCCATATTATTTATTTACATATTTCCGAACTAACGTTTGAGGCGTGGAAAGCGCGGGCAACTGCGGGCGAGAGACGAACAAGTACTGGCATCGTGCAGTGTTACTCAGAAGTATTGTTTGTTTTGGACTTGACATACGCGCGGATTATTATCATGAATATAAACGCTTCTTGTTATCGGCAACAAATTGAAGATACCTACAATGTAAGTGCCACGAGTGCCTTAAATCAACTGAAGATTGAAAAAAAAAATAAATTAAAAAAAATTAATTGAAAATTGAACTAAAAAGGCCGTTTCAATGCTTCATAGTCCGCCTCATAACGACCATCTAGAATTCTTGCTCGAGGACGATGATAGCGAATGCAATCCTTTTCATTAGTGTCGAAAACCCAAAAATTATTCTTCCACTTAACATGGGGATTGAATTGACTTCATTTAATTGACATAATGTCAATGACATCACCGATTGGTTTGAAGCGAGAAAAAGTGAATTGCGGTCATTTTTTTTGAATAGGTATGTGTACTTGAACCCTCTACCGCCGTATGTCACTCTCCGGGAACATACGTAACTTTCAACTTAAATTATACGTAAACTATTGAGTGTAGCAACCTGAGGACGTTTGTACGCAACAGAGAACATTTTAAAGTTGTCGTACGTGGCGGCAACCATCAGTGCAAGTCATTTTGCGCTCACTAGACCGTATCTTTTTTGGGAAGTAGGCTTGTGACAATATTGCTCCGGTTACTCATGTCAGGCGGTAGAGAGATAAGTGCACCGCTGCTTTCCACGCCTCAGTTTATGTTGGGATTATGTCTCTGAATTTTGTACTCTGCTTAACCTCTTGAGTTGCTTTTAAGTGCCTAGCTTTTGTTTTGCTAACACGTGTCCCTCTTTCCCCCGCCATGTTTTGCCTCTTATAGGACCACCCCATCGACCGCATGGGTATGTACAAGCCTGAGATCATGTGCTGAGACCTCCACATGGACCTCATGGATATGTATGGAGATCATGTGACCTCCAAATCATTTTTCAGCCGCCCATCATCGTCCACCTTCTTCATGGCCCGTCTGCTACGTTCTCACAGTGTGGGATTTTCTTCACATTGATGACTTGGATTGTGTTTCTTGATGATGGTTCACTTGGTATCCAAGGTAGATTATTGCAGTGGCCTGATCACTATTAGGACCACTTGAAACACTCGTAGGATTACCCGAGCTCACGCTGGCATTGAACTTTTCTTTCTTGAGTGATTAGAGTACGAGAAATTAGGAAAATGTGTTCACTGAAATTGATGAATAAGGTGGGTGAGTCATCACCCTTATACATCATTCACAAACTCGGTTTTGAGTTGTAGAGAACACATCATGACCGGCGATAGCGTGGTGGCGGCTATAGCACTTTACTACACTTATCGGAAGAAGAAATGACTTCTTAGAGCAAATAAGAGATATTCATTATTATAAGTCTCTTATTTATTAATAAGATACTTGTCGAAAGAAGAAAGAACTTCTTAGTGCAAATAAGAGATATTTATTCTACGATATTGTGAATAGAATTTCTTGCCAATTTAGCAGTATATAAATGTAAAGTGGCTACATCAAGTGGTCTGGCAGGGAAATGATTGCTGAAGTATGAACAATAGACAAGACTGTTCATGGTAAGGAGATGGGGGGAAAATAGCGTTCAAAAATTATTCGGAGATATTTCTCACGATTACCTCAGCTACAATATAACGAATCAATCTAATTTTAACATGAGTATTGAAGTTTCATGACTCGTTCTTTGGACATGAAGGCTACGAGTTACAGTTACTCATGAATATTACGAGTCTTAGCAATCCGAAAATTTTTTCATGTGTATAAGATAGACGGCAGAATTTCATAAAGTCCGCTTCAGAAATTCCGTATAAAAACAACGGACGGACGGACATGACGAGCACAATAGCGCCTTATTTCCATAAATGAGAAAATGCGCTAACAAGTGGGCTTTATACGCAGACTTGTACACAACGAGCGTTAATATCAAAGCAGATCAGTGGGTGAAATTCGACCAGAATTTCCACATCGTTCATTTTAATCCTGAACATTTCTGAGTCACCAAAGACTTGTCTAAAGAATTATATCATTATCCTGCACCGGACACACGAGAACAACCAAAAGTTATACATAGCTCATGTGGGATCAAGCCGTGCACAATGAATGATTTGGGAAGGACAGCAGGATTTACACAGAGCTTGTGTGTGATCAAACTGAACGCAATGAATGTTTTAATTATACTTGGAGGATTTATTAAGAGCTTTAGTGGGATCAAACTCTGATCCCACTCTGATCCCACTCTGCTAATCAATGCTCATCGATTCTCTCCATGAACAAAAAATCAATCAATGGAGGTATTGACTCCCATAATCTTTTTCAGATCATGTTTAAGGCAATTTCAGAAACGATACAGAAATAACATAAATAAGCAATTTCCTCCCATTTCACAGCCATTGATCCATTCACACTTTATAGCGTTGAACTAGATGCATTCTAAAGAAACTCATACAGATACACAGAAAATCATTATGCGCAATAGCTAGAATAAAGTGGAGGAAAAATTGTCAAAATATCTCGCAGTAGGTATTCCGTGATGTTTTGAATCTCTAGTTTGTTTCATCTTAGTATTAATAGTGTCTTGTTCTCTTTAATATACTGACGAACCGACTCGAACTGTTACACTAGTGACACCACTTGTACCTGGACAGAGTATATATCTCGCAACTGAATCTTATTGACTTGGACATTGTCCATCATCTCTTGTTACCAATAATAAGTTTGTTAGATTATTCAATATCCCGCCTAGTGTATGTACGACGTCTAGGTGATCAAATCTTATCAGTAATGTGCTGCAAAGCTTCTTATAATATTAACCAGGAGATATAAAATGTATACTGTGAATTCGATCCGGATCACATTCATCCATAAAGCAAATTCTAGTGATGTTGATTTTGGATCATGAATAAAATTTACATTCTTTCGCTGTTCAGGTATATCTGGACCAATATTTTCTTGAAACAAAGTTTAATTTCCCACCTTCATCTTCGTCAGGTAATAAAGTTCTCTGGACTGGCATACCGAGGCGCTGTAGGCATTGGTTAGGGTCGGGCATTGTTCCAAGAGGATTTGAAGTTTGCATTTATTTCCTATAGCTTATCATTACTCTTTGAAAGTCACTCCACCGCCTTAACCAGGATAAGAACTATGGAAATAACACGATCCTTCACATCGATGTTAGTCATATAAGAAGTATTAGACACCTCATAATCTCATGATACGAACACGTCAGAACAAACAAATAAGGCCTTGTGACTCTTAGTCGAATATTTGTGACTCTTAGTCGAATATTTTTTGTGAACGAATGCGTGCAATTGCTCGCACAACCGACAAACACCATTAGATTAATTTACGTACGTATTTATAGTTACTGAATGCGGAATATGACAAAGCGGGTCGTATTTTTCAGTTTATTATACCAAAAGAGTTTTACGCATCCTCCGATTTCTAATTGAAGACCAATGAACATCTGCTCGCCCTATACGCCCCATTTTGTTCACAACGAAAAATTGTTTCTCTCCAATGCGGGACGTTAAATTAATTGCTATTCATATTATGTCTTCGTTAACTCACTCTTAGTGTCCGTGTGTTATCTACCATAAATTATTCTCTTACATTTGGAACTGGAATGATGTTTTAGTTGATATCGAACATAATAGATTACTGATCGAAGAGCTTGTTGGACTACAGCGCCGCTCAGTCGTGACCAGAAAACAGACGAGTGTGGAGGCATGGGAGATTTGTGGTAGTGTAACTTGCTTTTTTGTGTAAGTAGTACGATTTGTGTCCTGATTTATTTGTGTTGTACAGATATTTTGTTATCACAATATACGTAAGCATCGATGAATCTTTGTTTTTCTTGGTCCTTTTTTTCAATTATTGCGTTTTTTATACATTGAAAGTATTTTTAGCTAACCTTATACATGTTGCTTCGTGGGTTTTGTAGTTTTCTTAAATTGCTTAAGCTTCATTTTGTTCTGATGAGCGATAAATAAAAACAATGTTGTATTTCTAAAAAGAATTTTGCATTTGTATAGATGAAAATAATGTTTTATTTGTAACGGGCTAAATCGCCCATGAAAATACAACTTTAACCCAGAGACTTGATGTAGTTCTTGTAAGTAATGATCGAAACACAGCCCATTATAGACATGTATTTTTATTCAGGGGTACAGTTTAATTTATATTTAGAGATGAGTATTGATGGATTTGTGATAATAGATGAGTATAGATAAATTTATATTTATAGATAAGTATATGGGAGTGGCGTTCGTTCAGAATTGCGGTTAAATTTGCTTAGTTTATCTGTCATATTTCCATCAGTCACGGCATGACGTATAAATTCAAGCGTATAATGGAATCAGCATTCGCCGTTGGGAGCGAGGTAGCCTAGTGAAGAACACTTCCGTTTCTGAAGAGATCAATTACCACCAATAAATACCCTAAATGTTTTCGTATAGTGCTAGTATGGCCTTCATTACCTTTACATATTTATTAATCTCTCGCAATAGAAGCCTTGTACATCTTTCACAAGCCCATAAATGTTGGTACGTTTAATGTTGGTGTTTACTCGTCTTCATTCAAAACAATTTTATGCACCGTCTCCAATCCCTGTTCATGTCCATTGCTCCAGAAAACATGCATGGACCCGCATACGGCGGTGAAAAGAGTAAGGGCTATTTGAATTTCATTCATCAGTTTATCTCTCCTCTTTTATCCGGTGCCTGAACTTGCATCCGTTCACGGCGATGCTAGCTTATGTCTACTGATAATTTCAAGGAGTCCGTGACCGGGGTTGGTCATACTAGGCGGTGCTCTATACTTGATCGAGATACACGGCGTTTACTGAACGAAGTGTTAATTAACGTTTGTTTTCTGTTCCTAAAAAATCTCTTCACTACATGAAAACATTTGGTATATTTATTGGTGATAATTGATCTCTTCAGAAACGGAATCCTATGCGGTGCTATACTTGAGACGCGCGGCGTTTACTAAACGAAGTGTTAATGCTTGATTTCTGTTCCTAAAAAATATATTCACTACATGAAGACATTTAGCATATTTATTGGTCATAATTTATCTTTTTAGAAACGGAAACCAAGGCGGTGCTCAACGTGAGATGCGCCGCGTTAACTGAAATGAAGTATTAAAGTTGAATTTCTGTTCCTAAAATTAGCCATCGGGTGGGAGTGCATCTGAGAAGTAAATTATATTATTTAAATTATTGTTGCTTACCTGAATGATAGACGATATGTGTCGGCATATTACTTTTTAAGCCTATGAATGTTAATGCATTACAGATAATTATATTGAATATATTGAAGCAATGATGGTGCTGTGAGCTGAAACCTCTCACTTTAGGAGTTAATTCATGCTGCTCGTAATTGAATTTATTCAAATTTGTTATGGCTGCGGAATACATTTGGTTAATTGAAATACAAATGGTCATTAACAATTCAAACAAAATTTTTGTTTCTTGTGGGTTGACACTGCACCAAGAGAAACGACCTTAGTAACAAATGTGTAATTAAAAAAAAAGTTTTTTGGGGTTGAACGAGCTACTTAAAAGTGTCGACAACGCAGCCCAAAAATGCCGGTAATGTGGGCTTCGTTATATCATAGCGACCTGTTGTACTGGATGTTCAGTTCTCTGATGTCGACTTGCTGTGAGGCTTTTCTTCATTCAAGACTCGTGTTCCAGTCCTGAAATTACGTTATTTTTTTTTTTATTTATCGCCTCGACATGGAGTTTCACATAATTTGAAAAAAATGTTGTGTGATTTTTGACAAAATAGATTTGTGTAAAGGATTGAATTCTAAATAATAACTATCTGCTAATTTTAGGCACCGATGCTATATAAGTTCCCCACGTGTATGTACATTTTTTGCTGACGATGCGTTTTTTTCAGTTGAGCAGCGACGAAAAGCGGAACCAAGACGACGATTACGAGCCCGTGTTGTTCGATGGCGACGTCTCGCCACCCTTACCTCCTCGGCAGAACTCAGCTACCACCCCTACCAGTAGTAGAGGTTCTACTATGAAAAGAGAGTTCTGCGACGCATGCGGTGAACAGGTGTTCTTAGCTCAACGCTTTACGGTGTTCGGTAAGCTTTTACATCGCACCTGTTTCAGGTGTAACTCGTGCAACGTGTTGCTGACGGTTGCAGATTGTTGTCTCACAGAGTCCAAGGATTTCTGTTGTGAAGTCTGCGTGCAGAAAGAGCACGACCAGCGAGTGCGGGATTTGGGTGGGGCTTCTTTAGATTCAAGAGGTGCCCATCGTGGAGGAGAGAAGTATAATTCAGATGATGATGATGTGTACGAGAGCATAGAGTTCAGACACGACAGCAGTGATACGCGGCAAGCCAACATGGAGGAGGATAGCGAGACTACTAGTAATGGCCGATCGTCCAGCGGCTCTAATGCGAATCTGGACACAACTGCAATGTTAAATGATGACGTCACTTCTACGTCCACTCCTACAAAACCTAAACCACGGACGGTGTTTCTATCGAGCACCCTGGCATCGGACAATAAAGAACCGCCAACTATTCATCCCATTCCATTGGCTCGGAAGATATCGACTGAAGAACCGAATTTGCTGAAGTCGATCGAGGCCGTTGAAGGCGATTTAGTAGACGCTCCTCCTGTGCGAAGGACTTCTGAAGAAGCTTCGGCTGTCACGGAAGAAGCCTCTCGTGCTAAGGATACCGCCAACGCCAATAACGATGTAGAAACTAATGACGATTTTAGAGTCGCAAAACATGACGACGACAAAGAAAAAGATAACGACAAATTTGTCGTGCAACGAGCAGTGCGAGAAATGAAGAAGACTTCGGAGGAAGATCAAGAGGCAACATTGGAAAGAGATGAAGAATCTGGTTCGATTATTAAAGAAGAACCTGGTTTGGTGGCTGAACAAAAAGTTGGAGTGGTCACAGAACCAGAACATGGCTTAGGCATCGAACAAGAACCTGATGTCATTAAACAAGTACCTGACGTAATCCAAGAACATGAATCTGAATCGGTCCAAGAAAAAGAATCTGACTCAGTTTTAGAAAAAGAATCTGAATCGGTTCAAGAAAATGAACCTGAATCGGTTCAAGAAAAAGAATCTGAATCGGTTCAAGAAAAAGAATCCGACTCCTTCAACGAACAAAAAGCTGAAGTGGTTCAAGAATACGAATCTGAATTGATCAAAAAATCAGAACCTGAATTGGTCAAAGAACAGGAATCCGGCTTCGAGAAATCTGATATCATCGAGTATCCTGATGAACTAAACCCATTTGATGACGATGTAGAAACTGACACAAATGCAGTCCCCGAACACACCACTGAAACCAAACTTGAGAAAGACGCGATTGTGGCAGTGGAGAAAAATGTCGACACCAAACCCGACGTCATACCGTCTATTGATATGCGAGAGTGTCTTGCCGACCAAGATATCCGTAGCGACAGCGGTGGCATGATGAAACAATCAACGTTGCCTTCCAATTTTGCCATGACAGGAAACAGAGACGAACTTAGCACTAAGAGTAAAACTCTGCACCAGAGAATCGTAAAAGCGAATTTAAATCCCTTTGAAAGCGAAGACGAAGACACCAGCGACGACAACAACGAACAGACCCCCGTCACGACGAAGAAAGTGGTCCCTGCTCCCCAGTTCCCACCCGTGGCTACTCGTCTTGCAGGTCGTGGTCATACCCCCGACCGACCTCCGTTACCCACGTCAGCAGCTCACAACCAATCTGCTTCGTCACTAAATCCGTTCTGGAGCGACAGTGACGAGCCTGACGAAGTTAAAGAAACGAAGCCGGCCAAAGTGAAACCTCCGCGCCCGCCTCCGCCTTCGCTTGCTTCCCGTGAAGGGTGAGTTGTGTGGGCATAATTCCTATTCATTCTCAAGTGAACGTTAAATAATTGTTATAATAAAATAATTTGATGCAATCACAATACAAACTCGATCGGATAAAAATTATTTCGTAATTGCTGTGCAGTCAAACGACAAATTTCAACATATTGGCTCAGATAGGTGCCACCTCGTCTAAGGTTTTGATTACCGTTATTATTGTTCTTATAACATTACATGAAGTGAAGCAATTGTGGTTACATTATTTGTTTACTGAGACAGTACTACTTTTTAAATGCTCCAACCATTTCATTTGGGAATTTTCAATCTTAGATGTTTGTTTACTGAGACAGTACTACTTTTTTAATGCTTTAACCATTTCATATGAAATTTTTTTTTTTTAATATCTGTGTAGCTAATAGTTTTCTATGTCATTATCGTCAGGACTCCATCCCGGACCAGTGGTCCGCCGGTCACAAGAACCCCTCCTGAGAGTCATCGCAAGAAGCCCGCTCCTGTACCCGACCCTGTGACGAACAAACCGGGGGGCAACATCGCAGGTTCGCCGTCGGGGGTGAGCACCCCGTCACGGGGGACCACCCCACGCCCCGGTAGCCCCAGCCTCTCCATCAGCAGTGAGGCCAGCGCTGGGGGCGGCGTGAGGCTCAAGAAGAAGAACAGACCTGCGCCTCCCCCGCCCGGGGGTCAGGCCACGCGCACTCCAGGTCTGAAAACAGTGATAATTTACGTTAATTGTCAATTATTTTAGTGAACTCTCAATATATGCTGTATTATAATTGATGAACATCAGCGATAATTTATGTCCAGTATCAATTATTTTAGTGAACTCTTAATAACCGATGTGTTATAATTGATGAACATCTGTGATAATTTATGTCAATTATTAATTATTTTAGTGAACTCTTAATAACCGATGTGTTATAATTGATGAACATCAGCGATAATTTATGTCCAGTATCAATTATTTTAGTGAACTCTTAATAACCGATGTGTTATAATTGATGAACATCTGTGATAATTTATGTCAATTATTAATTATTTTAGTGTACTCTTAATAACCGGTGTGTTATAATTGATCAAGATCTGTGATAATTTATGCTAATTATCGAATTCCTCAGTTGATCATTACAGACTAATTAAAGCTGATTTAATCTCTGAATTAATCTCTCCAATCAACTGCTGCTGCTAAGTTGTGTCGTTAATTCCAGAGTCGCCAGTGCTGCTGACGAAGGAGCAGAAGGACCTGAGGAACTCTAGCAGCCAACAGCTGGCCAAGGACTGTCCGTCTGGTGAGTGGCAGGCGTATCCTTCGTGTTATTATTATGCTTAAGGTGTGCTTTTTAAATTCAATTCAATTAATTCAAATCAATTATTAATTTTTCGATTTTTAATTAAATTCAATTTTAATTTTTTATTAAATTTATTTTATTTTTGTAATTTTAAAGTTAGTCAAAATTGTTGCATATTGTAGAGCTACACTCGTGTGTAGACGAATTTATTATACTTTATTGGATTTCTTTGTTTACTTTAGTAGCGCAAGTTTATTTTTTGTTCAATGCTCGGAATCAACAATACAAAATAGGACGAGCTCTATTTTTTCACATAAAAATTATTTACAAAGAAAAATATGCTTCAGTTTTGCTAATATTTGTTAGCTTTGAAATGACTAAATTATTGCATGCTGAGTAGTAGTACGGAGTGTACGAATTTAATGTATGTACGATCTTTTTTACGAAAATTTTTTACGAAATGATCTTGGTAATCATACGTCACCTTTAATCTCATCTTGACTACCAAACTGATCTCCAAAAGCATTGATAATAATTGCTTCGTGTTGTCGTGTGTCGTGTTGCTTGAGTGTGATATGACCTCGCGCTAGAGTTGTTGTGTATGTGACCACAGCGAGTTTACTAACACTAACCTGCCTTCATTCTGCCCCATTCCCTCTCTTCCTCAATTTCCCTCCTCTCTGCTTTATCTTTTCATTCAATCTCTTTCTGTGCCTTCTCTTCACCCTCAATTTACTTCTTCTTTTAACTGAACTTTCCTGCTATGTTTTCTCGTTTCGTTCCATGTTCTATATAATGTGTCTTCCTTCATACAAAAATTGTTACCGTGTTTTCTTTTTCTTCGTTGGCCTCTCTTTTACCAATTTTCACAAACGTTTACCACTTTTTTCTTCATACTTAACTCTTCCAATTTTATCCTAATTGTTACTGTTTCCCTTCATTATTGACATTGACACCTGTCGCTATCGAGCTTATACAATTACTACAATGACACCTGTTGCTACGAACCTCATAAAATTATTTACATGGATATCTGTTGTTATCGACTTTACACAATTATTTGTATTGACCCATGTTGCTACCATCCATATAAAATTATAACACCGACATCTGTCGCTATCGACCGTATTAAAATTTCACCTTGCCTTCTTTTCGCCAAAATTCTTATTGCTCCTTACACTGCTTACCTTTCAAAAATTTCGCCGTCCACCCTTCCCTTCCGCCGATCTTTCATCCTTCTACGCTTCTACCCCTGCACCCAACCCTGCCTCCACTCTTCTATCCCTGCACACTGCCACCACTCCTCTATCCCTCCGCCCTTATCCCCCTCTCTTGGCCCTCGCCGCGCCCCCAGCAGTAGCGCGTCACGCCCCCGGAGCTGCAGAGTTGCGGCGTCGTAAAGGACCTGCGCCGCCTCGCCCGCTGCCCCAGAAGCGCGTCATCAAGAAGCTGCCGCTGCTGCAGATCCAGCAGCAGCTTCAGGACATCGAAGTCCAGCAAATGGAGCTGGAGCGACAAGGAGTTCTCTTGGAGAAGAGCATCCGCGCCCGAACTGAAGACCTGGAGAACACGCCTCCACAACCAGCGGAGACCAGCAAACTTGCCGAAGACTCTGTGGACGGCAGCGCACCTGAGTCGCCTGATAGCAACATTGCATGCAACGATCAAGTCCCTGACATCGTTAAAGATACTCCAGCTCCTCCGCCTGTGATACGCGTCACGACAGACGATGGCTCGCCTGAAGACAATAGCCAAGAATATTCGAATGGACCAGGAAGCCTCGAGGTCGAAGATATGATCATGCAACTCTTCGAGCTCGTGAACCTCAAGAACGAACTCTTCCGGAGGCAGACTGAGCTCATGTATTTGTAAGTAGGCCGTCTTTATTAACACCCGAGTAAAATGGTGCTTTTGAGCGCTTACTGTTCTCATTTTATTAATATAATAACATATCTTTGCTGAAAGCCTACGTGTTCCTCGATTAACTTCAAAAACACCAAATCCCAGCTTGTTGTTGCTTATGTGTACAACATTCTGCCGTGATTGCCTCACTGTTTTGTTGTGATAATACAAGATTTCTTAGACAATTTATTGTTGTTTTCACTGCTGTAATAAATGATGTGTGCCTCCAGGAAGCGAGAGAAGCGACTCGAGGAGGAGCACGCCGACCTCGAGTATCAGATCAGGTGCCTTATGATGAAGCGCGCCGCCCGAACCCCCGACCAGCCGGCCGACGACGACGCCGCTCTCGAGGAGGTCAGCATTTGCAAGCTCTTACTGTAGGTGATATTGCAACCGCGAGCTTTTATAGGTATTGAAAGTCGCTAACTTCTATAGGTATTCTTGATGAAAGTCACAAACTTCTATAGGTCTTCTTGCAAGCCACAAGCTTTTATTTTAGGTATTCTTGCAGGCCGCAAACTTTTACTGTATGTATTCTTGCGAGCCGTGGACTTTTATTATAGGTATTATTGAAAGCGCGAGCTATTAGTATAGGTATTCTTGCAAGCTTTTATAGTAGGCATTCTTGCGAGCCGCGAGCTTTTATTATAGGTATTCTTGCAAGCCACACGCTTTTATTATGTGCATTCTTACTAGCTGCAAACTTCTATTATTCGTATTCTTGTAGGCTGCAAGCTTCTGTCAATTGCAATTTGTTTCTGTTCATAAATTGAACAGCTACGTTGTTTAGAGATGATTGTTATATTCCAATTATAATAGCTTTGAACTTTACTCCGGCATTGTATATTATTTCTAATCTGAATTGTTTTGTATATTGTTGTGTTTACACCAGATAATCTGCTAACAATCTAATCTCCTCGCAGGTGCTGATCGCTCGTCTCGTGTCTGTGGTCGAACAAAGGAACGAAATCATCACGTGTCTTGAGCTGGACCGCCAGAGGGAGAGACAAGAGGACCGCAGCATCGCCCATCACATGACCAAGTATCATGGTGAGCAGTAGCGCCCTGTGAGCAGTAACGTCCTGTGAGCAGTAGCGCCCTGTGAGCAGTAGCGCCCTGTGAGCAGTAACGTGCTGTGAGCAGTAACGTCCTGTGAGCAGTAGCGCCCTGTGAGCAGTAACGTCCTGTGAGCAGTAACGTGCTGTGAGCAGTAACGTCCTGTGAGCAGTAACGTGCTGTGAGCAGTAACGTCCTGTGAGCAGTAACGAGCTGTGAGCAGTAACGTGCTGTGAGCAGTAACGTGCTGTGAGCAGTAGCGTGCTGTGAGCAGTGACGTGCTGTGAGCAGTAACGTGCTGTGAGCAGTAGCGCCCTGTGAGCAGTAGCGCCCTGTGAGCAGTAGCGCCCTGTGAGCAGTAACGTGCTATGAGTAGTATTTATCACTGAGTAGTAACCTGTAGAGAGCTGAATTTTATCCGTAAAGTTATGGCAAATAAGCAGAAAGATCTATTTTGTTTGGTAGGAGCTTCCAGCTCAGAGCGACTGAAAATTAAAAAAAAAAACATCGTTCAAGTTCAAAAGTTTATTGGTCACGAAATTTTTAAACTAAATAGTACACTATACCCAATATGCCATGTTTCTTGATTTAAGTCTGTAATACGAAATTTGTTGGCTAAATAAAACCGTTTACATCAAAGTAAAAAATTCCATCTTCGGTAGAAGTTTTTGGCAATCAATAACTCATAAGATTCATCATTATTACGTTATATCAAATATAATGACTCATAAGATCCCTTGTTACCGCGTTATATCATTTTGCATTAACGTTTTTTTCTTTAGAAAAACAACAAGGTTCTCCAGAAGACGCCACGGAGAAGGCTCAGAAGAAGAAGAAGAAAAAAATACTCAAGTTTCCCAAGAAGAAGAAGAAAGACAAGGAGAAGAACACGAGCCAAGACGCTGACAAAGATGTAGACGACACTGAACAAGACGGTTCAGAGTCCCCTAGCACTAAGAAAAAGAGAAGAAGCTGGTTTAAGTAGCCTGAATTAATACGTCCTTTTGTTAGTAAGAAACTAAATTATTGCTATAAGGTCACGGCAGCCGAGGATGCAATATTTATAGTACCAGCCATTGTGTTGTTGGCAGATGAATAGTCTATTGATGTGTTCTAATTATTGATGTGTATTGATAATTAGATGTTTATATTCTTCTCCATTATTTATGTGTTCTCGTCATTCTTTCGACTTGAATCTCGGTAATCTATGTGTTTTCCGTAGTAATAATTTTTGAGTACTTATAAATGGGCTTTGCTCGACTTATTTCTGGAAAATCTCTCGAGTTTCAAGCAATGAACCTTGCTTTGATATTGCTTAGTTTATTCTCCATGCAAGTATAACCGAGACACTACACCGTCCCAGGAACATGGCCGAGTTCAGCCTTTATATCAGAGTGCCTTGGTTACACGTCACATCTCCGTCGTGCTTCCCATGTTACGGTCATGTCGTTCGTAATTTTAAGGAGCATTTTTCATGTTTTCAAACTCGCTTGGATAGGCTCAAATTAATTATTATCTTCATTGATGTGCAAACAATCATTTTTCAGTTTTTTTCACCGACTGCTGTTCTTGGCCTCGAATTTTGATGTCTGATGTATAGTATGCGATCAAGTAGCTTTTCCGGTGAAATCAATCTGTGTCTTTCACTCCGATACTTTATGTTAATAGAGCGCACATTCTGTGCTTCCAGATTTTATTCAATATTGCCTGTCGAATGCAGAATTTCATGATCGTTGTTTTTGCCAGATAACTTCCAGGTTTATAATACTGGCCGCATTCAAGGTTTAAAGATTCCTTTCTAGCTGCACCCAAATATGCCCTGATATTTCGATGTATTTTAAAAAAATCGTGCGCCCTTAGCTATTTCTTCGTGTTTTAGCTGCAGTTTTTATTGCAATTTCGCAACCTGTAGCACATGCTATCAAAAACCTTCCTACTTACCGCTGTGAATTTCTTCCCCAAAAATTTTTTACTACGCTCATGGAGACTGTTTTGTTTGTGTAAAACTTTAGTTCTTTCCGCCAGTTTTATCATATTCGTTTTTTTCATTTATATCTTAATCATCACAAGGATGCATTGAGACCTATTGCATTGATTCAATAATATGCATAAATATCAAAAATTTTAAATTTATGAAGATGTTGGTATTTTCAGCAAAGATTTTATATCCTTCAGAAATTATAGCACAAGTGTGATAATTATATTAGGCATTAGGTTCGATTTTCACATCCCTAACTCCACAATGTATTTAGCGAGTGTCTCAAAATGGGTAGGAATTCTTGCTCTATTTAAAAGCTCTCTTCAAGGTTTGCGGTCTTTGCCAACTTCGCAAACTTCCTTACTGACAATAACTTTCGTTAAGCTCTCGCTTTCATCAAATTTTTGTGTAGCTATAGGACCGGAAAGCATTTATTGTTAATAGCAAACGACTTGATGTGATTATAAAAGTTGGTGATCTGGTTACGAGTTGGTCTCGTATGATGCTTCAAATGTTTGATACCGCGTCTGTACTCGCTCGACGTCCAAACGGTTGTCACACTAGTATATATTTTAGGGTTTGTGCAATTGTATATTAGTATAGGCTGGCAGAATTTCTTCTTTTAAGCAAGTTTTGTTAAAGACCAGAGAATTAGTTTTATTTATTAGCTTCTTGTTGGTTTTTTCAATAAGTCGTACTAAATTCTTCGTAGGTGTTGGAAGATTGAAAATCAAATTACCGATAGACATTTTTAATATTGAACGACGTTTCGAATGTACAACATTCATTTTCAAGTTAAAGACGCATAGAGTAACAAAATTTGGGTTGACATATGAACGAAATCAAGTAAATATGCGTCTTTAACTTGAAAATGAATGTTGTACATTCGAAACGTCGTTCAATATTAAAAATGTCTATCGGTAATTTGATTTTCAATCTTCCAGCACCTACGAAGAATTTAGTACGACTTATTGAAAAAACCAACAAGAAGCTAATAAATAAAACTAATTCTCTGGTCTTTAACAAAACTTGCAATTGTATATGTACACAATTAGCTGTGGAAACTCAATTCCTGAAACGGCTATGAGAACTGATTATATTTGACCCCTCAGGCGGGACTTCTGACGTGTGTCTGTGCTCGTCAGAAGTCCTATGGGATTTCGCGCTCCTAGGGGGATTGTTCCTGAGCGCCCCACCGCTGAGCTCGCGGTGTCTGACTGCAGGACTCAGTTGTGGGGTTAAGTTATTATGTAGGTAGTCTCCGGAATGGATGATATTTCACATACCGCACAGGAAAATTCTTTTTTGCTCTGTTTTCTAACTGTGAAAAGCAATAATATTTGATTTTTTGTTTCCGGTTGAGGAGAACATTTTACACTGGATTAGGATTAGGGGTAAATGATATTAATATCTTCAAGATGTGAAGATATATCGTCTAAGCTAGATCAAGTGTTTCATTTTTTCAGTTCAGTATTTTATACAGATTTGACAGAAGTTTACTCTTCCTTACTTGCCGTTATTTTTTTGCTTTATCAGAGTAGACTAGCTTTCTTCAATAAGTTGGAGATTTTCTATAAGTTAGCTGTGTTCCTCTGAGATATTCTGTTTAGTGTTGTCTTCTGATAGATATTTACGTCTATTGGATTATTTTGCTCTATTCGCGAGAGGTATTCTATCCATTTATTTCCTACTATTTGTAGAACTGTTCGTATCTGTTAGTGTATCGATCTTAAATTTTTAGTTCTATACGCAGTTCTGACGTTGTGCGTATTCGCGACTGGTTCATTAAACAGAGATATTAGATTTAGCAGTTTTTGTCCTTTTCACGAGCCTATTTGTTATAGGCCTATTTCTTCCAGGCCTATTTATTTGAAGTAAACTATTTAACTTGGAACTAACTAACTTTAACTTGCAATATAAGCGATTTTAGCTTGGTCAGAATTTCATAAAGAAATGCAAAAATCTTGAAAAAATTTTGAAATTTATTTTCGTGAGATATTAAATATTTCTGGAAAAACCAAATCCGATTCTTAATGGAATCTCAAGTTTGTAGTTTATAATCTCTTAATTATTAAGTTCAGAAGTTCACACGTGAATTTTTTCCAAAGTTCATAATCTTGAAGTTGAATATTTTTAGTGCTGGAAAGAGCCCAGCATGATGAATTTATTTTATTTCACACATCCTTTTGTCTTTGTTTGTCCCTTTTTAAGAGACTGTTCAAATTATTTTCTATTGGTATTAATATTTCCATATTTTGTTGAATTATGCAAAAAATAATAAAATTAAATGCATTATAGTTTTAGGAAAGTAGCTACATATTCTTTCCAATTAAATTCATACATATTATTTGTTTATGTGCATTTTTTTGCATGCTTGACAACGATTTCTGAATGAAGATAAATTCATTTTTTTTTACTTTAGTATGTTTTAATTATCACATTGTTCCTTGGACGTATTAGTTGTATTCTTAAAATATGAATAAATATTTTGTATGCCAAGACTAAATTGATTGTTAATTTCTTGTAATTATAATGCGAGCAGATTTTTCATAATGACTCTGTTGGTATATTAAATCAGTAACTTCAATAACATAGTGATCTCGGCGCTGAATTGTAGGCCTGATGTGGCCTGTCTCCGATTCTTTTCCTTTTCGTGCCTTGTTCACAGAAGATCTAAAATCGTGTCATTTGCCGGATTTTTTCATAAGTGACGATAGTTTGAAATAGCTACTCGACTTCCACCGGGTTCGATATGGTGCTAGGCATTTCAAATCTGAACATATATTTTTCCATAGAGTGGCCCCTGGTGTTGGTTCTTGTTTCAAATTTTAGTAATCCTTCGGGGACCTTGTATAAACCATGAGTATACTTGTATACTTCAATGAAGTCCCCACGCAGACGTCGATAACTGAGGCTTGGAAGCTTCATAATCTTTAATCTTTCTTCATAGGACTTGCCCTTCAAGCCTGGAATTATCCTGGTTGCACGTCTTTGAACATTCTTCATTAAATTTTTGTCCTTTTCAAATCTCGGTGACCACACAACGTTTCCAAACTCCAGATTTGGGCGCACGAAAGCAACAAACAACTGCTTCATCGTTTCTGCATCTAGGAACTCGTATGAACGTCTGATTAGTCCAAGAAGTTTGTTGGATGTGTTAGCTTGCGTTTCAACATGCTTAGAAAATTTCAGCTCCTTGTCGACATAAACTCCGAGATCTTTTTCCACACTAGACTTTTCAATCATTACTCTCTCGTTGCAACCATGTCATCTCATACTGTAATCTTGCTGTTCATTGTTATTCCCGAGGTGTAGTACTTTACACTTGTCAGCATTAAACGCAGCTGCCACGTATCAGCCCAGTTAACTAACTGTCAAGATCATCTTGCAATTGCGCTTTATTTGACGCATCCTTCGCTGAATTATAAACTTTTGTGTCGTCGGCATACATGGAGTACACGCTGGACACTGCTGCTGGCAGATCATTTATAAAAGCAACGAACAAAATAGGCCCAAGAACGCTTTCTTGTGGCACGCCACTGCGCACTGATGCCCAGTCTGACACGGTTCCGTTATTACTGACACGTTGTCGTCTACCTACTAGAAATTCTCTGATCCATTGGAGTACGTTTCCCTCAATTCCCAAAGACTTCACTTTACGCAACAGCCGCTCATGCGGAACACTGTCAAATACTTAGGCAAAATCGAGGGCTGGCTCCCTTTTGTCCAGCAGGCAAGTCCAGTCGGTCAACGTAGATAATAAGTTAGTGGTGCAGGATCTCCCGGCAATAAAAATGCTGCTCTTTGAATAAATTCTGCGAAATACGAAATTGTAAAGTAAATCTCCATCCGTTTTCAGCTCCAATGAAGCTTTTTTAAGTACTTATTTAGGATGAAAGGTTCAAATCAAACTGATTTTTTTTTTTTGGAAATGAAAGCTTCTTTGTAATAACTCCTTAGCAGGATCAGCATTGCGTCGTTTCGCAATAATTATGATGAAAGTAATTTATACTTCTTAAGTATTTTAATTGTTTAGGATCGGCCAATGTGGAGCATATTGACGTAACCTCCATGTGAAAGAAAAATTTAGTCGAATAATCGATTTTGGTTTTTGATTCTGATGTATAATTCCACTAAATGACTAAAAGATGCTAAAATCGCGCTAAATTTTCATCTCAACTTTTCGCCGATAATTACGTCGTTGAATGCATTAGTAAAAATAACCGCATTTTGTGTTCGTTGGATACGACTCACGATATGAAATGTCAACACGAATTACGATTTCTTCAGATTTCGCCTTATTTCTTGCATACATTAGCATCTCGTAATAGAATTTTACTTGAGAGTAATTAAACACCTGAGACTAATTTCAAGTTTAAATCTCGAATAATTTTTGGGTTAGAATGAAAATTTCTTCACAAGTGTTGTCTGACGCCAGTTATTATTGATTATATATCGATGTAGCAGAGAACAGTGAGAACGATAAAAGATTAAGCCAAGCCAGACGTGGACGCTTCATACGCGAGAGACAAAATTTCGATTTATATTTCACAAGAAGTTCATGATTTGACGTAGGCTAATCAGAATACACCGATTAATAATAAACGTTTATTAAAATTAAGTGATTCTTTTGTGCTTAGCCCTCGCTAAATTGTCCAACCCATGGTTGATTCAACCATGGTCCAACCGAACTACCAACATGCATAACCGGATTCACAATATAATAAATAGTTTTTGCGTACATAACATTCACAATACATACATAACATTCACAATATAATAAAAATTGTACGCAAGCTATGAGTTAGGTAATTTTTACATGATTATACATATTAAAGATGAATTCATGAATTACAGATAAAATTATGCATTTAATAGTGTTGCTGTTTCCATGATTTTTCGCCAATCTCAAGTGTTGGTACGCCTAACATCTGACTTAATTGCTGCCCGAATTGTTGTTACCGAATTGCGAAATGGTAACATTGCGAAGTATATAATCTGAGCCATTTTTTACCACGGCCTGCAGCAGCAAATTCTTGATGAGTTGATGCTGAGTAAAGTAAATTTGCATTATGATCGTGCCTCTTAAAATTGGAAAGGTGCTGCTCGTTGTTAGGTTCAAATAGTTCAAAGTTGTGATGAATTCGGTTGCACCTTGATTTGAATATCTCGTGTACGCTGTACCTGTACGCCGTGTACGGTTACTTGGGTAAGCTATGTTAACTCGCTGGCAACTGGCAATCGAATCTTATTACTAATACTGACCAGTCTAACTAGTAACTATAATCTATAACTAACACAAATTGCTGTGAACCGGCGAATCTTTACTTCTGTTACAGTTACACCAGCCGTCGGCCGATTGCATTTCATGCTTCATGGTCCTAGGCTAATGCTATAAGCAATTGGGAAATAAAATATGCCAAATATGGATGATCGCTGATGCCATTGCGTGGCTGTAAGGCTGTTGAGGTTATTCAAGTTAGGTACCTAGTGTGTATAAGATGGGAAGCAAGATTTAGCAAACTTTACTGTTTACATACCTAAATGATTCAATGACATTCAAATAAAGCTTGCTTAGTTTTCTATCATGTATGTTAACTTCAAACAGTCAAATTAATATCATAATGGCAAAGCAGAGAGTTTTTCAGACTCTCCCTCAAGTTCATTTTTGTGTTCTTTAAGTAGACCAGTAAAGTTTCATGGATACCAGCAGGCATAGTGGCAAAGCAGAGAGTTTTTTAGACTCTCCCAGTCTCCCTCAAGTTCAATTTTGAGTACTATAAGTAGACCAGTAAAGTATCATGGATACATACCACTACCAGCATTATCATACATAAGAAATTGGCTTAAATATTGAGTAAATGAGGAAATTAAAAATGAACTGATTCTAAAAAATCTCTGGTTTGCCACTATGCCAGCAGGCATGGTGGCAGGGAATTATTGTGAGTACTTATTGGTCCACTGCCGTGCGTCGGTCTTAACCCTTCGCAAGGCCCCATGCCCTTGGCCCTTGGGCCCCTCTTGCAAGTTGTAATGGTCTAAACTCAACAGTTCGACCCCTGGCCCCATCCCCATGGTCTCATCACAACTCCCTTTAGAAATATGTGGAGTTTCGAAATTGAAGATCGTTCCAAGCTTTGTACAAAAATTGAAATTTGCTTAATTAAAAGCCTAATAGCTGTTAATTAAAACGTAATTAAGTAGTGTTCAATATTCGTTAGTGTTCTAATTCAAAGCCGTGTTGTATCCCAATACAGCTCAAACAGCAAACGGAATTCGAACACGTGGATGTCGGCATTACGTATCAGTTAAATTTGAAGCGCTGACGCAATACGACTCACCACGTGTCAAATATTGCCACACACAGTGACGGAATATAGGGATTTGGTAGGTTTCCATTCTAGAGGCTTTTTAATAAATGTGTCAACATTTTGTGACGTTTCATCGTTGCTGACGCGTAGTGAAGTGTTTTGAGTCACATAAAGCAAACAGAACTCTAGTAACGCATATGGTTATTTTTTTATAGTTTTTCATTTCTCGATGCGTCCTTAATGTGATGGAATATACCACGTTTACCCTGCTCATAGGACTCAAAAATGAACTTGAGGAAGAGTCTAAAAAACTTTCTGCTTTGCCACTATGACCAGCATTATCATGCATAAGAAATTGATTTAAATGTTGAGAAAATAATGAAATTAAAAATGAACTAATTCCAATAAATTTCTGGTTTGTCACTCTGCAGTCAATCCCTTGACTTGGCTATCACCATCAGCAAAATTTTATCTCCTTATTTTTTATTAATTTTCTATTATAAAGCCAGGGAAGCTGAAACAGAAAAACTGGGATTGGCTCATTGGCTGGTCTACCATTAATATCACAATCTGACAATCACATAATTTGCCACTTGCCAACATAGGTAGCAACAAACCATGGATATTTTAGAATCAGATTATTTTTAATTTCCGCATCTATTCAAGATTTATGCAATTTCTTATGTATAATGAAAATGCTTGACACGTTGAGTCATAGTGCAATAATGCAATTCTATAGGGAATTTAAATGAACTTGGTAGTTGGTCTAATGACATTTTGTACTGGTCAATGCTTCTTTACAGACCACCGCACTGTCCGCACAAGTCATAACACACTAGCACCTTCCCAAACAAAAGATAGCTGCAGGCTGCAGGCTAAATGAACAAAAGGGGCAGCCAAGCATTGTGTTGGAGTTGGTCAGACTTTTGGCAGCAAGCTGGCAGCTAGCCTTGCTTGGTAAAGAATTTTGAATTTGCAAGTATAAAGCTTGGAAAAAGATGGGTTTCAACTCCTTGGGAGTCTAAAAAATATTGAAAATGTATGTTTCTGCATAGATTTCAAAGCTGTTAACATTGAGAAACTTCAATGTATTTCTACAAGAAATACTTGCTTAATAAATTATTATTTTATATTAATTTCCCTTGAAAACTGAGTGCTCAAACTTGGACTTTGGAGTGATGTTTATAGCCAAATTAAAATTAAAACTGCAACAAATAGTCTTGCCACAATAATCACCTCTCTTGCTGCTGCTGGAATTCCACTATGCATGATATGGCACATTGTAAGGGGAGTCAACATATGATGAGATATGTCCCACTCATCTTTTGGGCAATTTTAAATTTAATTTCACAATAAAATATTGATTTCATTAACACTGAGATTTAAGTGATGGAAAGTTGTTTTAAAATTGAACACCTCTTAATATGCATCCAGGTATGAATTTTTGTGTTTTACTCAATTTTTTGATATTGTCTAAATCACTTTACTTCACATTCTGAATGATTTAATCTCTCATTGTGCATTTTTCACCATTTCGTGTCATTTTAAAGATGTTGATTGTTTAGAAGCGAAAATTACTTTATTTTCATAAATCATTGAGCACTTAGTCATGTGACATTTGTATGGTGTATTAAAATTTAATAACAGCAATGCTTTCCGCCTTCCAGAATTTAAACCCAAAAAATTAGTGTATAAGTATTTAGATTTCATAATTAGATATATTAACATTATAGATGGATAATAAATTTTGAAAATAGATAAACATGATGAAAAAATTGATGATCAGTTATTAATATCAGAAACAAGATTTAAATTTTTTTCTCAATTTATATTACCAGCACCTAAACTCTAAACAAGTAAGCAAAAGGTATTTTTGATTTTAATGCTCAATGTTTTCTGAGGTTATTTTGACTAATCAGCAGCAGAACAATGCAACACTTTAGTGGATAATCAATGGTCAGGTTAGTTGGCATGTGTTTCTACAGCTGTAGCTGGTAAAATAGCATCCTGGGAATGAAGATAAAATTGGCATCCATACATCCCAAATTATTTGAAAATGAATGGATTTGGTATGCATTTGATGAAACCCATTTATGTACGTACGGGAATGCATCAGGTGGCCCAAATGAGGGTGGATGAACGATAATCAGAGGGGGTGATCCATCGTGGCCTGGGACTGCTATGTCCCAAACAAATACTAAGGTTACTAAGGAATGGAAGTGTTCCTACTATTTCAGAATCTGTTCTTGATTAGACTTGTTGGAACTAAACTTTTATAGTCAATAGAGTCTTTGAAACAACAAAATACTTGGATTTAAAACATTTAGGAGAGTGAAAATGTCAAAAAAGTTATTAGAAATATTTGTTTCCTGGCATAAAGGTTCAAATATATTTTTAACCTTTATCAGAAATTATGCTAATGTTAATTAACTTGTACTGAATATGCAGTATATTAAAGGCTTTAACACTAAAACATTCATTCCAGCTCATTGCTACATCATTCAAAGATATCACCAGTGATGCCTGAAAACTTGTGGCAGTCTGGCAGGCTGCCACTAGTATTTGCATTTGTACACATCTTGAATTGGCTCTGCTCCTTTGTTTACAATTATAACAATCAATATTTATCAATTAATTTACCAATAATGTTTCTAATATGATATAGTTGGCAAGTGTATATTGAAATGCACTGCTGCAATGCTAACAGTAATCTGGATACATAACTTAGTTGTACGGGTGCTTTCATTGTATGCACATGCATGTGATTTTGCACCTTCAAATAGCTTGTGCAGTGTGCATCATGTTTAACTCTTATTGGTAGTGTGATTCAGTATTAATTCATGAATATTAATTTGTTGTGTTTTACTTTGAGACAAATTGCTAATGAACTATTATTTAGTCTAGTTCAAAATCAAAGTGTTGCAACCTTCATTCTTGACTTTTAAGTCCTCTAAGTAGACCAGTAATGTTTCATAGATACCAGCCTTATCATAAATAAGAAATTGGTTTAAATCTTGAGTAAATAGGGAAATAAAAAATGAAATGATTTTAAAAAATCTGTGGTTGTCACTATGTACCAGGCACACCTCACTATCAATTGTAAAAGACTAGTCAGAACTATGACTTGTACTAAGTTGTAACCTGTAAGGTTCCATTGCCACATGCTTGGAAAAACTAGGGAAGATGTTTTGATCTATTGATAATGCTAGAAAGATTAGGTTGAGTTTTCTCTATTAAATAGTTTCTATTGAATGCTGGTGACTGGTGCTGCTGAGTGCTGGCAAGGTTATCAGCATTGATGAGTAACTCTAAAAGAAGTGAAGATGTGCTTGTTCACTGCAATCACTGATTCAGTTTATATTTTGATTTATTTAAAAATGACAGATGAATAGTTATCTTATCTGTTGTTAATAAAATTGAAATAGGATCTTTCAATGTTTTGTGTCAGGAGTTGGGCAAATTGGAAAAAATATACATACTTTTCACTATGTGCTAAACTGCAGGAGTGTCTTAGTCTCATTTGCCACTTTGCATGAATCATTATGATGATCCATACTGGAAAAATGTGCAGAAAGCACCTGTGAATGCAGTGAAAATGCCTGAGATAAGCATGCTTACATTAAATTTTATGTGATATTATGGCCTTTCCTTGAGTATTTAGAACTATTTTTTTAAAAAGTAAGAAAATTCCTGTATTTTTGATCTGTATTTTCAAAAGCAAGTACAAACTACACTCAGCTTGGCAGTACCATAAATGTCTTTAATGTTGTCAGGGCACTTATGTTGCCAACTTTCAATTATTCAATAAAAATAACCTGTTTTTTAAACAAAACTGAACTACTAATTTCTAGTGTGATCAAAGAAGGCTTCTTAGCCATCATGTGGTAATTGAACCCTACAAATAGTAATTCTGCCAAGCATTATTCTATTTTCATTTATCAGAAGCAAATTAAGTGTAGATCCAAACTCTGGACAGTGCCATTTTCCATGGATTAATCCAGCATACATGCAACTTCAAGTCCTAGCATTGACATTCAAGGAGCTGAATTTAATTACCTATGTATTTGGTCAAGTTGGTGTACACATATACCAGTCTGGTGGACATTTATGTCCAGTGTGCCTGCTGCTGGTACTAGAAAAACTGAAAATTGCTCCAACACCCCTTAAAACTGGTATAAACCCATTTTAGCTTGAAAAGCAATGTTTACTTTATTTCAAAATCAGTACCGTCAAACAGGGTAAAAAGGGATGGGCGGGGTAAATTGGGACATGCGTCCCACATTTCGTAGAAATGTTGTAGCAGCTAAACTAATCAAAATATTGCAAAACTAAAAATAGTGGCATAAACTTCAACATTTTTACTATCTATTCTGTATAAAGCTAGTCAAGAAATCAATATTTACTATCTCTAAAAAATCACTGAAAAAAATGTGTGAAAAGTGCAATTTTTGGAAAAGTATCTCTGCTAAGGTCTGGAGCAAAAAAAAATATTTGCCATATTAGAAAATTTTACTTGCATAAAAGTTGCACCCAGGTGTTGGCTTGAAAACGTAATTGACGGAATTTGCCTATCTCATTCCAAAAGAGATGGCAGCCATTTCCGCACATCGGGGCTACTCAGGACACCCCCCCCCCCCGGGGTAATTAGGGACACCCTTAAACATGCATTTACAGTAGAACCTCAGTTAGTAAAGGTTCCAGTTAACAAAAAAATTGATTAACAACAAAAAATTTTGATTACATTTACCTCGCTCAGCAAAAAAATTCACTTAGCGAAAAATTAGTGCATCATCGGTCGTCACAAAATTGTATATAGAAGGCTATATATAGAATTGTGCACTGGGCATCATAGAATGAAAAGTAATTGACGTAAACTATGATTTATTTCTCCAAAACGTGTGATGGTTGTCACTAAAATATTATTTTCTGTTTCAGGTATGTTTTTCATGATCTTTTTTGTTATAGTGAAATTACTTGACTCAATTAAAATTGTGCGAAATTACAAACCATCCTGTAAGCTTGCAGATACAGAAGAAATGCTACATGGCTGCTGATATGAAGCTTACAGTGGACAAGTTCGTTGTCAATGCTCAATGGCATGTCCATGGATACAGGAATATCACATTAATAATACGGTAATTAATGAATATGGTAATATAATATCAATAAAGGAAAAGCAACTAAAAATCACAGAAAATGTCATTTATTCTACATCTACATCATCTACAATGAAGGAGGAGGACTTCAAAGTACTGTTAGTAATGGATGAGTACCGTCAACCAGGGCAACTCGGGACTGTCGGGGCAACTTGGGACGCACCTCTGACACGTCGTAAAACAGTCATAGTAGCGAAACTAATTGGAATATTGCTAAACTAAATATAGTGGCCTAAACAACATTTTTCCTATCTATGTAGTATAAAGGAAGTCGAAAAATATGACATTTACTAGCTTTAAAAAATTCCTGAAAAAAATGGTGAAAAACGCTATTTTGAAAAGTTACTTCTGCTAAGGTCTGTAGCAAAAAAAAATATTTGCCGTATTAAAAAATTTTACTTACATAAAAGTTGCACCCAGGTGTCGGCTTGAAAAAAAAAAATGGCGGCCATTTCCGCACGGCTGGGCTACTCGGGACACCCCCCCGGGGCTATTCAGGACACCGCAGAAAGCACATTTACAGTAGAACCTCAGTTAGCAAAGGCACCAGTTAAGAAAAAAATTGATTAAAAACAAAGAATATTGATTACATTTACCTCGCTGAGCGAAAAAAAAAGTTCACTTATCGTCTCACAAATTACAAGCCGTCCTGTAAGCTTACAGATACAGAAAAAATGCTACGATGCTGCTGATATGAAGCTTGCAGTTGACAAGGTTGTTGTAAATGCTCAATGGCATGTTCATGGATACTGTAATATCCCATCAATAATACGGTACCCTCAACTGGGTGATTCAGCCCTGTTCATAATGATGGCCAAAGTGGGGTAATAAACGGTCATAAACAGTGGCCAAAGTCACTCAGGCGTTTATGACCTGGTTTACAACCCTGGCGTTTATGACCCCGACGTTTATGACCCCGGCGTTTACGACCCCGCGTTTACGACCCCAGCATGAATCAAAAACACAGCAGAAGTCACCCCAGTTGACGGTAATTAATGTTTATGGTAATATATCAATGAAGGAAAAACTAGTAAAAGTCACAGAAAATGTCATTTATTCTACCTCTACATTGTCTACAATGAAAGAGGAGGACTTCAGAGTACTGTTAGTAATGGATGAGTAGGCTCTCCATGCTTCAAATATTTTAAAATGAAGTTTTATTCCCAGTGTCCTGAGTAGCCCCGTTCGACAGGGCTACTGGGGACACTCTTTTTTTGCTTCTGGCACCTTAGGAATAGCATATGGATTTTTTTTTAAGATGCCATTCGATAGCCCTCGCAAAGAGCTATAAAATGAGCCTAAACTTGTTTATGAAATGTTTCATCGTAAGAAGTTATCAACAAAAAACGCTCAAAACCGTCCCGAGTAGCCCCGGTTGACGGTACACTCTGCATGCTTCAAATGTTTTAAAATTAATTTTTATTGACATTTTCCCAGATTACCCCGTTCCCAGGGGTAAATTGGGACTGTTTTATTTTGCGTCTGGCATCTTACGAATAGCATATGGAATTTTTTCAAGATGCCATTAGATAGCCCTCGCAAAGAGCTATAAAATGAGCCTAAACTTGTTTCTGAAATGTTTCATGGTAAGAAGTTGTTAACATAAAATGCTCAAAACCATCCCTTTTTACCCCATTTGACAGTATAAACTGGTATCAACTTTAACAACAGTGTTTACCATCATTACAATGTGGTTGTTGTTGTAATAGCCCATCCTGGCAGTGGTGACTAGGGAGGGGGGGTGATAGGTCAGTTTTTCCAGGCACTCAGTGCCACTGGTAGTTCCACAACCATCACTGGCTTGCTGACCCGCCAGAACCATTTGGTTGCATTACACAATACCCTGGACAAGCCAGGTACTCATTTATCAATCAGATTTGGATGAATGGCTGAGTTGACAATGAGCTGAGCTTCCTGGAAGAACTTGTCCTCAGTGTGACTCAAACCCGGGCCCTGGGTGCGAGAGACAGAGTCTCACCACGGCACCACACAGCTTTAGGATAAATTACAATGTGGTGCTGATGGCCCATGTTGCTCTAACTCTAGTATAAACTGATATAAACATGGGCAATGTTTATGTTGTTTCAAAACTGTATAAACCAGTATAAAATGCAGTGTTTGTGTTCATTACAATGTGGTGCTGGTGGCCAGTGATGTCATTGGTGATGTCATCAAGCAACTCAGTAACGGTACACCTAAAAGACTTACTGTTGTACTGTAACTGTGGTACATTTGTTTATGCCTGGTGTGGCTTAATATGTCAAATCCCTGGTGTACCAGCGTACATCCCTAGAAAAAACTCCTGTGTGCACAAAACACATTCCAGACATAGGAGTGTAACAACTGCTAAGTTGCAGCCCTGGCATAGAATATATCTACCTTTAGTGCTACAACCAGAGCTTTTATGCCATTTTTGCAATGCAAGAATCACACTAGATGAAACACCTATCTTATTGTTAAGAAAATGCACAATTCCAAATGAATTGAAAATTTGCTGCTTCAGAGCCACCAGATTTCAGTAACATGTATAAAAAAAATAACTCAGTACTCACTGCAACTGCAGTGAGTGACAGAGAGCGCATTTTCTCATTGACGAAAACTTGAGGTCACGGACAGATGGATGGACAGACAGACAGACGGACGGACATTGCGAGCACAATAGTGCATTTTTTCCATAAATGAGAAAATGCGCTAAAAATTCCAATTCTGTGGCAACCCATGTGACATTGATGGGAATCATCAAGAACAGGATAGTTACATTTCAATTCAAAAATACGAAGCATTTATTTGAATAAAATAATGTACCGGGAACATAATTATTTTTTATTTGAACAACAACTACAACAACATCAACTATTATTACAGTACATGGCAGAGTTGATAAGAAACAAGCAACTTTTATCTCTTATATTTATTCTTAACTCTTAATTTTTGTATTCTTAACTGAGTACCTTATAAGGTTCTTTAAGAAGAAAATTAAATTGAGAGAATGACTTTCTGACAGGTATTTCTCATCCGCCAGGTCAAAATGAAGAAAAACATATTTTTTCTGAATGGAAGAAGTGGGAACAGATGTACTAATGAACAGGAGTGCCATGCTGCATGCTGTGATGGAGGAAACTCAGCATCACATTGCAGTACTTCAGCAGTGCAAGATACAAATATAAATTTGAAAAATTCTGAAAAAATAAATATTGCATCTGATAGTACAGGCTCTACAAACGTGTCTGTGCATATGCGCAAGAATAATGTGCAGCTGCAACTGAAAAAATTAGGTAAGGAACTGGTGCTTGATCCCAAAGATCAATTGATTGTTATGATCTTCAAATATCATGAGTTACAATAGAGTCCTAAGTGAATAGTTATTAGGGATGAAAGAATGCAATTTTTTTCTTATGAAATATGTATCATGTGTTTCATAATGCCTAAATTCATTGATCAAATCTCTCAACTGAATTAGATATGTATTATTTGGTTCCTTAATTCTTCATACTCCTTACAGGCACTGAAGGAAGATGGAGTGTTGAAGAAAATTCTTTAATAGTTGACGAAAATCCATCAATGATGGGTAATATTTGTCCCAATTCTCCAACATCCAGTCAAAGCCTTCAAGAGAAACATGTCAACATCAAGCCTAATTTTTTTTATGGTTCAGTGTCACCAAATGTGGAAAAACATATTTCCATGTGCAATGGCAATAGCTCTGTACCCAAAACATTGTGTAATAGCCTAGGAAAAGACTTGGTTGAGACTGACTTGCAGCAAAATATTCAGCATAATTCTCATTCAGTAGTCATGAAAAACTTAAATGGCACAAGTCAAGTGTTCAACAATAATCTCACTCAACAGAGAAACTCTTTATCTAATGGATCTGATTTTCCCAAGTGTCCTTCATTAGTTTACAAAAATGTTCTATCTGAAGAAGAAGCAGACAATCCATGCCAACTTTCAATCAGAACAAAAAACAATAACAATGTTGGTGTTGTAGACAAACCTTCTCTTGTTAAAGACGGCATGGATGAATACTTCAAAGAATATAAAGTCATCCCTGCCGACGGTACAAATGGCGAGGGTGACACAGCAGATCTTCCAGATCTTCTACAAGTGGATCAGCAGTCTGAAAGCAATGATCATTCCAAACCTCTTCCGACTACAACTGTTACAACTGCTACCATTGCAGGTTGGAATTATTACAGTCTGTTTTGTGTTGTGTTGTAAATTAGTTAAACTGCTCAACTGGTACTTAAGTTAATATTATTGCTGTTTGAATAGTTTAAATTGTCAAGCATGTTTGATTTATGTAATTTCAAGTTTTTTTATTCATGTCATGATGTAATAGTTATTTATGTTATATAATATAATAGATTATAAAATAATATATAATATACTAAATATAGGGTATGTAATAATTATATGCACAATGTTTTTACATTTTAAGGTGGAACTACTCGTGAAATTCGGGCATACAAAGACGACCAACTGAACCTGTTGAATGGTGATGATTACGAGGACGAGGATGAGTGCATATACACTTATAAAGAAGGCTCTGGTTTTGATGATGTTCTTGTACGTCACCTGCTCACTACCTGCATCAGTTGTGGTCTGCCTAACTACCGTCCTGAAGGTGATATTGATGCATCATCGTCCATAAACCCGCTCAACATTGGTGGCAACACTCATAAAGAGCATCCGCAACAAGAGAACGAGAGCCTCTTCTCTCCTGATATGGATTTTCTTGAGATGGATTTTGATCCTGGGTCAACTGCTGAGGACGCAGAAAGCAGCGACTGTGATGATAATTGCTACCCAGGCATTAAAATGCTGGCTACACCCAATGCTTGCTCCGCCCCAGGAAGCTCCTGTAAAGTTGCAGCTGCAAAATCGAATGTAGGAACTTTTCCTGTGAGTACTTTCTGGATTTGGTAATGTAATTCAACTGAAATAGTTTATAAAGTAAATTTTTAGTGCTGATGCTACATTCTCTGTATATTGCGGTTCTCTATCATTGTTTCTCTTGAAATTTTCTCTTCTTTTGGCAGTATAGATTACCCACAAAATAGTCGTATTTCTAGACGTCAATTTAACTTTCTCTGGTGGTTTGTGCCGGTACTTTTTTTATAAAAGTATTATTTAAACTGCTCTGAAATGTTTTTTAATATTCGGTTTCATGTATTAATTACCCGTTTTTCAGATTGTGAACGGCCACGTGGGTAGTGATGCACAAATTGATAAATTCTCCTCGGTGCTCTGTCGTCGTTGTGAAAGCGACCCAAGCATTGTAAATAAGGTTGTCAACAATGCGAGAGGCAACATAAAATCTTGCGGACAACCCACCTCTAATTCATTAAGTAATGACAGCAACAACTTCACGGGGATGTATGACAGACCTTCAATAAGTCAAGCCAGCTCCGGTGCTGTTCCCAAGAAGATAGATAATATAAAGATTTTAAAAGAATTTGAAGGCAATTCAACTAATATAGAACTGAGAAACGATGCAAGCATACCTCCATCTGTGATCCATAGTATAGTTTTAATTGATAATCTTCTACCTAGTAGCTCTTGTAAAAGCATTTCAGTTGATAACAGTAGAAATTTGAAACAAAATATTATTGATGGAAATAATATTGCTGTTGACTCCTGCCAGGCTGTGTCAGATTCTGAACAAGATACTATAAAGAAAAATTTTTCATCAAATCAGTTGATGAATATAACTGATGGAGTTCAAGCAAGCGATAATAATTTTACGGCATCTAGTGGAGTTTCCTACATTCATAGCCATTCATTTGAGTCTAGTCAATCAAACACTTATGATTTGGAATCAAGATTGTCACACGCCAGTATGGAACCTAGAAAAATCGTGAAGAACTGTTCGGCGTTGCCAAGTGCTTGGAATTGTACCACCAGCAATGGACGTCACAATAACATGAATAAGGAATTTCCAGCTTCTGTCAATAACGATAATAACTTGGGATGTTTTTCTGCACCTGAAGTTAGTCCCGCGCACGAATATTCTCCCCAGCAAGCATTCAAACGCAGCATTAGTTTCCACAACCAACTGTCTAGTCCTAAGTGCGAGAATGTGTGTTGCTATCGATCTCAGTCAATGACGGAAAGCCCTTCAAGCCCTCGAAACCAAACTCAACCTTTGAACAATTCATCAATAAATTTACGGTTACAGAATAATGGCAATTTAAGACCACTGCCGCACCGACACACGTGCTTTGAGTTTTCTGGAATTCCGATTTCCCAGATCAATTCACTTCAATCTTACGATTCTACACATTCCCATAACACCTCACATGTCTGTCACGGAGACCCCACGCAACCCAGCAATCCACTTCAACTCCATGGTGAAGCTCGAACTCGGAATGGCGATGCTCATATATCGCCTGGTGCACTCAATTTGCCGAGATTGGATCTTCTCAGCACAAAGCGTTCCAAAGGAGTTGATTCCAATGACGCTTCCACACCAGCACCACACAAAATCGCCCTAACGGAAGATAATTTAGCCTCTTCGCCCAACAAAAGCGCGGCCGAAGATCGATTTACTAGTCGCCAAACGTCCGTTTTCAACATATCACCGTGCACATCTAAGCTTCCACAAGAAATATTGCCACAGGTCCGTTTATTTTCCGAGCACGTTATAAAAATCTTGTTTCATTTTATTTTATAATCACATGTTTTCAATCAGATCAGTTCCGCCCTCTATTATATTAATATTAAATTATTTTATGTTCAGTCCTTAACTCTGACTATGATTAATTTACAAATAATTATTGGTACTTTATTCATTTTCTACCAAGTTTTGATAAAGTTGTAGTCCCTTGTCACATATTTGCTTAAAGATTGCACTTACAGCATCATGGAAAACAAGAGTTTCATCACTCAACTCAATGCCCTGCATTAAAAATTCTAATGTGTTTTGTATGTCCAGTGTGAGGACCTGAGCAGCAGTAGCGGTGCTGGAGGTGATGGTGGTGACTTTGAAGGAGAAAAATTCAGCTCCTGGGTGGTTAAAGGTTCTTTGCCTCCCAAAATCAGCGATCCTTCCATAGACGTTAATACGGTTAGTAATAATTGAAAATATACTTTCCTACTTTGTTTCTTACTTCGATCAAATCTTTATCAATGCGCAATATAGGTAGTATTGTGAAACCTCCTATATCAAGCATCTTAACTAACATACGATTACTTTCTTATAACGTTTTGTGGTTGATATGAGTATCTATGTTCTTTATTTTCAAAACCCGGTTCCATTAGTCAGCATCTGGCATGTCACGTGCAAAAATTAAAACTCGGCAGAAAGACAATAAATCGGATTATATGAAAGGCATGTAGAGTAATATGATCTATGCTGAGAAAGACTCCGTTTTTGTCTAGTTAAGCAACTGAATAATTTTATTTTATTCAGAGTTGAATTAGTACAATATCTTTGTTATTAATATTCATTAGTATTAATATGTCATTACAATTTTTGTTAATATTTCAAACAAAATATAATAATTAATACAATATTTACGTAATATGTATGAAAGTGGTTCCTACCATAGCGTTTCAATTGATAATATTATTCATTAATATTAATATATCATTAATATTTTTGTTGATATTTTAAACAAACTATAATAATTAGTACAATATCTTCGTAATATGTATGAAAGTAGTTACTACCATAGCGTTTCACTTGATAATATTCTAGTTAAAAATTATTCACTTTGAAAATAACCTCAGACGCCGTCCACCGTAAACGCTCGCGACGACAGCTGCCCCCGCGTCCTGCAGAAGACGATGGTTTGGACGGAACGACAGGCAACAGCGCGCCAAGTTCTGCAGCTGCAGCGTAGCGCTTGTGGCCTCTCAGCTGTTGCTAACGTTCTTGTGAGATGCCAAGCTTACGCTATGACTTTGGTTAATGAATTCCAAATTTGATTTTTGCTTAGAATTTTAGTGTTAGGAAATTATGTATATGTTAAGCAAACAATTGATGGCTATGGAGTTCCTAGGACAGCGTCTTAAATCAGTCATTTCATTCTAATGAAATTCGGAAAATAAAGTATTTACTGTATCATTTGCAACAGACCATGAATAACAATACAATTTCCTGGAAGTTAATAAAGAACGTGCAACTTATACTGCACGTTTTTATCATTATGATATCGATCTTTATTAAACTCTCCCTTAAATAAGTCACGGCCTCAACATCTGTTAATTGTTTGGAGACATGATAATTTCTGTGACTGCAGTTGGCGCTCGACCAGCACATTCCGCCGTCAGCCTTGGGTCGTCATGTTGTGCCGCGGTGTAGAGCAGAGGCGGCACCGCTAGTCGACTACCTCCTATCACGAGCCTGTGCCGGCACCACGCATGCTGACCTCATCGACGGCATGACGCGAGCTACGAACGGCTCCGTGGTCGCTCATTTCTTCCATATGTTTCCTAAGCGAGCCGTACAGCTCTCCAGATGGTTGGCGTCCTGGATCAGCAAAGGTAAATACTGGTAAACAGTACATTTATATAATTAACTAAAAATATTGAAAAAAATAATAAAAATATTCATAATTTAGCATCGTTCGAAATTTGAAATGATTTGTGGTTTAACTGAACATATCAAATTTTGATTGAAATACTTTGAGAGAGTATTTAAATACCAAATGTGACGGTGATTGTACATAGATTTTTCACTTTCATTATTTGTTATTAATTTGAGATTAAATGATATAAATTGGTTGTGAGAAATAACTTGGAAAATGTATTAGTATGTTTAATTTTCATGACATCATGTGAGCCTGCATTAAGTGCATTTCAAATACTTGGTTATGATTGTCATGCACTGTATTTTATGGCGTTGTAGAATAAGTAAATTTATTTTACAGGAGGTGTGGCGGTGTGCACGCTGAACTTGCAGCGCGGGGTGAGCGCCGGACAAACCATCCCTGACGCCTGGCATCATCAAATGGTCTTCGGCGTAGGCCCACAGGTCTGCCGCTCTTCACCTACTTTTTCTGCCCGTACAGGATATCTAGGCCTTGTGTTGAATTCTTTATTATTGGTTAATAATCGTCATGGCTGATAGAACAAGTGAATTTATTTCTTATTTTTGATTTTCAATCAAAACTAAGCTCGTGGTTATTGTTGTCATGCAATGTATTTTATGGCGTAGTAGAACAAGTGAATTTTTTTTTTTTTTTTCAAGCGAAAACTAAGCTTGTGCTAATGATTGTCATGCAATGTATTTTATGGCGTTGCAGAACTAAACAAGTGAATTTATTTTTTAGTTTTGTTTTCAACGAAAAACTATGCTCGTGGTTGTGGTTGTAATGCTATGTATTTTATGTCGTTTAGAACAAGTGAATTTATTTTTTGTTTTTTCAACCAAAAACTAAGCTTGTGGTAATGATTGTCATGCAATGTATTTTATGGCGTTGCACAACTGAAAAAGTGAATTTATTTTCTATTTTTGTTTTTCAACCTAAAACTAAGATCGTGGTTATGGTTGTCTTGCAATGTATTTCATAGCGTTGTAGAACAAGTGAACTTATTTTTTTTATTTTTGTTTTTCAACCTACAACTAAGCTCGTGGTTATGATCTTCATGCAATGTATTCTATGGCGTTTGACTTTATTTTGTTCAGGGCGTGTACTTGACGAATCCCGTTGAGTGCGTGAGCGAAGAGCGGCTCAGTGAGCAGCTATGCAGTGAACGCGTGCTGCTCGTGCGGCGTGATGACATCGTCAGACACTGGGACCCTTCGCAAGCCCTTCACGCTTTGCTGCAACAGCAGGACCAGCGCTGGCGGGATATGAATGTTCTGGGTAAAGACTAAGAGATGCACTAACCAAGAACGGCAATTTTTAAACCCGGAACAATGACAACTATTCCCCTTTCTGTTAATTTTATAGTCCATATTAGATCGGACTTGCCATGCCTCAGTTGTTGAACACGAGAAAAACTCAAATAACTTTAGACGTTGAATTCTTTCGAAGAACAGATAATTAAAAGAACTATAGTTCGAAACTTAGTTATAGTATTTAGTAGTTGCTACCAAATGAGCACAAGTTCATAAGCGGAACTCTATAAATCCTTGTTTGTATTTTCAGGTCAAGTATCATTGGTGTTGAAGGAGCAGCAATGCAGTGCAAGACGCAGTGGCTGCAGCCAGCAACGTGGTCGTGAACGTCTGACATCTCACGTTGGTATCCCTGCAGCCTACCACTCTGGAGTGACGGTCTTCATGCGCTCAGACAACAGCCATGCTCACGAGCTGCTCAACGCTCCCGACCTGCCCTTGTTGGAATAAAACAAATCTTTTACCTCTTCCTTCTATTGCTATAATATTTTAATAGCTAATTCAGTAGTATTTTCCATACGTTCTCATCTACCTACATCTGATGGGGAGATATATTTATATCGTGCAACTTTCCAGTCACTGTTCAAGTGACTCATCTAAGCATTAGTAGAAGTATATCACTTTCGCGTTTATTTATATTCTTAGTAGATTCTATAAATGCAAAATCAGTCGCAATCTTTTATATGCATTGTGAGCGATTGAAAACGTGCGGCAGTGGTGAAATGAACTATGGGGACGTTATGATGCGAGACGAAGAACCGGTCAGCCAGTACTACTAATTAAATTACATTCAGTACTAGCTGAGCCCTGCAAGTTTGAAATGTTTGCTGCTGCGTAGAAAATTTCAGGTTGTGATGGCATTTGAGAGATTTGAAAGTGACAAATATAATCATTGATTCATTGTCGAGGTGGAAATAATGTCAAGTTTTAATCACGAATAGGAGCTGAAACTGTGGGCATCTCATGCGCACAACATGAAAGTCATTATATGAATAAGGTACTAAAATGGAAAGCCTATTTAGTTATTTAATTTTTACCAAAATAATGGTAAGAGCAATTGAATTATATACTTTGAAATATCATAAAAAGGTTGACTCGAATGGATTGAAAGCCTCTTGTACACTCCTGCGAATTGTATCGCATGACTGTGTAATCGAGACTTTAGATTTGTTCGCCACGTGCTTGAAGTGAACTGTATCCACGTGAATAAATTTGTTTCAGTAACCTCTAACCGCCTTATACTTTCTTGTCCAACCAAACAACAACGTCGTTCAAACGTTTCTACGAAATATAGGTACTGAAAATTACCGTAATTTCATTAGTGGCATCATCTTCCGATGCGCTTCAAATGATTGTGGAGAATTATTAGACCGGCTAACTTCTTGAAAAGTGCTACCGAGTTTATTTTTGTTGTTAGTGAATTGAATATTATCTAAATTAAAAATCGTGATTTGCTGAGAATTTAGAAAGGCATCAGTTCAAGTAGCTTTACAAGTTTGGAGTTGTGTAAGCTTGCGGCGACAATGAGTTAATGTTTTGAGACAAACGGCGTAACCGTGACATCCGCATCCATCTCTCAACGCACTAATTCAAATTGATCTGCATTTAAATCCTCAGTTCCGAGAAACAGCGAGTCAGAGTTGGTTTTTAAGATAAACTGCGGGAGTTGGATCGTGGTGTTATTTGTAATTTTTTATAATCTATTGGAGATTATCACCGAACTTAGTGAAGGCATGACTTTGATTTTGAAACGTTGAAGCTCCCAGACTTCTAACCAAGAAAATGCCGGAAATGGTAATCCACACTACCGATGTTATCGGTGAGTACTGTGCTACGTAATTAGCTCATATGTCATCAGCTCGACTCATTTTTGCGAGTGTATCTGTTAAGAAAGAATTAAACGATTTTGGTCACTTCTTAACTCCATGCCTTGCCTTACGTCGAACTATTTATTTACCGTAGTGGACTAGTGGTAGGTTTGGTTAGGTTTGCATCGTCAACGTGTTGGCCTCCGCGTTGACTATTGTATTGGTGATTCGGAATAGAATCGCAGACTATCTTGCGATTCGGAATAGAATTTCGAAATGGTCAAAGATTCAAAATAATGAATAGAATAGAAGTGTCGGCGTTGAAGACATAGGCCCATGGCCTGTTGCCGATTCTTGAACTTTTCGTGACTTGATTCACAAGGGATCCAGCCTTTGGAACCCGATCTTTCCATAACTGACGATTGATTGAGGTAGCTGCTGGACTTATTGCCTGCTCCGTAATTTGCTAGGCATTTTAAGACTGAACATATGCTCCTGCATAGCTTCGTCTAGTCTTATTGCCTGGTCCGTAATTTGCTAGGCATTTTAAGACTGAACATATGCTCCTGCATAGCTTCGTCTAGTCTGTTTTTGAAGATGTTCATACTCGGAGCTTCAACAATGCTATCAGGGAGGCTGTTCCACATGTCGGTGACTCGAAGCGAGAAGAAATGTTGTCGCATGGATGTGTTCCAACGCTGTTTTTTTTTTAGTTTATTGCCGTGGCCCCTGGTGTTGGTTCTTGTTTCAAATTCTAGTAATCCTTCTGGGACCTTGTATAAGCCATGAGTATATTTGTATACTTCAATGAGGTCCCCACGCAGACGTCGATAGTGGAGGCTTGGAACTTCATAATCTTTAATCTTTCAAGCCCGGAAGTATCCTTGTTGCGCGTCTTTGAACACTATCTACTAAATTTTTGTCCTTTTCAAATTTCGGTGATGGCCAAATTTATATAAATTATGTGAAGAATTGTAAACTTTCGAGGTTCTTGAGGAGATTGAAGTGAGAAAAGGAAATAATTAGTGCAAATCAGTTTTGTATTTTGACAACTGACCTAGTTACGTCGTCGAGACCTTATGGAGTAGGATCATTCAATTTGATTCAAATAATGTTGAACTTGTTCCGAACACCGGTATTGCGAACTGAGATAGGAAATTTCTTACCTAAAGATGAACTACATATATAGTTTATATTTTATATATAGTTTATTTTTTATGGAGACGACGCGAGTAACACGATCACACATGTATTTAAAAACTACGATGGGTTCAACAGCATTGAACTCCTTTATAATTTCTAGGTTATCTTTGCAGGTTTCTTTCTCCGCTTCTTATACTCAGGTTTTGGTTCTTCGTGACGTCTTCTCGCAAACTTTAATCATACTGTTTCTTAAAATTAATGCATGAACCTCATACGTGACCATCTTATTGTTCAACAATAAACAGAAAATTGAGCCTTTATTATTTTACATTAGTTGCCATTTGATCCTAAAAATCAATGGACACGACTTCTCGCTTCGCTCTGCAATCTGCATCACAGACAAAGCCCGATGAAACTTAAATTATTATTGAGAAAATTTTTAGTCAAAGATGCAACGATATGAAGTTCAGCCTGCCTAATTGCCCCCCAAAATTATATGCATTTTAATGGTTCTTTTTAGTGACGGTTTTATTTCGTTCTAACCAAATTTTGCATTGCACCTTCATTTCTGACTTTTGTGTACTCCAATCATTTCTCCTGAAATGATTTGCTTAATTAAGATTGAAGGTAATCTCGTTTAAGATTAAAAGGAAAGTCTTTCCATCTTTTGCAAGAAAGAACTTCAGTAGGTTTGTGTTACCTTAATATATTCACATTAATAAATTGATGCACAAGACAGGCTCTCACTCGTTCAAGGAAACTAAAACAACTTCCTCTTTGAATAATGAATGAAGTAACCTTTTATTAGTCAAACTAGTCATTTGCTATGGAAATGCATGCACTTATTTTTACTAATAACTAGGTAGTATTGCGTTTTCGTCGTCCTCGCACTAGAATTAGAAGTTGTGTTTTTCTAGTACGAAATTATTTGATGAAATAACCTTTTAATTGTAGTTGTATGAATGAATAAATTTAACGCGTATTCAAATTAGACAATGAGATTTCCAATTTAATTACATTTCATGTGCTAAATTACGAGCTAATTATATACCATTTGATAAATTGAGTAATCCAGATAGAGGAAGAGAATATTGTCTAATTATTAACTCACAATTGGTGACATGTTACATTTGATTTCTCGTCACCTCACTCTATTCATGTCTGCTCTAAATATTTATATATTTATTGCTCTATTTATAGTTTCTTTTGTATAAATAATGTGGAAGTTAGTCTATAGCTTTTCATTCAATACGTATATCGTCATTTGGTGGCATCGAACAATCTAAATTTTTTGACGTGATTTTAGTACTTACTATTTATTATAGTACAGTAGTGTTTATGTTACATGATTCTCTCGTATGATATTACCAAGATTGTTATACATTTATCACAACGAGCACAATATTGTTAGTAATATAAGAAGTGCGCTCAATTCAATCTCTCTCCATAAGTTACAGAAACTATTCGAGATTAACTTTCTTGAATAAACACACGTTATTACAACTCCCACATTATAACGTTATACATCATTGAAGCTCCCTGGAGCCTCAAGTCGCATGGGCGTATCCCGAAATTTCAAATGTGATGTGCACACGCATTTAGAAAATAAGTGGCACTTTTTCCAAATACGATGCACTTTTTGCCTTTGTGTGGGCCATCGTGACCCAATTTAGCCTGGCAGAATGGTGCATCAGTGCTACGGGGAGAAAGTGTCACTATTTGTTAGATATTCATTTTTGTATTTGTCAGATATTTTTCGTGCTACCACGACGGACTTGTGGTAGTAGCACTAAACACCGACGCAGAACATCAGCGTAGTTTGGGGCCACGAAAACAGCAATATCGGCTTCTAAACCACATGGATGAGATATGACACGTTTAAAGTTCATTACTCATCACAACCGGGATATTTGGATTTAATGCTCACTGTTTCTAGCAAGAGAGATATTATGAAATTACGTGTACTCCCCATCCTAATAAACGTAATATAATTCAATGTATATGCATCATCATGACAAAAATTTGCGGATTCAATTTGCATTCCCCATCACGACAAAGATATGGGGTTATAGCGCATGATCCTAGCGAGTAGAAGCCACAGCAGAGCAGCCCCCAGGCAGACCACAGCCCCGGCCCAGCCCATCGAGAGCGACCAACCGTACGAGAAGACGCGAGCTGCGTTCAAGAACGCGCTCACCTGCGTATAGAAAATGAAATCTGATCATGAAGTACTAGTTAGCAGTGGAATATTGTTTAGACTATTAGTTATATCATGGACTATTAGTTAGATTGTGACTATGAGTTAGCAGTCATGTCTGGCAAGTAGTGAAGAAGTTGAAGAAGAGATTAAAATGACATGCAAATCACGTGCATCAAGAGCTAGAGAGAGTACTCATGTTTGTACTTTGATGTAGTAGTAGTAATCAAATTATGTCTAGTCATTTAAAGATGGGTATAATAACTTTATTAATTAGTATCTTATATTATAGTATAGTATAGTGATATAATGTAGGAGCAGAAGAATAGGCCAAGTTGGGCCTGTCACCGATTTGTGTCATCTTCGTGACTTTTTTACAGAAAATCTAAAATTTTGCCTATTGACTAGGTCCTTTCAAAACTGATGTTGAAATAAATGGCTACTGGACTTGAATCGAGTTCATTGGGTGATGGGCTCTTCAAGTTTGGAAACACGATTTATTTTTGTTCTTTTCAAGCTAATTCCGGTGACCATGCACGCTACATTTCCAAACTGCAGGTGCGATGGCACGGTTGCAACACACAACAGCAGAATCGATTCTGGATCTAGGTTGGAGCGTCTGATTAGTCCAAGCTGTTAATTGGCTTCATTAACTTGCGTTTCGATGTGCTTAGAGAACTTCAACTTCTTGTCGAAATAAACTCATAAATCGTTTTTCATTGTCGACTTTTTGCTCATCTTTTTCTCATTACAATCATATCTTAATTTTCATGCCACAAGCTTGCTGTACATTGTTCCTACCTAATGAAGGGGGGAACACTTGTCAGCAATTAAACGCGGCTGCCACGTATCAGCCCAGTCAACTAAACTATCAAGATCATCTTGCAGCTGCATTTTTTTTCGACGAATCTTTGTTACATACACTGTATTATAAACGTTTGTGTCATCAACATATATAATTAACATTAATAAAAACATTCGAAGATTTTTTTGTGAACTCGTTTGAATATGAGTAACAACTTTAATAACTAAAAAAGGAAAAATTGTCATCTTCGTTGAAATGATATGCAGCCTATTAGAATAAATTGTGCATGGTACTGCATGGAAGAACGAAACTCAATTCCTTGCGCGAAATTAATAAATTTCCGGCAGTCTTCATCCTAAGTTATGCGTTTAAAAATTGTCCTCATTTCATTCTTGCCTGAGGAAAAATAATTTTACCAACGTCCACAGCGTCAAAATTTGCTTGCAATTTGTATAGAATTACGCATCAGCGTCTCCTGTGGAAGAAAGTCACAATTTTTTCAGGGATACAAGACTAAGGTTTAATTTTGCTGCTCTTCCTTCAGTTTGTAGTCGCTTGAGGTACTACGTTTTCACAACTATTAACAGTCTCGTACTGGGGTTATAAAGTGTTTAATTATAATTATTTTTTTCTGATGCATAAACATTTTTGAGTTCCTAAAGGAAACATGGGTTAACTATTAATCCTATTATTAAGATCATATTAATTATGTAACGCTGCTTATTTCTCTCGTATGTCGACAATCCAGTTTCCGTTTAAACTCGCATGAAAAGAACAGTTTTTGTGTTTTATCGTTGCATGAATTTCCTATTCGAGTCGGTGAAATTACTCAATTACTTTAAATGTTCGAAGTTAGTTTCGTAGCTGCAATCACGTTGTGGATAAATTACTAATGAAATAAAATGAGAATTCAGTCCCTAATAAAATTTTGTGATGGTTTGCATCGACTGTTTGAAAGTTCAATTCTGTCAGAGATATTTTACTCGGAAGTAAACGAAAAAGCAACCATTTTTCACAATTTCGCATTTCATAAGCTATGTTGAATCTGTCGTATGAGTCTACATATATTTATATAAACCAACTTATCACGCTGAATATATACCTCGACGGTATTATTTTTCGTCGCATGTTCGAAAAAGTTAAATAAAAAATTCAAATGTAAAAAAAATTCTATGTGCATTTATCAAATGAAGCACTTTCCGCCGCACTCTACGTTTGCTTAATCTCTCTTCACGGAAGTGACAAAAAACACACGCGTTCAGGATGTGATAAGAACTGACACTGAGCGCTGCCATACACATGACCTTAGAAGTGAATGGAGTTGAAGAGAACTCTCCTTGCACCTAATGATTTTTTTACCAAAAACTTCAAGTTGCAGTGCACGCCGACTAACTTTTTCCTGCAGATGGTCGCGTCAAACTTGTTGGTTTGTAATGCGATCGTGACTCGAGTGTACAATTAAAGACGCTTCGCAAGTGGCATCATAATAACATGCCTATAAAAATTACTTTTTAAAGACCACACTTCTAAAGAGGCAGGTGTCTCCAATGTTACACATGTACAATTAATTTCTTATTTCACTTTTATATATTTAAAAATAAAAAATGTAAACATTTTTAAATTATTTTTTTTTTCTGACAATTGATTCACGCATTGTCTTCGACTTTACGCAAGTGTGCAAATTTTCAGATCGATTGGACAGGTAGAATTGTTTTAAATACTGACTATAAGATTTGTAGCAGACGGACAAACAACAAGAAGTGAAGTGCTATAAGAAGAAAGAAATCCATTTAGATATCCACTGGAACGTATACGTCCTATAACACAATGCACGATATAATATGTTCCTTTCAACTCCTCGTTCGTATTAAGGCATGTAAATTTACATGTAAACTAGAAAATTCAAATTAGACAACAGGTGAGCATTTCACAAAAAGTTGAAGACATTGTTTCATTATTGAAAGAAATTGATTTGTTATTGTTTCAGATTTGAAAATAATAGAGTCTGCTCTATATTGTTCATCGCATAATTTTTCAATTCGAATGAGGGAGGGAACATATTGTTCATGTTACGATTATGACCATCTCTGCATTTTATTATTTTTCTTGTGCCGCAAATGTGACGAAGCAACTTGAATCTGATTGTGAATACGCAGTCTAAATTGTAAAAAGTATCGATTTGGGTCCGTTTTCTATTTTGAAGCGATTGCATTTCATCAATAATGCTCCAATTACTAATTAATTTGACGTATTTGCATCTCAATTACTGTGATTAAATTGTTTCTCATAACTTTGTTCATCATGGCAGCTTTTCTAACAAAAGATACTGATTAAAAGAACATTCCACTTACATTGCCCGCAGATGACAAGTCCCTTATTTTCACAACGACTAAATTAAATCCAAAAGAATTTCTTGGTCTAAGAAAAACGTACTGCAAACAGAAGTGAACCAAACGGAATTGGAAAACATCACGTGAAAACGGGAATATCAATTCTGAAATGAACCGTGCAGAAGCAGTTGAGAAAATCTATATTTATGATTACCTGTGAGTCTACATTGGCGCAATCCTTTTTGGTCCGCCGCTTGAAGTGCATGATGGCCAAGCAGAAGACTGCGAAAATTGCTGAAAGAAACGGCGCAGTTTTTTTAATGTTCCAGTCTTGTACAGATAAGGATTGCTATAGGTTCATTATTTCAAATAGAAATATGAACCTATATGAACATATAATGAAATAATATTTCACAATTTATTATTATATTTTCACAATTTATTTATTTATTATAAACTATTTATTTCATTATAAATGAAATAAATAGTTTATTTCAATTGCAATGGATCGAATGATGTATCCTACCGAATATGACCAAGCGCGGACCTACGTGAATGAAATTCCGTTTTGACGAACTAATATTATTGATTCGTAATATACTTACGAGCATCGGTAATGCTGTTGAAATTCAGCAGACACATATAGGTTTCAGTTTGACTGCTAATTTTTTTATAACTTATAATTGTTTACTTACTTGCCAATATGTACATGACACCCGTAACCAAGACAGCAGAAATTTGTCTGTTGAGAATGCCGAAGAATCCAACGAGAGCGCAGGATGCTAGGATAATGCAGCACACCAGAGCGCACGATATCGATAAGTTTTGCATACCTGCAGGTTAAAAATTGCACTATCAATTAATCTGTTATATATAATTTTTGAGATCAACAATTTGTTTATCTTAACAATACATAATACCTTACATCTTTCAAAAGAGATAAAACCTGTATCATCTAACGTATTCCAACCGAAAGACTGTAATTTTTTCCATAAATTAAGATTGATCACATGATTCATTCATGAGAATTTTTTTATCTAGTATTTCTAGATAAAAATATGACAGATGGTTGAATGAGTGATCCGCGGTTATGTAGTATTTCTAGAAAAAAATATGGACAGATGTTTGAATGCCTAATATCCGCGCTAACTTACGCTGTATCCAGTCACTCCTCTGTCCTCTGGATGCATTAGGTGGATCAAGGTAGTTGATACATCCCGACATGCCGAACCCCTGTGCCGTCAGGTTGTTCTGTTGTTCCTCTGAAGAATGCGTTAATGCGGTTATCAGCCCGCCCTAATGTTACCCTATAATAATTATAATATTATAAAATATGTTGCCTTATGATATTATAACAATTATAATAATGTTACCTGAGTTATAAATAACATTATACTTGTATAAATTATCAAGTATAGTCTTAGAACTTGAGCAAGTTATGAGGAAAATTAGTTATAAGGATAAGGTTAGGGTATGTATACGAGTAGGTATTCTTCAAGTCCTCGATGAAATTCGATTTAGAATCTTACACAAGGTGCAGGGACTAAAAAATTAGTGCACTATGTAAAATTTGGTTTTAATTCTTGTAAATTTTTATGTCAATCTAATTAGACTTGTTAGCCAAAGTTAGTTACAAAGGCAATAAACTAAGTTACAGGCGTTGAAATTGACCACAATGCAACTGGCATTCTCATACACAAAGCCCATCAACCGCCCTGGTTATCTTTCATTTGAACTCTCGTCGAGATATACTGCAACAACATCGGATAGCATGTTATGTTTAAAAATAACCTCTAATTCTTGCTACACCAGCCAGCTTTGGCAGTGATTCTAGAGGCTTTTATTACGAAACCAGGGGCTATTTATTTCTCTCCGCTCCTATCTTCAAGCGCTTATTGCTCCTATATATAGTGTCTGGAAAATCAATCCGAAAGAATGATGAATGTCGACAGTGAACCGGGTCTTCGACTTTCATTTTTTAAATTAATCGATGAAAACTTACCACGATGTCGTAACAGAAATTTGGGAAATCCACGAAAATGTTACAAGGTTTTTCAGGTACTGAGGAACTACGTTTTATGACGTTTTTAAGATCCGTGTTAATGCATAGTTTAATTAACAAGCTTTGGCTTGCTTTAGAATTATTACCTGAAATTATTATTATTAATTAATTATTACCTGAAAATTAATGCTTACCTGACAAATCGACGCACATCGTCCAGATTCCACCGTGTAGTGGAGTCAGAAACATAATTCTTTCGCTGCTTTTGAGCTTGCTTATTCCGTTGCTCCGAACTGGTAACGTTCTGTCATCAGGAATCCGGTGAAAACTTGACTGCTTGCTGTCATTTCTAACTTGAACCCAAGGGCGCGTCAAGTTTTCGATTTCACTCGCTCTTGTTTGGAGTTGAGCATATTTATAGTGATTTGTTCCAACAACTGCTTCATCGCCCAAATTCGATGACAAATTTTTGAAATTAAGTAATTTTCTTCGCACCGCAGACTTATCCTGTTCACGGTCAAAGTAGATAGGTATGCTACTTTGGGGCATGATGTTTAATTTTTTTAAAGTTTCCTCTGCTGAATTAAGCTCCTCAAACCATTTTTCTGACCTGTTACTAATGAGGTTCAAGTAGGATGTGTGAGAAATCCTTCGTTGTTGTACTGGGCGATGCGGTGAGCGTTTGAATTTATTTACATTATCAACAGTGTAATAAAGTGACTCCAATAATTGGTTTCGCCGGCCAATGCGTTCAAATAATTGTAGTCGCCGAGGAAATTTCGAAATTTCTTTCAGACTATTGAGTGATGTCGGTACATATGTCACTGAAACCATATTATTTTCAGTGAAAAATTTGCCACCTGGCTCAAACTCGCCATATGAAGGTTCCCGAAATAATTTCTTCGCTGGACTTAATAATTGTCGCTTGAAATTTTCCTCATTGACGTTGAGAGTTTTTATGTTTGTGACCCTGGACTCACACCATCGACCAACACATTCAATTGAGTCAATTTCACCTACGTTTGGCACGAATTCGTCCTCGTCGCCGTTAACGTCGGCCAGCATTGCGCCACTGCCGTCTCCTTCATCTGCTTCAGGGAGTTTTACGACGTGATCAGCTTCATTTGAATGATACGATGCTTGGGCTGCTCGTCCTTTTGGATTTTTGTTTTGATTTAAGTTCCTTCGTGCGTCCAACGTTTTCACACTGGGAACTTTAATTATTTTGTTGACACTACTGATATACTCATTGCTATTAGTGTTCTTGAATTTGTTGTCGACTCCTAAGTGTCTGTAATCCAACCAATTGATATAATTTTTCGACTCATTCACGCTGGAAAGTGGCTCATGGATAGTTGATAGTTTAATTTGACGTTCAATATTCCAATTGTGGGCTTCATTTGAGTCTTCCATGATATCTCGACCTCGGACAGACCGCGATGCTCGACTCCACCTGGGCAAGTCGCCTATCAAGCGGACGGGCCTAGTCTCTCGTGCCGTCACCTGACGAAGGGTTAGAAAATAATTATATCAGACATGCTCTCAATAAAACAGCCCATACACGCTTGATAATATTGCGCAATATTTCGGGTTGTGCAATATTATTGAGCGTCTAGTGAGCACATAGACGGTTTGCACGTTAGTATGCGTGATTTTCAGAATCTTGAAAATATTTTGCACAAATGATGAGAATATATTGTGCCCTCTATATAAAGCGGTTCCAGTGTTTAGTAGGCCGTAGGCCTGTCGCCGATTCTTAACATCGCAGAACATTCACAGCATTTTGCGGTCTCTAAGGGGCTACATTGCGCAATATTCGCTTGGTGCGCACCTGGCGATCGTTCGAAGTAGTTATGCTCATAGCGAGTCAAGGCGTGCGTTAGGAAATTCTTCTAAACTTTATTGAGTTTTATAATAGTCGTCAGGCTATTTGGGATGTTAAATGCAATGATTACACGAATCATTCAAATAAATCATTTATTTAATATTCAGTGAATGTTTATGAATGAATTTCTTTTTGACCTGTCCTGTCCCTGTCCTTTTCTGTGATCTTTCTCTTTTATATACTACACGACTTTCTGCCACATAATTATGACAAAACACGGTTCAGTTTCGCTCGACATATTGACTTATGAAGTTCTGGCAAGGGCTGTTTGCGCAATATGGTTGTACGTTTGAAGGCGTGACTGCGCTATCGCTCAATTTGGCTCCTAAATGCTTAATATCATTGAGCAAGTCAAAAAATTGCACAATGATATTAAGCATCTAGTGACTGCAATTAACGCTCTGAAATGAAAAAAAAATATGAAGCTTTTTAAAAATTTAAATCAATGTCTATGCGGAACAATACATGCAAATGGTTGATGAATGAAGGTTATTTTTTGTCTATGAACTAGATTAGTCAGAATAATGATACTCGATAAGTATAAGTTGGACTGAACATTTGAGCCAAGATAGTGCTAACCAATTCATTTTTTCTGTTGTGAGAACATGAATTTTATCTTGCAAGTTTAATGTATTTTCTTTTAGTTACTGTTATGAGGAACCCAACTTATCGACGTCGGTGTACGCTCGATACGATCGAACGACTGAATGCGTCGAATACGTTCATTTAAATAAAGCTGCACGTATCGTCTTGCTCTGAACTGCTTCTATCATTAATCTGAGTTACCCATCCATCTTGACCAGGCATTATCCGGCTGAGGGCGAAGGTCAAGTTCATTCATTCATTCCTTTCACAAAGCGTCCCAACTCTTCTTTCAGCACCTCAGGCAAAAATGTTCAATTATGAGAAGTTGGAAAAGTTTAGTTCGTAGCATTTATAATCAAGTATTAAATTTGATAAACTGCAAAGAAATTATTATTCGTATTAAATTTTATTCTTGATCTGACATAAATTTAATTAGGTTTGATTGTGATTTTTTATCCCATCCCAATCGTGCTTAGTGCCGATGTTATGAACAAAATATTTTATGTGATTATAAACAATTGTACAGCTTTGCTAAACCATATCTACGGCAAATAAAATTGCAAGCTTCTCCATGAACATCGATCGCCTTATAATGCCGACTTTTATCAAAGGCTAATGTAATATTAGTTTATAACCTGTAATCTGCTATGGATGAATCTTGGTTGATTAATTTATCAGCAATTTTGGACGAAAATAGAAGTTGCAGTCTGAATTAAAATCGTTCATGGTGATGCATCTTTTGTGTACATATTTTTGCCTTAGTTTAATGGTCGACATTAATAACATTGCCAATAGATAAAATGCGTGTTATGTTACCCGATTAGTCATTTTAATTTGAATGGCATTTTATGTGAATATCATGCCAACTATCTTGAATTATTCTTAATATCAATAAATTGGTCATGTACCATAAAGCAGATTTCCAAAACAATGACTATTTACCACTAAAAACACTAGCGATCATAAAAAAATCTCTTCAACTATAGCAATGCAAGCATGGACAGAGAGGTACTTCTAAGATGAGGTACTCAACAAAATGTTCGTGCCGTCAGACCTCGCGCCACGTCGACGGATCGCACGAATGGCGACTCTTGCGTGTTCAACTCATGACGTGAGTGAGGCAGTGAGCACATTCTTATGAGCGCATTCATGACGTGAGCGAGAGCATTCTTCTGAGCGCATTCACTGAGCGCATTCATGACGTGAGCGAGAGCATTCTTATGCGCGCATTCATGACGTGAGTGAGAGCATTCTTATGAGCGCATTCACTGAGCGCATTCATGACGTGAGTGAGCGCATTCTTTTGAGCGCATTCACTGAGTGCACTCATGACGTGAGCGAGAGCATTCTTATGAGCGCATTCATGACGTGAGTGAGCGCATTCATGACGTGAGTGAGCGCATTCACTGAGCGCATTCATGATGTGAGTGAGCGCATTCATGACGTGAGTGAGCGCATTCATGACGTGAGTGAGCGCATTCACTGAGCGCATTCATGACGTGAGCGAGAGCATTCACTGACCGCATTCATGACGTGAGCGAGAGCATTCACTGACCGCATTCATGACGTGAGCGAGAGCATTCTCTTTCATGCAACGACGCAATGGAAATAGCATTAACAACACCAACGAGCAATGCAGGTCATTTTAAATGTGATTCTGAATATTATTTTGATAATACAAATCAATTGAACTATTTATTTATCAGTATTCAAGTAGAACAATTTACTTTTCTACTTCCAGAAGCCTTTTCATTCTCAGTTAAATCGAATGTTTTACAAAAAATAATACCACCTAATTTATTTGCTTTCTTGGTGAATATTTTATTCATTACGTTCAAATTCGTTTAACATGTAAAAATTCAGCGTTACAATCCATCTCTTAATTTTATCATGACGGCGACATTGCAAGTTTAGTGTAAACCTTTACTTGCAGTATTTTTGTATTGAAAACATCAATCTCAAAACCGTTAAAAATCTGTGCTTTCGGTCACTATTTTGAATAATGTCAGACTTCTGAAAAATTCCATTTCCACTAGATTTCGATGTCCGCATACGATATTTCACCTACAGGTAGTATATTTACTTTCTGTTAAAAGCAAAGAAAAAGCCAAGCAAGTTCACCACATCGATATTGACCTGGCGTTTTCTTTGCTTTTAAATTCCTTGGGAACTTGCGATATAAGCAGACTGATAATATAAGTACTTATGTCATGTTGCAATATATAGTGACGCTCAACTCGCCTGTTCGAAGTTACCGGACATTAGGTCAGCTAGGCACTCGACGTGCGATTTGCATGAACGTTTCAGGATCGTCTCCGGAGATTTGCATGGGCATTTTCGGAATAAACCACGTCAATGCCTGGTCAGTCCACGTTACTAGCTGCCTCCGCAACATGCCTATATTTGTCCGTGTGTTAGATGACGCCTTCTCGCTAGCTGGATCGATCATCGACACGTTCAATGTGTGCGGAGTACAATTGTTTGTCTCAAGAGTGTGGATACTTATTGCGTTCATTGAAGTTTCAATTTATTGTCTACAGGGAAAATGCAGCTAAATATTTGGCATGAATTAAAAATTGTAACCCGTTTTTCGTTAACGCTGGGTTCCGTACCATTGACTCTAATTTCATCTCCACTTCTATGTTTAAACGGCAGAAGGTTAATCTTCATTTGAGTCCTGTAGCCCTTCCGTGCTTCAAGTGGGCAAGGGTACCCACTTCGGTGCTTCATCGGTAACAGACCATGGGCCTCTTTTTCAGTGCCGACACTTCTATTCTAAGGGTTATTGTTGTCCTTGGTACAGCGCCCTCTTTCTAACGCGTCGTGTTGCTGCATGTGAATATAGAACGTTTGCCACGACAGCAGATCGCCTCGCTGCTTCCCTCAATCGATCGCTGGAGCTTCCGTGACTCGGTCAGCTGAATTGTCCATACCGCCGCACACATGCTAGATGCCGGCCAACAACCCCTACACTTATCTCGCCAGGAAAGTGGAACGTTTTATAACTTTATTTGTATTTTATTCAGGTTACTCAGAGGGAGTGCATGTAATTTCAGTGCCAGAGAGCGTCTATGGATTGAAGGTGGGAAGTTTTTTCGTTAGAGATTCAGCCTTCATTCTAAGTCATTTTCAACATAAGGTATTTGAATAATATTTCAATCCCTGATGAAGTGAATTTCTTCTTTCGATGGGTTTGTTAAATTGTTACTAATTTTTACACCATGGTATTCATCTGCCTACGTTGTAACTCTCATTACTGTGAGATTATCATTATATCATATAGGAATAAGTGTACCTTCCATCAATATATACGAACATATTTATTATACATCCACATTTCTAAGCCAATCTCTACATGGAAGGCCTATTTATGCAGCTTAAAAATATTTTCCACTCTTCGCTCACTATCTTACACGTGCTCAGCTATCGCTCATTTATCTCAAAATCAATTAATTTGTTATCAAGCCTATAAATCATTCAAAACAATTGTTGAGCTTATAAAATTAATTGTAATAACCCATATTAATGGTAAACCAAAACGAGCGGCGTGTATACACGAGGGATAAACTCAAAAGCTAACATTTAGCAGACACTCGGCCCATGGTATGAACAGGATTATTAAGCATGTTTATTATAAGACGATCAAAGCTTGCTCAGTATAGACTCCTCCCTGTTGGTAAAGCTCTCGGTAGCACGCAACTTTGCTCTCTCGGTCACGGTAACTTCCAACACGCAATAAGCTCAGCTAATGACACATAATCATTCATAAAATAATAAAAAAAACTGTTTCTTTCAAGAAACAATAAATCTACTGCTTAATATGCGAGCAGAATGCACATCTGTACTTTTCACACGAAAGACGTGTTTTATTTAATTCTAATGAATTTGTTTTCTGTTGTAAAAATATCTATAGTTTTTAAATAACATTTTTAGCGCATTTTCTCAGTTTCTGGAAAAAAACCCTATTGTGCTCGTCATGTCCGTCCGTCCGTCCGTCTGTCTGTCTGTCTGTGACTTCACGTTTTCGTCGATTTTTAGAAAATGCGCTCTCTGTCACTTACTGCAGTGAGTACTGAGTTACATTTTATATTTAAAAGCAATGTTCGAGGAGCACTTAACATGTATTCATTATTAACACCTTTTTAACAAGTTTTTCTTAGCTTAGCTTCGCGTTTGTTTGTTTGTTTGTTGTTAAGATTGAGAACGAAAATTAGCCCACTTCTGATTGTTCTAGAGATCTGAAATTCGGCATGCAGGCTATTTTCGCCTAACAATTTCAGATACAATCATAAAAACTAGTAATTAGAGACCGAAATTAGTTTAATTGAGTAAAGTATATATATAGTATATATATAGTATGACGTGCGTGCGCTCACGTTATAGACGAGCAGGCGCTAACGCTGCGTATCATCGATACGTACGTCAAAGGCCGGAGGAAGACAAAGCCGAGTGGTTCACGGCTGATTGGTGGATGTCCGGAGAGATCCAAGGCGTTCGATTCAGGGCTTATTGGTCCACAAAATTGGTGGTGCACGGCTGCGCTCCCTTATTTAGCTTTATGATTTAACTAACTCTAAAAAGTAAAATACTTAAAAAAAACTTTTCAAAAATACACGTTTTTCTTGTGGACTAAAAAGTAGAAAATAAATTACCTAAAAAAACTTTTTTAAAAACACGTTTTTCTTGTGGACTAAAAAGTAGAAAATAAATTATGGCTCGCCCCAAAAAACGTGGGTCAGGCTGTACGTTCACCATCAAATTTCCAAAATTCGTGTGTTGTGTGCTTTTCGCTTTAATCATAAATCTGCCCGACACACGTTTTTTGGGCCATAATTTATATAATTTATAATTTATTTTCTACTTTTTAGTCCACAAGAAAAACGTGTTTTTTTAAGTTTTTTTAAGTATTTTATTTCTTAGAGTTAGTTTAATGGTAAAGCTTAATAACGCGGTCCGCATATCCGAGTTACTGGCCGCAACATTGTGACCGCCCCAGGACGTACATAAAATTCTGAGGCACCTGCAATTTTCCCAGCATTTTCCCCAGCCTCCCTCAATCCCTGCGATCGCCGCAAGCGTACGTAAGACAAGCGACTTACGGTGTTCTTATACCTATCCTTCTGCCTTGAATTAAAATGAAACTATGGGACTACCATTTCGCTTTTTTTTACTTTTTTTACGCTATTATCAGCTACACGGAGATGAATTTGGGGTTAGGATTGCGTATTAGATTAATAATACTCCGGATTCGGGAAAGGTTGCCAAATTAATGATACACCGGATTCGGAATAAGTTGCCAAATTCTACTACGTCCCAAATTTATGAAGACAATTTTGCATATCACTAATGTTGCTCTTTCATTATATAAATACTTATTGCCAATCTGTGCAATACTTGGAGACTCCACGGGGTTGTTTAAGAGCATCAGTTAGATTAGAAAGATAATTTTCAGAAAAGCTAAGAATTCTGAGCTGCACTTGAAAAATAATTGTAAAAATATATGTATGAAAGAACCCACATGGACGACCTTCTGATATTAACAATAGAACTTTCATCTGTCAACTATATGTATATATTGTATGATTACAAGAGTGAACCGAACTTGCACTATTTAAGTCAGTGACCGTTGTGGGGACTTAACCAAAGTAGCATAAAATTACTCACAGCAATATTACTGTGATGCTATCATTATTGCTTAGAATTTAACTTACGAGTGAATGGCAACTTTGTGTTATACCATTCGAGCTGGTATCACATAAATCGAGCTGCTCGAGCTGATATCGGATGTGATACTGCTCGATTCGATTAAGAATTTTCACCTACATGATTGATAGTTTGTAGAAGTAACTAGAACTTTGAACAGTCCTCCAACTGTCTAAAATCAAGCACCTAAATCTCAAGTAAAAAATAGTTCAATTAAAATGTGCACTCAGTTTAACAAGCATTCAACAGTGAATCAAAACTCACCTTAGCAACGATGCCCCCGAACAGCCACGTGAGAGTGTGTGATGCATTATGCTTTTGGACGAGCGCCTCAAGCAGAGGCCGGTTCAGAGAGATAACCTCCCAGTGGTTAGAGAGCATAGCTGTACACAGCAGCACCGTGGCCGCCACCGTCACCGTCAACGTCAGCGCCAGGAACAAACATGCGGGATGTGCTCCTTGACTACCCATGGTCACAAGGCAGGCGCTCCCGCATGAGCCTCCTATGTTGACGACGCTGCTATATCCCTAACAAAATTTAGAGTCGCCCCAGCTTCTGGTAACCCAAATCAGAAGCTGCCGCATCTGTAAATTTTCACTGGCTGTCCACCAGTAACTGGCTGTTCACTGGATGTCCACCACTGTAATCTGACGGTATCCTGTCTACCATGCACAGTAATACGGTCGTATTATTGCTGCACTGTCCACTTGACGATGCTTGACGGTTCTCTTGCTCAGTTGCGCGTGATCGTCGGTCAAATTTAGTGGTTATTTTCAAATGAGGTTCCAAATAATTTGTCATTATTCTAGGGGCTAACCACACACACTTTCTGTCTCATAACGCATCTCTGTAGCTTTGTTAGTTACGCCTTCCATTGCAAAACCTAATCATCTTACTCCATCGCCACCATCTCATGAAAGAATGAAATGCGCTAATATGAAATTTTTAGACAAACGATCATTCATTAACATGTTTATTCGTCTCGAAATCAGTATGAATGAATACGTGCATGAATTCGAAATCAGTGTGAATGAACGACTTAGATAATGAGCAAACAGTTTTGGGAGAATCAAAAGAAAAAATTAGCATTTCCTGACGCAAGCTCAAATAGTCGGATGCAATGTTTCTGAAAAAGAAGAAATAAACTATTGTGTCCCAGTAAATAATTAAATTTGTTGCTTGCCTAGATCAGAGATCTATGTTGATTCAAAGAATCAAATTAGAAAATGGGAGTTGACATCTGGGGGAAATCTTAAAGGAACACAGATTAATAAATTCGGTAAAAGTGTGATTGTAGAATTGTTTCGTCAAAAAAATTGAACAACATTGAATTTCGCCTGTATCGTCCCGGTTAGGATTTAGTTTTTAATCATATGGAATGGAATGAACACGCACGCTGTCTATGACTCTCCAATCCTAGCCTGCTAAGAAGATACGCATAACAAGCTGCCTCTCTAAGAGATACATGACGGAGTGTCTCGATTCATCGACTTCCAATACGCAACGGTGCGCCGCTCTGCGTGCATTTTACGGACTCCACATTTACGCACCACTGATATTCGCTATGCTTCTAGCGTCTTCGATTCTGATTGTACGAATTCTCATGGTATATTTCATGCCTTGATGAAATTCCGAAGAAATAAATGAAATGTGTTAATAACTTTTATTAATTTTCTTTAGAATATGATTGGTTAGATTTTTCAAATCTGGCTTGCTTGGTTTTAAAATTATAATCAAATCCCCTGTATGGTATCGCTCATAGTGGCAAGAAGTCTTTGTAGGATTTGAAAGGGTCAATTTAAGTGCGTGAAATTTCTGCGTTGTTGCATTTGAGAACAACTGAGGTAATGAATTTTGAAAGCTTCGAATTTCCTCAAATTTTGTTTTTGTACTTGTGTGTTGAATGGCAGGTTCAATATGGTTTTGAAAAATTATTGGTTCCGCTCTGAATACTGAAATCGACGCCTGGAAGCAATATACACTCGTAATTGTGCATCATCACGATGGAATAATAGATAATGTCACAAAATAGGATCGTGACTGGAAATTAGAAATATAAGGAATGAAGAAGCTTTTGACTTTCACCTGCACTTCTCACGAATGATGTTTTTTATTACGAATACCGATTATATGTCATATTTTATACTCTGCTTGTCCCACAAACGAATGAGAATAACTAAGGCACCGCAGGTACAGCAGCAGCAGTTGTTTAGATGCGGTCGACCGCACTATCGATCGTCTTGTCCGATGTATTGTTGAACGTAACAACCTTGCGACATTGACCTAGAGGTCCGCCCCCAAAATATTGCGCGCAGTTGGTGAATGGCTGCATCTTGACGCACGGGTATGCTCGTGACGTTGCAATTGCGCAGATAATGACTACACTGCACTTAACACATTGCTCTCTAAGCGGCACGGTAGATATAATGCTCAGCTTATTGTTTGAAAAATGTCAATAAAGTAATTGAGCCTCTCACGGGTGAGAATAATAATTCGAAACTAACTGGTGAATGGATTTCTCGTGTTACAAGTACCTCCTAATTCTTGCTACACTTCAAATTTGTGGCATTTATTAACTTGATGACCTTCACTATATCCATAGTATTTTCGAACTATATTTCGATGCGAGGCGCTAACATTGATTCAATATAGTTCAGTCCTTCAGCACTGAAAATCGTTTAATTAATGGGTCCTACTCCTACCATTGATTCAGCTTGTTGTTGGCATATTTCAAAGTACCAACAAACATGGGTGAGACAAAACCATGAATGGAGCTCGCATGAAAAATTCAGTGACTTATTCAAGAGGCAGTGAGGGTATTGACGATATTGAACCAGTAGGCACGCATACTCTAGCTCTCGTAGCGTTTAAAGCTCTTCGATCATCGTTCGCTGGATTACATACCGAGGCTATTGACTTCTGGACGTTCGTACGTTTGGCTCAGAAGGTTCTACTTCCGCCTAATGATTAGAGAGTAGTCTCCCATATTGGGCTAGCGTCAATCATGTGGTTAGTTTTCATTGCAATAAAATTTGAGTTATAGATGAAATTGAATAAAGTTCTTCATGTTATTAAGAATTCATTGAAATTAAATGCCTTTTACAGCGACGTATTCCCTAGAATAGAGCCCCATATGCAAGTTTGAAACTCCAACTATATTTACTATTTCACTTTTTACAGCGAAATGCATACACAGTTTTTTAAAAGCGTTTTCCACTTCCCCATTGCCTTGCAACAGAAAACGAGATATTCTTACCCAAAGTAAAACAGCAGTTTGCCGTATAACCAACCCTATCGGCGGTAGTTGGCTGTGAATGGACTCTGATTTAAGTTAATAACAACAATTTTCTATACGACCAATTCCAGAGATATTCTGTGCATGAACGTTCTAATGACAACATGTTGGGCTGCCTTATGTTCTGTTCATAAGTTATGTTCTGTTCATAATGTAAACAACCTGCCACTGCACTAGTTTTTTTTTTCAATCACATCTCTGTTCAACCTCTAGATTGTGCGATTACCTCTACTGAAGTTTGCCAGTTTAGCTCATGAACAGCTCAATTATACATTGAATTCTTAATACGGATGCACTTACTATACAAAAATTATAAAAATTCATTACTGAGCTGTTTAATTATTGATCTGACGAATTTTACGGATATTTTATATTATATCTACTATACAACTTCTCTGAATTCTTGCGACTGACTATAAATTGTGTGCGGATCGGTGAATGAACATTCTGTCAATTCGAAGCGTAGTGTGAAAATAAAGTATCAAGACACGGATCTGAGGTAACGAAATCCATTCTTCAGATAAATAACACTTAGTTTTGATTGAACTCATTTTGAATATTCCTCAAAAACTAATGATTTTATTTTTCACCGACTATTCAAGTCACGCGCGTGAGCTTCACGTTGTGTCTTTTTGTTCCCGATCACCTCTCGTCATCACGGCAGGGGGCAGACTGAACTCTGTGCGTGTGCTGCTGACCCGTGTGTTATATTGCAATGAGATCTGCTAGGTGACCGGTTGTTCGATTTTACTGACTCGCGACCCAACCAGCTGCTTGGTTATAAGCTAATTCTTGCACTAACCACCCACGAGTTTGCCAATTTTATTTCTTTTCCTAAGATCACCCGTAGATTTAGACTGTTTTGGCGGCCTCTATGTCATCTTCATAAAACCTTAAATTGTGTCGTGAACATTTTTAAAGAAACCTAAACTATTCTAATGAAATTTGCTCTGATAAAAATAGCTAGGCATTTTAGCGTATCGCCTAGGTTTTCGATGCAAGCCAACGTATTTACGTTCAACCTCTACGTAGTTTACATGCAATTTATCGACTCCCATTAATTTACCGGGTTTGTAGGCGACGAAAATAAGACAAAATTCGCAAACATTTAGAAACCAATTTTTCTGTGTATTGTAATGAATATTTAATTAAATTATCAGGTTTTAATAGTCTATTTCATCTTTAAAAAATTACCAGTAAATATCCTTAGGAGTTTAAGTGTCCTGTCAGTGTCAGTTGATAAGTGAAGTCATTTCTTACGGGTGGAGGTTAAGTAATCTTAAAGCATTACCGTAACACCAACTCAATTTCTTAAAAAAAATAATCCTGGTGATGTAAACAGTCAACTCATGACCTAATAGCAGCCTACATTTAATTCGATGTGTCACCGTATCGTCTATTTTTTCAGCTAATTGACTACCGACCATTTCACAAAAGTCACCACTCCGCAGAAATTGCACAGTGCACATACCTAGCCGCACGTGTCTAAATGTATTGTATTTTTCTTGTGGGATAACCACATGATGGCAGCAAACCTGTATAGAACGTGCGAAAAATATGCAGTTTAGTTTAATTATAAAATAGATCTTTTCCGTTGAAGGCCAACGCCTTTGGTGCTGCTGCTGGCTAGGTTATCGGCATTGGCGGTACTTGATAGTAATGACTTAGGCCTCTTAGGCCTGAGAGACATTTTCACGCTCCACTCCTGTATCGAATCTTGAATCAGTTCATTTGCTAATTTGTTTTAAGCTCGTAACAAATTTTATTTTCTTAATTTCGTATGTTTAGCCGTAAACTTTTCTGTATAACGATGGAAAATAACAAATTTATTTCTTCCAACGCTCTTCATTTTATCAAAAATTTCGGTGAATGATGTTCCAGCGGAGTACTGTCGATGACAGTGCTTATGAAGACCATACTGTACGGAAAGAAAAAAGCAGAATGAGTTTGCGACTGTAAATTGTAATGGTTTACGCCTCGTAATTTGGCAAAGTAAAAAACTATTGAAGGTTTAAACAGGTAGCAGGTGGATTATCTCGTTATTAGTTGTTCAACATCTAATTTCCTAGCGTGGAACGTTGGAATCGAAGCAAGTTACGAACTACGCTACACAACATTTATGATTTGGTTTGTTGGGCTATCCGCTATTGCTTGAGATATTAGGCTAGCTCGTAAAATTGGCTGAGCAGATATTAGCTCTTTTGTCTTGATTAGTGTGAGTCCATACTACTACTAGTGACAAAGCACAATTTTTTAGAATCTGTTCATTTTTAATTTACTCATCTACTGTACGGGTCTGTACCTACTCAAGATTTTAATCGGTTTCTTATGTATGACAATGCTGATGCTGGGCTGGAGCTGGTATCCACGATACTTTACTGGTCCCCTTCTAGGACTCAAAAATGAATTTGAGGTAGAGTTAGCTTAAACAAAGTCTCTGCTATGATAATGATACTTTGAGTGTGTGTAGGCCACCTAGCAGTGTAGGCTAGGACCAATAGGCCTAGGAGTCTAGCCAAGTTGGACTGTGCCACTGTCACTGTGACTGTGGGTATTAATTTTGCCAATTTTTATTTTTTGCTGTATTTCAAATTTCAATAGTAGTAGTGGTGATATGTCATATGTGTTTACATTATAAATTATAATTATTGTATGTAATAGGTATTTGTCACAATTTGTGCTGTCTGCTGTGCATAAATTAAATGCATAGGGTAAACGTGGTATATTCCAACATCATGGGTAAATCTGACACTTCTTGACTTTTTTCCTTTATATTAAGCTTTTTCTTAGTTCCATGCATTTGTTAATGGTTGAAATAGTGACGTCATACAGTCATACTTTTGCACGCCATACTAGCTATTGCCAAAACACTAGGTCTGGGCCGTCAGGCGGGAAAATGTTGAGATCCAAAGCCAGGGCGCAGAGGGTGGATGCAGCGTTGCCAATATATGGGTTTTTAAGTCGTAAGCGTTGCCAGGTAATTTTAAGATGCGTCGCCAGGTAATTTTGAATGAAAAGCCATTTATGCTGAGTACCGTAAAATGGGGTAACTTAGACCACTTTTTTTTTATAAATGATGCCTTTTTTTACTAGCTAAATTAAACTTGAATTGAAACATGCAAAATACAGGTCTATACTCTAGCTTCACTCACCATAAATTGCTGGCTCCTGCCTCTCATAGTCTTTATGTAATTTAAAAAAAAGTGATGGTCTTTGTTACCCCAGCTCTTGGGGTAACTTAGACCAGGTGGTAAAATCAATTATATTTTTTAGTAAAATAACTCCAAATAACTCCAGGTTTTGGTGCATTGTAGTAGAACTCTTCTAGTTACATATGCAAATGACAAACTTGAGGAAAGTGTCATAGTTTGCAAATACATCGTGCATCAGGTGGCCCAAATGAGGGCGGATGAACAATAATCAGAGGCGGCGATCCATCGTGGCCTGGGACTGCTATGTCCCAAACAAATACTAAGGATACTAAGGTGCCAGATGCAAAATAAAAGCATCCCAAATTATGCCTGGCAGTGGTAATTTGCTCTCCTGGGAATGGGGTAATCCAGGACACTTGAAATAAACTTGATTTTAAAATGTTTGAAGTATGCCACTGTGCAGAAAGTGGGTGAATATTGAAAGATATGTGGCGACGCATCAGCAGCAAAATTTACGCCTTCTGAAGATCTTGCCGACACATTTGGATTGAAATTATTGCATAAATTTACATCCTGTAAATGCGGTTTAAGGGTGTCCTGAAATGGCCATCATTTTGTTTTGGATTTAGGTGTGAAAATTCCTTCAATGAAGTTTTAAAGCCAACACCTGCCTGCAACTTTTTTTCAAGCAAAATTTTTTAACAAGGCAAATATTTTTTACTGCAGACCTTTGTAGAAGTACTTTTTCAAAATGTCACTTTTCAACCTTTTTTTCCTGGATTTTTTAGAACTAGTAAATGTAGGATTTCTTAACCTCCTTTATACTGCATAGATAAAAAATGTTCAAGTTTATGCTAATATTTTTAGTTTTGAAATATTTCAATTAGTTTCACTGCTATAAAATTTTGAGGCTGTGGTGGAGGACTGTCCCAATTCAGCAGGAAGGACTGTTTAATTTACTCTGCCTGACCCTTATTACCCCTTTGACGGTACCTGTTCCACTAAGTTATAATATTTTTTGTCTATCATGTGACTAATGCTCTTACTAAATACTAGGTAGGTTTATATGCAAAAGGGTGAATAGATACTATTTTATTAATCTATGTTTGAAATCTTGAGTTTCAGAATGGAATGTGATATTTAGCTTGATCTGCTTTGTGTATAGTGTAGAATGGATGAACATGAGAAGCAAGCCTTCAAAGATACTGCAGTCATCTCTGATACAGATTGTGCTGGCATGGAAGACTCAGATGAGCTTGACAGTTCAAATGATGGTGCTGGCCATATTAAGCTCAATTCCTCAATTGACGCAGACTTTGGATATCAGCCACCTACGCCCATCCAAAATTCCCCTGGTTGGTTATATTGTTAGTGAAACATGTTACAAAAATAATTATAATAATGCAGCATTCAAATAATAACTTGAGCCTATTGAGTTTCTGTAAAAACCATTTAGATACATGAATATATTAAACATGATTATAAATAAAAATTAATGCTCTGTTCCTTTGGAAGATGATTAATTTTTTACCAGAAAAAATATTCTTTTCAATATTTGACATCAAATTATAGACAGAATCATGATAAAATTGTGCATCTGAAAAGTATAAAGTATGAGTGAATGTTACATGAATTGCAGAGGACCATTTGTCACCTTCATCTATGACAAGCTGTGACTTGGAGAGGCCATCTCCTCTGGAGGGAAGTCCCTGCATGGACTGCAGTGATGACGGTGGATCTGATGACATCAGAGGTTCAGTAGCAACTGCTGCAATTACCTCATCATGGGTCAGGTATGTTACTTTTTATGTGAAAAATGTCCCTATCATCCGATGCATCTATAAAATAGTGAATTATGCTCTATTTTTTAATGAAATGGTATTTACTTGCTTAATTTCTGATTTATATTAAATGCCTGTTGACAAAAATAATCTTTTGCAGTTTAGTTTTGCACTCTGCCAGTTTTTGAGTTTAGTTTTCATATTTTTAAATTTCGTTTGGTATAATACCTCACAACATTTTCATTCAGGCTAACATTTTTTTCCCTCTAACTGAACTTTTTTTGTATTTGTAAAAATCTTTGTTGTTCCACAACCAGTTCTGGTGGTGGGTGTTATGGTGCTTACAGTGATGACTCTTCATCACATCCCGGCCTGGGATACGTCGGCAGTTCTCAGCTTCAAAACAGCCCGTGTGGGTCACCTCCTGCCAATGCATCAATTGCAACCTCTTTTCTTGGACCTCTCATGCTGCCTGGCACCTCAGAAAAGACTCAGGTTGGAAACTTGCCTCAATTTTTTTATAATCCCTTGTATGCCCCCATAACTGTTCCAATGAAGTGAATAATATCTCATGGTCACAGTTTAAATGTTTTTAAATTTTGTTGCTGATTGATTTTCAATTTTTCAACAGGGGAGCCAATCTGAGGGTTCTGTTTTGGGTGACAGTAACATTTTTGGCGTTACTCCTGCATGTGACATGCAAGACTTTGCTGATGTTGGTGGTAGTGACTCAGGCAAGGCAAAGACAGATGCTACTGCTGAGGAGGGAGGTCAGGGCAGCTCAGGGCTGGTGTACGGTCCTGTTATGCCATGGCAACGCTTCAACACGGTCCCCATCGAGGATGCTTCTAATTGTGACGTTGAAGGTGGGATACTGCCTTCTACTTTGCAACTGTGAGATGTTCTGAAAAAACGCATAAAGCCATTGAAGCTAGCATACTTGACCTTATATGCTCTCATTGGTAGAATATTATATGCTTTGGAGTCTTAGAGACCTAATGCTTTATTACTGTGAATTTCCCAATGCATTTTATGACCCAACGTAAATTCTGGTAATGCTGGATTGCATGATTTGCACTGAATTTCTGTCTGCAGTATCTAAATCATCAGTGTCAACTTTAACAGTTGTTTCAATTTTAATTTTCAGAATCATACTGACATTCTTTATTATTGAAGATTGAAGAATGTATTTTTATTGATCTGCAACTGGCATTAACCTTTGAATATCACTCATGGTCATTCTTTATTATTGAAGAATATGTGAGTTTTGAAGTTGCTATGGTTTTATTTTCAATATTCTGCAGTAAGCTGCATCAAACGTTGTCACGTTATCTATTTACCCTTGAATTCTATCCATAAATTCCAGGATCATGTATTGCTGGAGAATGCGGCCTGCAGAACCTCGGCAACACCTGCTTCATGGCCGCTGGATTACAGTGTCTTCTCAACACTCCACCTTTTGTTGAGGTCAGCAATAGTGCTAACTGTGTAGTGCTGGCTTCTATAGCATGATTTCAAACTTGAATAGATGCTGGAACGGTTTAAAATTTTGCTAGACAATAATATTGATCTAATTACATTTGTTGAGGTCAGCAAATGTTACCTGTGTAGTGCTGGCTTCTATTGCATGATTTCAAACTTTAATAGATGCAAGAACAGTTTAAAATTTTGCTAGACAGTAATATTGATCTGATTATGATTTTACTCATTCAATATGTTTCCTTGCCACAATCAAATCAGGTATACGAAGTTGATCAGAAAAAATGAAAAAAATCCGTTTGCATAGAATGATGTTTCTCATTATGTAAATCTATCAATTGTGGCATTTTTCCTGTAGGAAATAATAAAACCTGTTAACACCACACCAGAATTTTGATTTCTCAATTATTTCTTTCCGCAGTATTTCTTCTGTCATCCACATGACAGTGAAGAAGGAAGCCTAGTCGCTGGTTTCTCAGAGCTTGTGCACAAAGTTTGGAGTGGACGATTTTCCTCCACCCGTCCTGTTGCATTCAAACAGGCCTTCGGGAACCACTGGAGAGACTTTCAAGACTACAGACAGGTGCATTTAGCTTGAGATTTTGAGAAAATATTTCATATAGGATAGTTTTTCTCTCTGGCTTACTTACTTGTTCGCCGACTATTGAGTATGATTTGTTAGTTTCAAAAAATAAATTTGGAGATGGTGCTGTTAAATTTGATGTCTTATCATTCTTTAATGAAGTTTTTAGCTGCGTTTCAATGCTCTCATCAAGTGAAGTTTTGAAAGTTTTTTCACATTTGCTAACCAATCTAAATCCTAAGCAAAAATCACCATTTATGTGGCAGCACGACTGCCAAGAATTTGTGACGCTACTGCTTGAAGGGCTCCGCAAGCAAATGTCTCTCAAACTTCCTGCCAAGCTCAACAACGATGATGACATCTTGTGCTGTTCCAAGACATCGCCTGCTGCTCCCCTGCAGGTATTGATAAGTTGAATCATTCATGAAATTATCTTCATTCACTCCTGGTCATTCAAAAAAATTATCTTCATTCATTCATGGTCATTCATAAAATTATCTTCATTCACTCATGGTCATTCATAAAATGGTCTTCATTCACTCATGTTCATTCATAAAATTATCTTCATTCACTCGTGGTCATTCATAAAATGTCTTCATTCACTCATGGTCATTTATAAAATTATCTTCATTCACTCCTGGTCATTCATAAAATTGTCTTCATTCACTCGTGTTCATTCTTAAAATTGTCTTCATTCACTCATGTTCATTCATAAAATTATCTTCATTCACTCGTGTTCATTCATAAAATTGTCTTCATTCACTCATGTTCATTCATAAAATTATCTTCATTCACTCGTGTTCATTCATAAAATTGTCTTCATTCACTCGTGTTCATTCATAAAATTGTCTTCATTCACACATGTTCATTCATAAAATTGTCTTCATTCAGTCCTGGTCATTCATAAAATTGTCTTCATTCGCTCCTGGTCATTTCTTAAATTGTAAAATTTTGTTAACCTATATGTAATGACCAACTCTTGCTCATTATATTATAATTTAAATTATCAGGAGGCAGACGGGCTGTTCAGCACCCACTGGCCCACCGGTGCCGAAAGTTTCTCTGAAGACTCCAAGGACTCTGACATCCAGCGTCCAGGCGGGGGACTGGCAAGTGAACCCACCGCAGACTCTGAAGCTGTCATACTTCCCTCTAACGAATGCTGCATGGAGATGGACACTGGCGAGGATCTTGCTTCTTTATTATTGCCTTCCCCGTCTTTACCAGCCTCTCCGCCATCCCCGCGCGTAGTTATTAAACATCCCGATGAACAATCTAGAGGCTCTGGGGAAAGTCAGGAGGTTGGTTAAAATGAAGTTCTATTGTAGAACTTCTTTTCATTCAGAAGTTCTATTAAAAGTTTTTTGTCACTGGATAATCTTCCAAGGAAGGACGTACCATTGTGGCTTAAAATTCAAACATGCTAAGGGAGACTTATGCAATTAGTTTTTAGTTTGGATCATGTCAATCTTGTTACATGTTCGTGTTTGTAGCAATATCTTGTGTTAACATGTGCTAAGATGATTTAATCTTTATAATTCAGGACGGTTGTGAAGATAGTGGAGCAACTTCACCCAAAAGCAGCGTCTCCAGCAGCTCCGTGGATTCCCACCTTATCAACATGCGTCTGCAACCCATTCCAGAGGAGGTTTGTTGGGTACCACTCTTAAACTTCTGCTTTGTGATGACGGTAAAATGTTAGCAAAATATTCACGACCAATTTCACGCGAAACATTGCACTGATAAACACACAGATCAATATCTGAAAATTCTATAGAACTTTTCTAAATAGATGCGCGAGTTGTGGATTCAAGCAAAGTTGCCAACTAGGATGCTTGCGGTCATGTAGTTATTTTCGGAATTTCTGGATATAAATAATCTGGTTTTGAGATTTCTTTAGGAGACTTTTTCGACTCATAAGAATATATAGTAGAATTGATTTTTGTTATTTAATTGTTAATGCTTTGAGTTGAGATAAGGTGTTAAGTTATTAAGTGAGAATCGTTTTGATTGACTGCCGTGTTTGATTGGATTTAAATAATATTGAAGTTATCACTTGAATTAATCGAATAATTTTAAACCCTATTTCCAGGTTTTCCTCCATGCCGCATCTTCTTCGTTTGATTGTGTTTCAATAATGTTCTAGTTATCACTTAGATTAATCGAACAATTTTACACCCTATTTTTAGGTTCTACTCCATGCCGCATCTTCTTCTTTGTTACGTGAGCGCCAAGCTGTCCCTGAACTGACTGGAACCTCGCGTCTGAAGCAGCGGCGACTGCAGGGTCTCTCCCACAGCAGCACGTCGTCGGGCTTTAATGGCGCGGTGTCTCTTGAGAGAATCTCAAATGACGAGCGAGATCCTAGGTTAAACGAGGACGAAGATAGCAGAATGGAGGAAGACTTTGACGAATTCGAAGGAAGGGGCAGTTACAGAGACAACATAAACTCCTCCGCCGATGCTGACTCGACATTTCCACAGTCTGATTTGGTCACTTCTGCTCATTCGTCTAAAAAGCAAGCTTCACACAGGGTCGTTAGTTTTAACCCCTGCAGCCCTAGTGGTATGCTGGTTTCTTCTTCTAGCGACTCTGCTGAAGCGATCGTTAGTAAGTCGGATGCACCACATTCAAGTAATGAATTAATTAACAACAATTCAACTGTTGCTGCAAAACTACCCTTGCCTCTGCCTGATGTGCTGCAAAACACCATAGCCTCAAATGAAACAAATGTAATGATAGGTATGGACACATCTCCAGATGTGAGTTCTTCGTTAGATACTTACTGCTCCAACGTCAACGTGTTGGATATAATGAAAGAGAGTAAAACTTCAAACGTCAATGTCTTGGTTACTGAAAATCAGCCCAACAACGAGTTGTTATTTGACTCGGAAAAGTACGCAAAGTGTGACAAGGCCAAGCTGAAAGAATCTCTTGATAACCTAGGACACGACGTCGGCGATACGGCTCTTAAAGATAATAACCTCATGTCTCTTAGTAGGAAAATCATGGTGCAAGAAAATCTTCAAGGGAAGAAAGGCAAACGTAGCAATTGTCTTCTTGAACCAAACTCATCTGTTGAAGGCATTTTGAACAATTTGAAAGAGAATTCGGATATAATCTCACATAAAAAAATTCGCTTGGAGGAAAAGAACATTCAGCTGGAGCTAGAACGTAGTAACCATGTACAGGACTCTTTGAGCAGCAGTAGTAGTACTTCTGATGTTGGGCAAAGCAGCAGCAGTAGTAGCAGCAGTACAAGCGGAGCCCCGCCTTCTCCTAAACCTCAAGAATGTATTTCGAATATCGCGAGGGTGGCGGCTGCAGCAGCTGCAGCTGATGCCGTTCAAGGTAGGTTAGGGTGATCAATTGACAACTCAAATGTTTTCAGGTTATGTAGAATAATTTTCAAAGAGGTTATTCTTCTTTTTTTTGGTAGGTGTTATTTTCTCAGAGAACTTGTGATGAGTTATTAGACCATTTGTTTGTACATGATTTAGATGATAAGCATTTAGGCCAGAATTCGTGTCTTAGACAAAGACCTATAACGTAATTGAAAGAGGTTAGTGTTGCTTTTCAATAATGAACTGTTTTATTATCTACGACACATGATCAAAACTTACGATGAGTTATTAGTCCATTTATTTGTACATGCTTTAGATCAGTGGTTCCCAAACTTTTTCAGGCTGGCGCCCCCTTTGGCTCCCTAGTGAATTTCAAGCGCCCCCCACCGACATATAAAAACATACGCCTCTTTCTTGAAATATAGTACGCTGTAATTTTAATACATAATGGTTAAACACAAATGTGTATTTCACAAATAGAACCCCATTTAGCAAACCAATATGTATTTCAGCTGCTTTAACTGTTTCAGAACTAGAAACCTAGGACGTCTCGGGCAAATTTACGGCCGGACTCGTGGCCGGTCTCCCTGCCAATCTCCAAATTCAGTGACCACGAATATCTCCCAAACTAATGAACGCAGCTCAATGAAACTTGGAACATGTATTCATCAGAACCTAACGGTGATGTTTAGCTCGTGAAAATTTGTTGCATTTCACCTTCATTCGTGAGTTATATTGCGATACAGGCCGAAATTCGCAGTGATCAAAGAATTTCTTCATAACTACTGAAAAAATTTGAACGAAATTTTGAATATATATACCTAACTACCAAACGGGGATTTTATTTTTTGTTCAACTTTCAATAAATTTTTCGATTTCGCCTTCGTTTGCGAGTTTTTTTTTCATTTCACCGTCATTCTTGATTTCACACTTCCTAATATTTGCCTCGCATCGCCGGGTATTTTGTCGCTTAAATTCGCAGTGATCAAGAAATTTCTTCTAAACTACTGAAGAGATTTCAACAAAATTTTATATGTAAATACCTTACTTCCCAACGGTGATGTTTAGCTCGTGACAATTTTTATAATTTGCTTTCGTTATCGAGTTATACAGATATAGGAGAAACGACCGGCTTTTCTACCGGCCGGTTTAACCAAGAGCCGTTTACGTATATAGCCGTATACGTATAGCCATATATCTCGCAAACGGAGATAAAATCGAAAAAAATTGTAACAAGCTAAATATCATCGTTGTTGAGGTTAGGTTTTGAAATACTAAGTTTCGTTCAAATCTGTTCAGTAGTTGGAAGAAATTTCTTGATTACTGCAAATTTAAGCACGTATTGCCGTTTAAATCACGAATGTAGGTGAAATTGAAAAAAAACTCGCGAACGAAGGCAAAATCGAAAAAAAATTCAGGAGCTAAACATTACTGTTCGGTAGTTAGGACTGTAAATTTAAAATTTCGTTCGAATCTGTTCAGTAGTTTGGAAGAAACTCCTTGATCGCTGTGAATTTCGGCTCGTATCGCCATATAACTCGCAAATGAACGCAAAATTAAAAATAATTTCACGTGCTACACATTACCATTAGGTCCTAATGAATACGTGTACCAAGTTTCATCGAGTTACGTTCATTAGTTTGAGAGATATTCCTTGATCGTTCGTTGATTTGGAAATTGGCCGTGAGACCGGCCGCGAGTCCGGCCGTTAATTTGTCCGAGACGTAAACCCAGGAGAGGTTAAAAAAATAGATCTGAGTGAAAAAAACCATCACTGGGAGTCATGTGCTGCAAGTGTTGTGTATAAATCGTCAAACAAACGCTCAAACTTCTGACTTCGACTTCGGACTGCCGCCCCCTTTCGCCCCCCCTATGGCCCTCTTCTTCCTTACCGCCCCCCAAAATCTTTCCACCGCCCCTAGGGGGGCTATATCGCCCACTTTGGGAACCACTGCTTTAGATGATAAGCATTTAAGCCAGTATTTCGTGTCATATACTAAGCCCTATCTCATAATTGAAAGAGGTTAGTGTTGCGTTTCAATAATGAACTGTTACATTATCTATGGCATCTGATCAAAACTTTTGATGAGTTATTAGTCCATTTGTTTGTATATTATTTAGATGATAAGCATTTAAGCCAGAATTTCGTGTCATAGACTAAGCCCTATGTCATAATTGAAAAAGTTTAGTGTTGCTTTTCAATAATGAACTGTTTTATGATCTATAACATGTGAGCAGCGGGCAGCAGTTCGAGCATCATAGAACGTAACGCCGATAGAGATCTACGACTGGCCGAGGAGAGCTGGAAGAACTTCATCGGCGAGGGGGAAGGTTCCGTATTGATGGACACCTTTTACGGCCAGTTCAAAAGCTGTGTAAGTTGAAGTAAATAAAATTTGTGAAGTGTAAGTTAAATTTAAATTTAAGCCGTGGAATTTACCTCGAAGTTGAAGGTAAAGGATGCGTATGTTGCCAGCATGGTGAAAGTTCAGCTGAGTAAGTTGAATTGCCATTTGCAATTCAATTCTAATTTTTAAGTTTACATGCCATTTTTCACAGAATATACAGTGGGGGGAAATAAATATTCGTACACTTGAAAAATCGTATTTTAATGTATGTAAGTACACAAACTTAACAGGAAAAGTGATTTAAATTATGTATAGAGACGCATAGTATTCAAAATACTATCAAAAGAAATTAAATCTCAATGCAACAAAAAACAATGCAACATGTTCACTTTTCGGGGTGAAAAAAGTATTCGTACAAAACAATAAATCCGCATTATTTTAATTTAATACTTGGTTGAATACCCTTTTTTCAGCTCAACAGAAAATTTAAATCACTTTTCCTGTTAAGTTTGTGTACTTACATACATTAAAATACGATTTTTCAAGTGTACGAATATTTATTTCCCCCCACTGTATCACCGAACGACTTATATTGGAAGTTGTCCGAACTGCTGCGTGCTTGTCGGTATAAATGCTGCATGAAATTTCTACTGCTGTCGTCCAATATTTGGTTTGATTGCTGTGTATTACTTTTCTTGTGCATTCAAATTAATTAAAATCAAGGTAACTAAATCGCTATTTACAATATCTGGTGACGTTGGCCGTATGAAATTGTGTCTTGAGGATATTTAAAAGATAAAATTAATACTGTTGCTTCTGCAAACATTGAAGAATTCTCGCGAACGATTCACAAAAAAATTCTCCACATGTTATGTTGTTTGAGACTGAAATTGGAACTCTAGGGACAGGTAACTTGTGCAGTCTCGGCTTTAAACAGCTCTTGCTTTCATTCAATAAATGAGTATAACTAACATTGTTACTTACATTACAGTTGGTGTGTAGCGTGTGTGGTCACAGCTCGGTCAAGTTTGATCCGTTTGGCACGCTTTCAGTTCCGCTGCCTCACGCCAATGAAACTCAAATAGGTACGTATTCCCATCCGAATGCAAGAACCCATTTAGAATACATGTGAAAATTATTGTGTCGAATATGAGCCTGATTAACCCTTTACGCCCTGGCGTGATGAATTCGTCACACAGAAAAAAACCTCGGTTTTCCAACAATTTCACGTTTTCTGTCATTTTTTCGAAAAAAACGTACAGAGACGATTTTGGTACCGTTGGATAGGTCAGAATGTCAGCTTTGAAGTGAGACTTAGAACCGAAAAAGTGAATTTTACGATTTTCATCCCAGAAATTCAGGGCGTAAAGGGTTTACTATTACTCTCCTCTTTGGCTAAGACTTCAATTGGAAACACTGCTTGGTACTCCTGACAATACTGCATGTCTTAGCCACAGCGACATCCAACAGAACTGTTGCCCCAACGGGCCAACACATCAGCCCTTCATCATGACGAAATTTTCACCAGAATGCTAAGGGAGGATCAGCGAAGCAGCTTCAGAACTATCAACCTTAGACGATATTTGATAGAATGCAACCTGCTACCATAGATCTAGCATGACCTCATGATGGCACCGCCTTTCGGCCATATGCCGCGAAATTGTATTTGCACCTAGTCCATCACCCAGACTCTTGGACATTTATAGAATTGATTCTATAGTCTATAATTGAATTATAGACTCCTGGACATTTCATAAATTTTTTACTCCACTTCCTGAAGACGGAAGTTTGTACATGTAGCCGGAGCGGACCTTCGCTCCGTGAACAGGAAATCTACCGCCCAACCCCTGTACCTAAAGGGATCAGGCTGCAAGCCTTTACGACAGAGATCAAATACCGCGGACGCAACTGATGATCGTAGTTCCGGCGCGAAATAGACTGAAGCGCTAGCAAACCTTCCTTCCTGAAGCAAACTACTATTACTACTCAATTGAAAGTGGTTAATACGATTGTTTTGAGCAATCTAGAAAGTATTCAGACTTGTTTTCTTGTGTGCCGTTAATTGATGGTGATTAGCATCTTAGGAAGTGCTCAGGCTTCTCCTCTTGTAATTCAGATTGTGATTGTGGTAGACATTTTAAATTATTTAATATAATATTCTAGTATTACGTAGAGTGATGATAACAAGCAATTCGTATCATTCATATCTGTAGTGAAATGCAATTTTTTATATCTGTGCTCGTTTGTCAAATTTGATGATGTACATTTGATGTTAAACAATCGGTAATGAAGGCTTGAAAATGTCGTCTATATTGTTGGAAACTGTTACCGATTTATGAATATAATGTTTTTTTAATGTTTATTTGCAGTGGTAACTTATGTAAGCTACGATAAGAGCCCGGCCCTGCGCTGCCTTGTCACACTCAACAAAATGTCTGATGTACGAGACCTGAAAGCTGCCGTCGTGCAGCTACTGACACAAGACTTTTCTCGTCGTAACGCCGCTGCACGTCCTGCCACAGCTTCTAGTAGTTCCTCCTCCACCGGCTGCACCGCGTCGTATGAAGATATTCCTGGTCAATGTATTGACGAGGATGGGGTTGCTGAGAACAACCTTTCTGGTGTAGACAATAACGAGCTCCAGGACTGTAAAATGGAGGAAAATGAAGGAATGTCCATGGATGACGTGTGTTTTACAGGCAATAAGAATGTCAATAATGATAATGATGATCAGAAGGAGATCAAAAGAGATGGTTTGCGCACATCGCAAAAGAACAAAAAGAGGAAATCCAGTCTCTGCAAGCCTCCTGAAGTGTCGCAGTTGATAGTAGCCGAGTTGTTGGACAATCACATAGCACGAATCTTGGTTAGTAAACTTCTGAATTCCCAGCAATGAGTCGATTAAATTTTCATGCAATTAATATTTTAGAGATTTCATATAATTACTTACGATGAAGAGTCTTAGTTGAAGCTCTATTTTCTTGAATAAACATTGACCAGGGCCTGAAACCCGTGCATGAGTTTTAATTGATATCTGATTCATGGCTTTTAACCAATGCTGTGTATGAATTGAGGCTCAATATATTTTTTAAATTGTGAAACTACTATGTAATACTTGAACGAGTATAACAAGCTCTTTGTGTTCTATAATTTTGATTTGAAAGTCTAATTTTCGACTTTTTGTATTTTCCCAGGAGGACACTCTCATGACGAAGTACGTTAATAAAACGAGCAGATCAGTGTACGCTTACCACCTTCTTACATCATCACCACCTTCTCCTTACCACCTTCCTTGTTCACCTCCGCCAGTGCCACCGAACCCCTCCACTAAATACAAGACGAGGATCTCTCCTACGCTTGCACGGGAAGAGGTTAGTTACTCTTTGTGATCAATAAGATTTATTTTCCTCCGAGATTCTATTATCATTATATTCTAGTATATGATCATGTTAGTATAAAGGGCTCACTCTCTTTACCCTGAATAATACGGCAGTGCTACATTGAAAGTTGGTATCTGAAAAACTGCTTGAAATTAATGTTTTAAAAATCAACATTCTGGATCTTAGCAAGTAATTTTATAGCATTTTCTCATTTGTGGAAAAAGAGGCGCCATTGTGCTCGTCATGTCCGTCCGTTCGTTCGTCCGTGACTTCACGTTTTCGTCGACGAAAAAATGCGTTCTCTGTCTCTCACTGCAGTGAGTACTGAGTTATATTTTTTTGTTCACAGAGTGTCGCTATGACCGATTTATCACCTGGGTTGAAAGGAGGCAGCAAGATTTGCAACCCTTTATTAGCAGACCAAAACCAATCATCACCAACGAGTCCATCATCGTGTCCACTGCGACATTCTCCAGTATCTTCTAACGTTCCTTTATCGCAAAGTCCCGAGCCACGTTTGACTTCTCATTCTAACCAAACCTCGGCTCTTAAATCCTGCCTTGCATCTTCTTCCTCCAAAACATTTTCCAAGCCGTTCTCAAAATTGTTGCCTGGTCTCAACGTTCACTCTGGAGGAATTGATGGGGGTAATGCCAGGTGTAGTTACTCAGACCCCAGCAAAAGCGAGAAGCCTTTCTATGTTCACCCTGTGGCAACGAATGCCACTCCTGGGGGAGTGATCGGTGGGGCGGGTGGATCTACCACTACGCCTCCTTCAGGGTATCCTCCAGCGTCCGCATCATTATCCTTCAACGACGCACCTTCCTCCAGTAGCAGGTTCGATTCGATTCAGTAGCAGGTTCCCCTGTTCGATTCAAACCAATCAATAAGTTATGCTCGGTTCACTCTGAACTATTTTTGGGTACAAAATCAATTACGATACAAACCATTTCTAGCTATTTAACTTGACTTACCTGGTGCCGATTTTAGTTGTTCATATTTAGTCTTATTAATGGTTGAAAATAATTGTGCACTTCTTTCTGCAACCCGACTTAGTTGAGTTTTTCTGCTGAAATTGAGGAAAGATTTAATATGAGCTCACTTACGACAACTTCTTTGAGAAAACTACTAGCTTTCAATGTTATTTAAAGCTATTCATTAAAATTTAATAATTGAAAATTGAAATTGATTAAATTAATTCACTTGTCACCTGGCCTGCGTAGGGATGTTGCAGAGGAATGCCGTCCTGCAGAAGTCAGCGAGGAAGGCAGTGAATGGAAGACGTGCAATATTTGTCTTGAGGAAATGTGTCAAACAGAACTGAAGACCCACGATCACTGTTATGACTGTCTTCTCTGCGAGACCTGCATTGACGTAAGAGCGAAGCATGCTTGTTTCGTAAATAGAGAGACATTTGCTGTATCATTAGTCAATCATATGTCTGACATCTCCTTTACTTATTCTTCGTACCGTAGCTCGCCTGATTTTTGCTTTGCCTTTATTTCAATAACAGAAGTTTATCCCAAACTGCGAGACAAGTTCCTTCTTTAAATCTATGGAAGAAACGCAGAAAAATTTGGAATTTTGAATCCTGTTTGAATTTGTTACCTACGCTCCTCTCAATAAAAATGCAAAATCTTGCAAATATCGCTCACAAAAATCTGAAAGATTCCACCGTTAGCATTGTTCAAGTCCATCTTGTTACATTTCTGTTTGCAAATGACTCATACTACAGTCTTCACTTGTGACATTGTTTATCTGCAAAATAATTAATATTATTATTATGTATTCAGATGTCAGTGAAGCATCACGGCACTGAGAGTGACAGCGGAGGCTCCTTGCCGTGCCCCGTATGCCAGACATCACTGACGCGGGACTCTCTCATCCCCGTGGCCAGGAGACCAGCGAACAAACCTAAGCCCAGGTGCATTTAATTGCTTTTTCTTGGGTTTATACAATAAATGAGGACCTTGGCGCGAAAGAGCCATTATTTCGCGCCAGTAAATTATATGTGATCCAATTGAATATATTATTTGGTAACGGTGAAGTGAATATGCTATTATGCTACAGTGGGGGGAAATAAATATTCTTACACTTGAAAAATCGTATTTTAATGTATGTAAGTACACAAACTTAACAGGAAAAGTGATTTAAATTATGTATAGGACGCATAGTATTCAAAAATACTATCAAAAGAAATTAAATCTCAATGCAACAAAAAACAATGCAACATGTTCACTTTTCGGGTGAAAAAAGTATTCGTACAAAACAATAAATCCGCATTATTTTAATTTAATACTTGGTTGAATACCCTTTATTCAGCTCAACAGATACCAGTATAATGCGTCTCTATACATAATTTAAATCACTTTTCCTGTTAAGTTTGTGTACTTACATACATTAAAATACGATTTTTCAAGTGTACGAATATTTATTTTCCCCCACTGTATTTGGTAACAATAGCATATAGCATAGCATATTTGGTAATATGCTATTTGGTAACAGTGAATTTATTATGAAAAATTATACAATGTAAAATCGTTGCGATCAAAATTTCTACGATTGCGTAAAATGTAAAGTTTCACTGAAAGAATCTTGATGATTACATTCAATACAAGTGATTGCTCTTGTGATTAAGCTCACTAATAATCATGCATTTACTAGATCATTTCATATTTATTTAATTTTGTGCACCTAATTTAAAACATCCTGGTATTGAAGGCTGCTGCGCGTGGGCGTGGTGTTCCGCTTGGACGCCGAAAACGCGGACAACAACAAGCGCCAGACGAGCCTCTTGGGACACCCGCGCTTGTTGCTACTACCTTCCACCCTGCCTCTAGGGGACCTATGGTCTGCTCTGCAGCACTGCATACCACCGGGGGCTGACTGCCAGCTACTTCTTGTGGACGGCAGGGTACGTTTATTTGCTCAGATTCATGTTTATTGATGTTAGGCGCATTGCGTGAGAATTTTTGCCTTGCTCAAATGAAAGTTATCTATGACCTTAAACTGTTGATAGTTTGAACAATATCTGTACACTGATTGTTTCATCAATTCTTTGCCAAAAGTGACTTATATCATGACTTGATATGCGTGTATCGCCTCTTATAATTTGCTCATATGTTCTATTCGTCAGGGTTACAACTGCTCACGATGCTTGTTCGTGTCTCACTGTCGAGGATGTGACGTCGTTAAGAGCTCTGGCGCGCGTGCTGGTTTGTATTCTGTTAATCAGATCCATTGATTAACAACAATATTCTTCTTAGAAAAATCATGAGACGTACTAATAGTTTGTTAACACTATCATTGTGTTTTGAATTGCTATGGTGTTTTCTGCCACATCTTCCGCGGTTAACAGTAACTGGCCTTGAAACGCGACTAGAACCTTCCTTCAAGGTCTTTGCATGCCTTATGCAGAAGGGAACAAATTTCCATTTTTTTTTCTCAGTGTCGGGATTAGACAATAATTTCTCTTTATTTAGTATCCTAAAACATGTGTACTTGCTATCATAATCATTACAAAGATGTGAACCGGCTATCATAAGATGTGAACAGGCTATCATAATTATTATAAAGATGTGTACTGGCTATCATGCAAAGATGTGAATTCTAGTTATTCAGCTGTCGTTTTGTTTGTTGTTAATTATGTTAGGGGGGCAGGGTCTTACAATTATGTGATGGATCAGTATGGAGGATTTTGTTGATATTGAACTGGTATTAAAGTGACCAAGATTTGGTAAAACTTGAAAACGTCTCCTCTGAAGGTCGGCTGGAAAATGAACTTTCAAACTAAGCTTAAAAATTAAGATTAAGTTCATTATGAATTTGGCTTCATTTTTCTCTTATATGCTTGTATGAAATAACAAGTTATATTTATTTGATATTTATATTCATTTATTGAATTATAGTTATTTAATTTATTAAAATAATTAATTTATTACTAATGTATTTAATACATTATATTTATTTAATATTTGTTACAATACCTTAATGAGCGTATTGTTCGCAGGCAGCGGCAGCGGTGACGTACAAACTGTACGTTTGCAGGCAGGGGACACGATCTGTGTGCGCTTCACGCGCCTCACAGCCATGCAGCGATACAACCTCTCTGCTGTGAGTCCATTATACAGAGAGTCCATAAAGACTGCACACATAGGATAGTTGAATATTTTTGGTATATAATTAAAATTAAGTCTTATTTTCACTATTTATTTCATTCAAATAATATCTTCAATATGAGCGCCATCATTCTTTTGTGAAAGCATTAATTATTGATCTGTGGATGAAAAAAATATATATTAATAAGTTTTAATACTATTTTGAAAAATATTTCACTTTACTGTGTGTCCATACTTTATGGACAACCTGTATTGACGTTGCTTACGAATCTAAAGTGCTGTTAAAAGTTATATATCAGCCTGAAAACATCTAGAGTAGAAGGCACCTGTTTGGGTGGAGCATCTGGCAATCGTGTTCAGAGATTATATAATATATAAGATTCTATTTTCCCTGATCATTTCTAGCAAAATATTTTCAGATGGATCTTAAAAACCACGTATATTTTCAATGTAGTATATTTGCTTCAATTTTACAGACTAAGGAACATCCGAGCCTTGCGTTGAGACGCCAAGAATCACCTCTCACCTTGTATGATTGCTTACGCACATTTACGCGCAGGTAAAACTATCTATATTCTTGCAATTTAGCCATTTTTGAATAAGTATAAGGTTGACCCATGCGAGCTCATTTTTGCGGATGTAGTTTGTTGTTCGCCTGTGTCGTCACTGATCTCAGTGACGTCACGGGCATTAACCAATCACCGAAATGCGATCAAACCAGTCAACCAATCCGTCATGGGAATGACGGGATTGTTTACATTTCTCGATCTCAGTGACGTAACAATAAAGCTAAACTGAAAGACGCAAATCCTCGTTGGTCAACCTTATATAGTTCAACTATGCAATTTTGCATATTAATTAGATCATTTTCTCTGGCATTGTCTTATGCTCATTCCAAGCTGTAGATCATCTAGTTTTCTATTTTCTAACTTTCGTCAGCTAGTTTATATTTATATGTCAAATATTTTTTTATTTTCTCACTATTCCGTTCCTGATTCAATGTTGTAGTGAAAATTTCCCTATATTTTTAATCGGTTTTTATATAAAAGTATAAAAGAACTGTTATTTAAATGAATATTCCTCATCCGGTATTGAAGAATATAACGATCATTGGGTTATAAGCTCACTAATTACATTGCTTAATTTTAATCAGTGAGCAATTCAGTATAATCACGGTATAGATGGAAGTTGAATGATGGTTAACTCATTAACGCTTTATGTTGCAGTGAGAAGCTCGAGAGCAGCGAGAGTTGGTACTGTCCCGAGTGCGAGTGTAAGCAGCCCGCCACGAAGACTGTGTCTATTTGGAAGTGTCCTCCTTATCTTATATTGCATCTTGAAAGGTGAATATTAATTTATGGTGAAGAAAAGTAATTTCAATTAATTGTTTTTTACTCAGAATAAAAATGATACCCATGTGTCATTTTAACACAAGGATTTTAGTGAGCTCTTCAACAGGTATTATCTCATAATTCTAACATGCTGGTAGTTCGTTTTTTTTTTCAATACAAATGACTCGTTCAACTTCCGCAATAAAAATGTTTTTGCCTGATATTGAAGCTATTTTACGAATAGGTACGTGAATGATAAACCTTCCGATGGGGTGAAATTCAGGCATGGGCCCAAGAGCTTAGGGTCGAGCATAATGTCTAGGAATAAATAAGAATGGCTTTCGTGAAGGTAAATTATTAAGAGAATATGTGAATGAGATCTTTATGCCTAGTCCGATGTGTAGTGAAAAGTTATTAACTCTAGAAATGATGGGAGAACGAGTACGATGGAAGAACGGACATTTATTAGATGCGGTCGGGAGAGGTCGACTCGTAGATACTGCTTCATGATTAATTTTATGGTTCCAGTTGCTTCAAAAGAACAGAATAAGATAATATATCAAAAGAATAACTTTAATAAATACAACAAATAATATATTATTGAGAATCGATTAAACATTTAATTTATACATATTTGAATATTTAATTACTTGAATAATTAATTTATACCAAAGCGCTTGGCCGAGTGAATAGAAAGAGAGACCTGCTGTTTCTGTATAGTTGATTATATTTATGAGTATAAAATTGAAATGGTAAGTAATAGGAGGCGAATTTGGTTAAGATTGTTAATTGGAGGCGGACTGGGTTAATAGCCCAGGAGTTGTGCGACGTTAGGGTGTCTTGGACGCGAGTCTTGTCAGACTGAACATGGTGAGGTGGCCACGTATTTGGAGGAGGACGTGAACGAAATGACTTAAATTGTGACGAGAATGTTTATGATGATTGCCAGGTTATAACAAATTAGTTGTAGCTTAGCTGTGTAATTAACTATAGTAAGGTAGTCAGTAAGGTGATGATGGATGTGGGAGTACACGTGTGCAGATGGCGTATATATACTATATATTGATGGAGTGATTAGGAGCGAAAATGTTTAACTCCACAGACTTTGAAAACGAATGATGGATCATGGTTATGTCATCTGCTCGCCTAGCAGTGCTTGATATGTAACACTGGACTAACGAACTTAGCGAGCGTTCATGTTCTGCCATGGTACTGCGGTAGAAATCTCACTCACTTTCTTTTCCAGGTTCCTGTTTCATGGCACAAGCAGTAGCAAACTGGACGATAAAGTGATCTTTCCGGTTGAAAATCTGGACATGAGAGAATATTTCGGTGGTCGCTGTTCGGGACCACAGCTCTACAATTTGTATGGGGTGGTTTGCCACGTAGGAGGTGAGAACCTTTGAAACTTGATAGAATTCAAACTGAGTATTTTTTATATTAATAATTCCTCAGACACAGTTCGTCAACATGAATTGCAGTAATGGATTTTTACGAGTAATGATTTCATTAGGGTTAATGAGACACAAATTAAGAACATATGTCTGCTCCGTGTTAGCAGTGTCTTAATCTATAACAAACATCACGCAGTGTTCCGTATTTTAAAGTAAATATTGCAATTGTTATGCAATTAGCTCAATTGAGCAGTTGTCAGTTGTGCTGATCAGTTACGTATGTGCAGTGGTGCAGGCTGGTCACTACACGTCACTCGTACGTAGCCCAGTCAGTGGCCAGTGGCGTCACTTCAACGACGAGTGCGTCACTGCCCGCAAGCCCAGCGAGGACGAATACTCCAGCGCATACCTGCTCTTCTACCACCGCAATGGTGAGCTCATTTCCTTCGTATTTTATTTCTAATTTTTCACTTCACTTCATTTGAATTTCCCACAATTTTCTTCTATTTATTTTTGTTAACTCCTTACTTAGTCTTGCTTTTAAATTTAATTTTTAATTTAAATTTATTATTATATTCAAAATCCTAGTATCACAGACAGGAAGTGAATCCTACATCATTGCTAAGATTGGTTTTAGTAGTTTTACATTATACATTTTAGGTTATGAATTTTGGAATTCTCATCCAAAGATTGAAATGATGTTTTTCATATGTTAAACCCTATTTGCGGCTCAATCATACGACGAAAGTATTTGTTTTTTCTTTTAATTGCAAGCGGGATTAAATTTTTTCTTGTCAAAGAAGCAAATGTGTTGATACGATCCGTCCGTGTTGATTTATTTTGATTATGCTTGTTCTTTCTTAAAGCGGTGTAAAATATCGATTCGTTTATCAATGTAAAATAATCGAGTTCTGGTTTTATTCACTCGAAATTATTAAAAATTTTCCCTAGTAATTTACAACTCGTTTGTGCATTTCGATATTTCATCAGGAGGGAGAAGACGTGTAGATTTCTTAATAAACGCCCGGTAGGTTCCTCTGTTTTCGATTACTTTTAGGACTCGTCTTAGATATTAATCGTTAAATTTTTGTCAAACACTGAATTAATTTAATGTTTTTATCATTGTACTCTATAAATCAAGCTAAACACTTTCAGTCACTCGCTTGACAACAATAATTCTCCTTAAGCATTTGGGGTTTGTCATAAACTCGTAATTCGCTTTCTTTGTCAGGGTTCACTGGTATTTGTTGTTTCATACGAAACACGGGGTCGGAATTGATATCACGTTGGTCTGTAAATTTATCATAATCACTTTGTCTTAAAATGTAGCGCATCATTGCGGAAAATTTTATCATTTATTTTAGTCATAATTTTTGGATTGCGGCAGTCATTTATTCTCCATTTATCTGGAATTCACAGTATTGGAGGATAGCTCGCTATTGACGATTCCTGATGAGGTTTTTTTTTAAATGTGTTGAAACTTCAGTGCTATCGATGCATGCGACCAAACTTTGAAATTTGAAGTATGTCTGAATTTTTCCAAAATTTCTAATTTTCCTGCTTTCTTCCAGATTTGCCTTTCAGACTCCATCTTCCGCGAGTCTTTTCTTTCCTGCCCAATCGAGACTGTGAAGCAACAACTACCGCTGGTTCTGTGGCCGAGGGTTCACCCATCATCGATGGACGATGTGGCCCATCATCGCCCGTCATCGATATTACTGACCATGATAACAATCCGACATTCGATGATCCGACATTCAGTGATCCGACATTCGATGCCGTATGTGCCGATGCTGAGCAAGCGACAGGTGATCAAGATGTTTCAAACTTGGAAACATTCCCAACTGGTGACAACGAGGCGAAAAATTTCCCAGTGTCTCAGGTTGCTGGTGCATCTGCTGCAGACAAAGGGTTTTCATCCAGCAATGCCGAGTTTGATGAGTCGCCCTCTAAAAGGAAAAAGCTACTCCTGCCTACTACCCGCCGCATGTCCACAGATGGATACGTGGAGGATTCATGCATCACCAAAAATTCTTTCACAGATAAAGGATCCACTGTACCTCAATCATCGTTAGCTACTAGTGTGAAGCCACTCCCACATTCATCCACTTTGGATTCATTTTCACTCGGTTCAAATTTTATAGATGCTTCGGTCATCAGCAGCTCTACTCGTTCTTCTAGTTCTGTTCGCGCTGTGGATTTACCATCCAGCACCGCTGACGGGTCATCTAGCACAGCTGATGGTGCTACTAGCTCTACATCCATGACATCTGCCCTTGGAAGTAGGGCGTCTAGCACGCTCGATGTTGTCGGTGCTTCGTCTAGTTCTTCAAGCAAAGCGTTTGTCGCTTGCGTGTCGCAATCAAGCGATGCGCCTCAATATTCAAGCAGGGATGCCGGTAGTGAATGCACCTCCAGCGAGCAAGTGGAAGGTGTTAGCAGCAGCAGCAGTAGCAGCCGACATTATGGAAGAGACGCCGGACAGCATAACGTCTCAAACTCAGCTGACCTATGCACTCAGTCCAATAATCTGGATTTTGAACCGGAGGAATCGAACCTACATTGATGACCGTTTCTTTAGGCCTTTGTTCAAGTGAAAATCCCGTCATTATTTATTTTCGACTATTGTTGCCTTGACGCTTTGTACTTTACATTTTCTTCATCTATTACTCTTAGTAGTTTCTTTTGAACTTATCGGACGCGAATTTTAAGCCTTAGAAGAACATTTATTTTCACTAAGTTAAATAAAAGGTAGCAGCACATTATTGCTTATAACAGTGCATTCATCACGGTTATACAGTGCAATTTCGATCTGATGTCAGAACATTTATGGATATATGGCCGTTTTATTAAACCTGAGATCGTTCTTTCTCAGCCGTGTTGATATTATCTTTTTTATTCATTCTTTGTATTTTGATTGTTATTCTAAGATTCATGCATCTCTTCACGAGTATTGACAGTCTATTTCAGTTTTAAAAATTTAAACGTTTCAAACACGGCTTAGAAATGAAATTTCTCTGCAAGGTTAATGAGGTAAAAAGGGAATGTAAATTAATGCTTGTATGTGTGGTATTCTTGTTATCGCTGTGAAAGGAGTCCTGTCTTTTTTGCAGGTTTTAGGAATATGAAGAAATTAGGTTCCCTTTTCAGTCCCCGTTCTGCCAATACTCCTACCTTGTAATGCCCAAAAAGCTCAATATCTTTTTGCTCTCTTTTTTTTAACTTGAAGGAAAAATAATCTTTATCTCACTCTCTTAATTATTATGAATGTTCTGCACAGCCAAAGACTGATCTCCTCCATTGGTTTTTAATTGGCTGTGAGGTAAATTTCGAAGTTGAGTTCTTTGGAAAAAATCGCGTTAAAAGCTTTTCATGCACCTCAGAAATCAAACTCTTTATATTACTAACATTTTATTTCATTTAGAAATACAAGCGGTGTTTCGGTACTTTTTTTGAATAAACTTACATTTTCTCCTAATGACTATTGATGGAAAGACTATTTTTTAAGTGACTGAAATAATATCATTTCCGAAAGACCAAATCGCTTTGTTGATTTTCAGGTAGTGGCAGTTCTTTACACATCAGTTACGTAGGTTGATATGTTGTTCTACGCTTTCTTGTGTGCTACACTGTTTAGGCTTACGGTATTTATTATGTTCAATTGATATAAGAGCTGCGTGTTAATAATGATGGGATTGGTGCTGTCATTTCACAATAGTAGTTTTAATAGTTCGAGGCACAGAAGGCCTCCTCTTATCAAATACGGCGCATAGTTAGATCGCTTTATAAAGCCTCTACCTATCGTGCACAATCATTAGATTGGACCAAAGAACGCCACTTTTCATGTATTTACTTTGTTTTCGAATCGGTTGTAGCCTATAGTTACTGACCAAAATTTCCGTCATTTGTATCTTTCACCGAGACATTCAAAAATGACTTGAGATTCATGACAAAATCGCATTTTCTGGATCAACCATTTGTGCGTCTTTGAAGTATCAATTAAATTTGAGTTTTTCTGTGAACATTTTTTAGGAGTTAGTGCTTAATTGTTCGCAGCTTGCAATATGACGAGCACCTTACATTCTGTCATTTTTTGTTTGCACTGGCGACGAATGAAGTAAGTTTTAGTTAATATTTCAGGAATAGATTCTGTACACTCGATGGCGCTTGTCGGTCAATGTTACTCTATTAGTATTGAATAAAAATCTTTTTATTAAAGTTTTCCTTAACCATCCGGGGCACAATAGTCATTGGTAATTTCTGAATTTTAACGATTTGCTGTGCCAGAAAAGTAGCCAATCGCACAAGTGAGCTCTTAATGTCAAAGCGAGACCTGAGGGACTAAAGCCGTTTTGAAAGGAGAGATGCCTTTCACTTCGAAGGGTGCAAGACAGTTGAGAAGAGATGCGGAAGTGAGCACCTGCTCTCTTACACTTCCTCATCTTACTCTCTTACCTGCTCTCTTGCGAAGAGAGCAGGTAAACCTGCGCTCACGAAGCCGTGAGGTTGCTTTCGAGAGCGTGCAGCGGTAATAACAACGAATTACAGTATTCAAGGTAAATATAACAATTCCTTCAAAAAGATTTAATTCGCTCACATTTCTTAGGAAAATATCGCGCCGAAACATCTGCTTTTTAATCCTTGACATACTTAGAAAGAACTGAATAATTTTAATCATTATCACCGAATATGACGCAATGATATGCTTATTTTGTTTAGTATGGCCCATCGTGTTGCTGATAAAAGAATAAGTTTCCGACCATGAATGAGAAAGCTGAATCGATATATTAGCCAAGATCTATGCCCAATCTCAATAACAACTTGTCAGCCTCTGCGTCGAATACTGCCAGCAACTGCAAATCCAAATTAATTCGTTCTAAAGCGAATAGAAAAATATTTGAATCATCAAAACGTCGATTTTAACAAAGTATCCATTGAAAATAAATCGCCCAGACGTGTGACTGAAAGCATTGCACATAAACGAATTTTACGTGATTGTTCGCGAGTTTTATAGTCGTTACTAAATTGGTTTGAGGACATGAAAATTTGTTAATACACGACCTAATTGGCGCTCTACAAATAAAGAAAGCATACACAAAACATGGCAGACAACACAAATGGCCAACAGAAAGCAGGCCACAACTACGTTAATTATTGCTAAGAACTTCCGGGCAGCACACAAGATATGATTCAGGCTTTGGCAATTTCGTCGGGGAGGTTTTTATCTCAAACTTGAACAGGACGTAAGACTTTGCGCGATTCAAAGAATGACCGACCACTTCCATGAGGACAACATTATTGAAATTAAAATTTCTACCTGCCAGAATGTCAAAATATACTTATGAAAACGGACTCTTAATATTCTATTGAAATGAAATACAAGAAATAATACGAGTAAAATAGCCGTTAACAAACTGGATATTCGAGGTACACGTTTGAGATGAAAATGCATTTTCGGCAAATCACACAAGCCGGGATTGTAAGAACAAATTTAAGAAAAATGAGATGTGACTCGACGAATAATGAGCAAGGCCACAATAGAATAAGCGTTGACAGATGATAATATTAGACGACGAACAATGCGAAGCATATTTCCTACAGCTATTTACAAAGAACTACAACAATATGTACACTTTACGACCGGCAGGATAGGTTTTTAGGGATAGAGTAACCATACGATTTAAGAGTTATTCCTAATTCATTGAGTGCGGAGGTATTTTATGCATGTAGCGCGGAACCAATCACGTCATTTTTTACCTTTACCAAGGATTTAGCAGTTACCATAAAATATGCGAATTTGAATGCACTGATATTCAAAAAACAATAAAAATGTTAAAAAAAAATAAGTGGCTGATAATTTTCTCACGGGATTGCCAAGACAGCACGTTTGAGAATGAACATAAATTGATAAAATTACTCAGTTCCATACGGCAAAGTTAAGCTGTTCCGGTGCATTTTTTAGAGCTGAGTCAATGTATATCGAATCCTACCAGACACAATTCAACGGTTTATGAACGCTGCTTTACTTTACCAATCTAATGATGATTTAATTCCAAATCAATTTCCAATGATACAATTAATCGTGGTATCAACAACATGGGTACCAAATTAATGATAGTCTGAATACCAAGACTAGATAAGAACGTCATCCAAAGCACTATTCTAAGACGACTTGTGATATAATAAACAAGTTATTTGAGGAGTAATAATAGCATGAATTAAAAGGCACGTAAATATCACAATAAGACAAAAGAGTATGCTTAGAAATAACTTAACTCTCAAATAATAGACATATCATAACATTTTATGAAGCTATGCATGACAAAATTATTTCAATAAAATGATGTTTAACAGTAGAATGAATCGCTTGATAAATGAAAGAAGATATTAGTTAAGTTTTGCGGAAAATAAATCGAAATCAATGATATACAGCATTAAAAGCGTAAAAATACACCTTCCAATTGAAGAACTAAGCTTCAGGTTAACGTGTTCATTTCATGTTACACTAAGCGCGGCTGTTAAACAGACGACTAATGAGTAGAAGAAATTCACTTCAAAATTCAACATAATCGTGTGAATTTTTAGATATATTTACAGCACTCAAGTGCTGTGGATACAACAGAGCATTTCAGCAAGCAAATAATATAAATCTTAACAATAAAAGCAGTGGGGGGTTTCCAATAGAATACATTTGAGAACGAAGTAAATATATAAGTAAAATATCATAATACAATTTGAGGTTGGATACATTAGCATCAAGGAGGTCATCGAAAAAGTTGGCTGCTGTAAGTCACTTGGAAGTGAAACTCATTAGAGGGAACAATCAAGAAGGGATTACGGGAAAATTCAAGTAAAAGTGGAAGAGTCATTGTCGAGTATTAAATCTCGGGAAATAGCACACTTCACATTCCATCGTGTTCAAGATCAAATATTTCCGGGAATATACTTATTCAATATAAATGTTATGGCATATAAAATTGTTAATTATATCGTTGAACAGTTCAATAAAATACAAAATAAAAACAGATTATGGCACTTTCATGGACATAAAATATTTTCGATGATGATCATATCAAAATATTTGACTTTAATCATCAACAAATCTCGATTAGAATTGATATTTCTTTAAGAAAATTCGTTCGGAATTAACATTTCACGAAGAAAACTGGCAGAAATTTCAGAGTATTCTGATGGCGGTGTCAGGGCAATGTATTTTGGCGAGCGTTTTCTTTACTCTGAGGGCGGTGAGGCGCACGGTCGGCTGCGCGTGCCAGCACTCCTGCATGATCTTGCTCACCGTGCGCATAACCTGCAAATTTCAAAATTAATATGCTATTTATATTCATTCGAATATCAGTGCGTTACGGAACTATGAATAAAATGCTCAATTTTCACTTTAGCATAAATTTAGAACATGAATCGATTTGTAAAAATTCCTCGCTATACGAAAGCGCGCAATATCGAAATAATTAAACGACTAAGTATGATCGTGACAAAGAAATATTGAGTGGAACGGTCATGAAATTAAAAAAAATTACTTAGCCTTTAGCTGGAATAGTGACATCGCCCAAAACTGATGGAAAAATTCGCTTACCGGATACGAAGACCAGGATGGAGGCACGTGTGGTCTGATGCCCTTGATGCAGACCACCTCGTGTACAGCAGCCACGCTGGGGTCTGCAGGCACGTACTCCGCATACGGCAGTTGATGTTCGCACGACCGCCACACCGTCGGCTTCAGGTCGCCCCTCAAGATCCCGTCCTCGAAATCACACCTGAGTGTCCAACATACGATCAGACGATACGGTTGACATACGGTAATCAATTTGATTTGAATACAATTTGAATTTACTAAGATTTATTCCATGAAATGACATCAAATATCGAATGTAAATGGCATCAACTACGTTCGATAACATCAATGATAACAAACCCAATGAAATTGTGGAAACTGAAATGCAATTCGATCCTTGCAAAAATTTCGTTTACATGGCGTACAATTTTTCATTCCACGTTCTAGTGATGATTTCTACAGCCTTTTAAAAGCAATAACTATTTATTTCCAGGTTTTTAACGTTAATTTTAATATCGGATACCTCAGTATACAACATTAAAATAAGATTTTAACAGCAATAACTATTTATATTCGGGCTTTTAACGTTAATTTTAATATCGTATACAACATTAAAATGAGGAAATTAATTTCACTTGCAACAAGTTCAATTATAGTAGAGAATTCAATACATACCTGGAGGCGAGCTCCCACAGAACTAAACTGAAGGAATAAATGTCAGCCATTTTGAGGGTGTCGAAGCAGGTGATGTCAGCGTGGCCTGAGAGCAGCTCAGGCGCCATGTACCGCCGCGTGCCAACCCGCGGATGAGCGGAGCTGCCGAGGTCAACGCTTCTGTTCGAGCTGTTCAAAATAAAAACAGTTTCTAAAATGTTTCGAATTGATTCTAAAACAGGCAATTTCTAAAATAAAATAAAACAGATAATTTCTAAAATGTTTCTAAACAGTTTCTAAATGTTTCTAAAGCAGACAGTTTCTAAAATAAAATACAACATATAATTTCTAAATGTTTCTAAAGTTTCTAAATGTTTCTAAAACAGACAGTTTCTAAAATAAAATAAAACAGATAATTTCTAAAATGTTTCTAAACAGTTTCTAAAACAGAGAATTTCTAAAATAAAATAAAACAGACAGTTTCTAAAATGTTTCTAAACAGTTTCTAAATGTTTCTAAAACAGACAGTTTGTAAAATAAAGTAAAAACAGACAATTTATAAAATGTTTCTCAATAGTTTCTAAATGATTCTAAAATAGACAGTTTCTAAAATGAATATTTCGAGCATTCTAACATTCGAGTTTCTTCGTAACACCTATCAAACAAAATAAAACAATTAACATAATAAGCGTTTGTATCAACGTATTGGTAACTGAGGATACATAACAAGTTTATTACATTTTAGTGCATGAAAAAGCTCGACCGCAGCACCAGCACTGACCTGTTATATTTAACAGCAAGACCAAAGTCAGCAATGCAGCACTCGCCGTTCCTCTTCACGAGGATATTCTTGCTCTTGATGTCCCTGTGCGCGATGGCAGGCTTGCCTCTCGTGCCGAAAATTTCCGCATGTAAATGAGAAAGTCCAGCCGCCACCGAGTGCGCCATGCGGACTAATGCAGCCTGAGAAGCAAATGAAATTTAATTTAATCAAACCTCCAGGTATGTATTGAGTTCTACTATAATTTGACGTGTTTCTACAGAAAGTCATTTCCTCATTTTAATGTTGTTTAAGCTACATTATTCATGGTGGTCACCCAATAATTTTAGACACAATGACACGCGACATGAGTTTGAGCAGATCGAGAACTAGAATAATTTCACCATGCGATTCATGAACCAAAAAAGTAAATGATACACTATCATAGTTTATTTCAATTAAAAAAGCGCACAGTATATTATAAAAAACGTTCGACTAGGAATAAGAAGTAATTATTTACCTGAGTGATGGTGTTGAAAGAGAGAAATTGGAAGAGGGAGCCGTGCTCGTGGTAGTCGGTGATGAGCAACATCTGAGTCCAGGACCCAGTTCCTTTTATGTCCGCAGCCACAAAACCTGAGATGTATCAACAATTATTGTAACTTGTGTTTTCAACGGTACAATTTGAACTCAAGCGAGCTTTGGTTCTGAAATATTAAGTGGTAATTATATCAGTGAAACTTATCGCAACTTGTGTTTTCAATGGTATAACTTTAACTCAAATGAGCCTTTGTTCTGTGGAAATTACGGTATATCAATGAAACTTGCAAATCATCGGCATATATGAACAAAATGTCACTAAGGTTCAGTAATAAGACGAAATTCTCGAGAAAACATAATCTTATTCCAGGAATTAGATGGACGATTGTGCACTGCAAATATCACTGTTGATGCATCACAGAGACAAACAATTTTCTTTAAGAATCACCACGGTCATTAGCGATGGCTTACCAAGTATATTATCGTGACGCAGGAGAACAGTTTGGTATATTTCTGTTTCACGGAACCACGAAGCTTCGTCTGTCGTGAAGAAGATTTTTACGGCAACCTTTTCTCCCCGCCAGTGCCCCAGCCACACCTCCCCATAGCGGCCTTTACCAATGTTCTGCACCAACTGAATCTGTTTAGCTATTGTTCGCTGAACCTGCAACAAAAAAGCCGATTAATCACATATATTTACAAAATATACTCGTTTGAACGTAATGTGGTTCGAATCAAGCAATAATATTTTTTATTACTCCCTAATAATTTCTTTGAATTCGCACAGGCAAATAACTTTTTTAACTTTTATCCTCAGTAGCAATGGTTTACGTCAGGGAGGATTGTTTGTTATTGTTTTTATAACAACACACAAAGAAAACTTTGCGATGTGATTTTCATCCCGAGAAACTTATACAACACGAATTTTAAGCTCAATCTCTCATACCGATTTCGACACAAATTTTCAGTAAACTATATACAGAGGTTGTATTGCAACGTTATAAATTAACCGCAATTAAAAAAAATATAACTCAGTACTCACTGCACTGAGTGACAAGAGAGCGCATTTTCTCATCGACGACAACGTGGTCACGGACAGACAGACGGACGGACATGACGAGCACAATAGCGCCTTTTTTCCATAAATGAGAAAATGCGGTAAAAAAATTTCATTTACTAAAGTGTATGATAATATTGATTATATCTGCGAATGCTCACTAGCAAAGGCAGGCCGCTGCCGGATCCCGATGACTGTTCGATGAGGTCAGCCAGCGTCTCGTTGTTGCAGACAGGCTGCACCGAGCACGCCTGCTTGTAGCCTGGCGGTGGCATGCAGATGCGACGATATCTGCCGCCAACATGGAGTACACGTTAAACGCATTTTGAGAAGCATGAAGGGATCAGCGTAGAGGTACACATAATAACGATCAGCAATGATGCAGGTGGTTGTGATACACATACTACCGACCAGCAATGATGTAGGTGGTTGTGATACACATGCTGACGATAAGAAATTATATAGGTGGTAGTGATACACATACTAACGATCAGCCATGATGCACAGGCAGTAGTAACGACCAGCGTTTAGATCAAATAAAAGCAATGGTATACGAGTCAGTACATTTTAGAAGTATCAATGTGGGCACCTGAACCAGAGCGTCATGACGACTGCAAGCGTTGCGACGAAGGCGAGGGTGAGGGTGACGAATAGCATCGTCGACGAGAGACCCTCGATGCTGTCTCGGGGACTACGATTGGACGAGAGTGGGTTGTCCCACACGCTGGCTCCTCGTCTCTCTGTGCAATGATAACATGATTAGGCCGATAGTTCTAATTGCATACATCGTTTGTTTCATCACATGCTGCGAAATTTAAACATGGGGCCGTATACTATCAAGGAATTTAAAAGCAAAGAAAACGCCATGCAAATTCACCTTATCGATATTGAACTTTATCGATATAAAGCCTGGCGTTTACTTTGCTTTTAAATTCCTTGTGAACTTGCGATATAAGAAGACTGATAATTATATAAGTCTATTAAATTCCGGTACTATCAAAAATTGTTAATAGTTCGTAACAACGCTAGCTAAAAATTTACGTGATTTCCAAACTAATTCAGCGGCAAATAACGACAAAATCTCTTTTTAAAATTTAATTACAACTTAAGTAAATACTAAATGTATTCACCATAGTCAGCAGTGTCGCGGTCGTTGAGAATGGGTCTGAGTTCAGCGTTGCAACCGTCGTACTCGCGACAGCAGGAAATGTTCTTCGGGCGACTGTGCTTCACGAGGTATCCTCGACACTGTTTTGGCAAAATGCTCCTTGGTTAATGTTCTACCTTACATCTATAGTAAATACACGATTACAGATAAAAATTAGTAATTAGAGGTAAAATATATAAGGATCAATTCTGGGTAGCATCATCTTTAAGTATAGTTGAAATAACTTAATGTGTAATAATTATCTTTAGAAAAAATTTCCGCTACTCAAAATCATTCTTGGCTATCCTCAACTATCAACTCAACTTGACTATCCTCAAGTTTCACGATGAATTCTGACTTTGATTGAACAATAAATTAGGTGATAATTTGTGTTCTGTAGTCCTGAACACGCTCTAACCTGCATGAGGCCAGATTCGTCAGGACTAAGACATCCGAAGGTGCGGAACTCGTGGTACGTCTTCTGGTCCGGGAAATATAGAAGCTCAACAGCGCTGAAGCAATAAGAGTCGCTTGACACCATACATGTGCCATTGAATTGGTCTATGTCGGGACAGTTGTTCTCGCAGTAGCACTCCAGCGCCATACCTGTAAACAAGTGGATTTGCTTAATAAAAAGATGGAATACGCGCTTCTTAAATAGAAACAAAAATTAATAGAAGAAACGATCGGGGTTGGAAGACACGGCTAGAAGAATAATTCCCTTTAATCGATGCAATTTTATAGCTATAAAATAATCTACAAAGTTTCATCAATGAAAAAAAAATATTAAAATATACGTATAAATTTAATAAATAAATAACGCATAATAGTTCGCTGCCGAAACCGAATAAGAGGATCAACATAAACATAAAACTGGCATCTGCCAGAGTATCCACGAGTCCTCAAATAACAGCAAACGCAATACAATTCTCTGCACCGCCTAGGAACGCAGCAGACGTTCCACATAACATCATCGAGAATGTAGCGAACTGAAGACTACATCTGAGAAATCCACAAAATATATTTTAGTATGGTGTAGGTTCGTCCACCTTTTGCGGCAATTACAGCCTCAGTTCTCCCAGGTATTGATTCATATAAATTGTGAATAGTTGCCAAAGGAATTTTAACCCATTCTTCAGTTGAAAGTCCCTCCAGCTCTTTTAAAGACAATGCCGGCGGGAATTGACTTGTGAAGGGCATATCAAAAATTGACAATAAATGATAGATAATATTCAGGTTTGGTGATTGTGGCGGCCAAATAATATGCTCAACTTCATTAAAATGTTCCTCGTGACATTTTTTTTAAAATTCCATCAGTATGGATCAGGGCATTATTTTGAAAGGTGGCGTTCCCCTCCGGAAACAGTACTTGAGCCATTGGATGACATTGGTTCTCCAAAATTCCTAAATAGTTACGGCTATTGATTCTTCCATGCCGAGAAATCATTGGTCCGCCGGATTTTCAAGAAATATCACCCAGATAATCACAGATCTTCCACGTTTTATTTTACAGTTGGAAGGAGGCAGTCGGGATTAATTGCCCTTTATGACCGTCTCCAAACGTAAACTCGGCCAGAGGCTGGAAATTAGGTAAATGTTGATTCGTCGGAGAAAATCTCATTTTTTCACTACTCAAGGTACCAATTCTGGAGGTACACCACTCTAAACGCTTTGAAGAATTTGTATTTGAAACCAAAGGTTTCATAATTTCAGCTCTTCCATAGAATCTAGATCTGTGCAGCTCTCGGCGGACAGTCTTTATGGCAATTGGGTTCTGTAGGTGTCCATTGGAGTCTGTAGTAATTTAACAGTCGTAGTCTTTCGATTCTCCCTCACAATTCGATTTAGGTACCGACGGTCTTTCTCAGACAACTTAGGCTTTCGGCTAGACCTGTGCTTTGCTGAGAACGTTTTTCCTTATCTTTCAAAAGCAGTAATTACTTTTGAGAGAGTACCTCTAGAAACTTCAAGCATTCGGAAAATTTCTGTCACTCTAGCACCTGCCATACGGGCACCAACAATTTGGCCTCTCTGAAAGTCAAAAAGTTTTGCCATTTAGGTATGGGTTATATAGGTTAGGTTATTGACACAAAAAATTTACTAAAAATATCTGCGCAAGGATAAAATAACAATTATCTGCAACAATAAACAATGAAACCTAAAAATATGTAACATTTTCATTGTTTGTAACATGTTGAAAAATTACGATATCGAAATGTCAGGTGTTTCCCTTATTTTGTCAAACCCCTGTATGTGTTTCTAGGTCTACGCCGATTTGATTTTGGTTATAAATCCGGGAACGTCAAAGTCTCAGTTAAAATTAATACCTCTCAACATTTCTTTTAAAAATGCACACTTGCTGAATATGAAAGTCAAAATAAAGATTGGGCCGAAGACTGAGTTTTTCAGAAAATAAGCAAGACGAAGGATATATTTAGAGTTGCGAGATATACGGGGAGAAGAATATCAACAAAAACACAAACGAACTGCGTCATTTGGCAATTGAGAAGTCAACTATTAGAGCAAATAAAACTTATCAAAGTGTAGCTAAAGCATACTGCTCGGTCTGTGCTAGCTCCTGTTTTGATCGCGCAAAGTAATGTCTGAGAATTCAAGCAGCATCGCGCATAAATTAATGGGTATACACTGCATACGCTCAACGCCCCGAAAGCTAGGCCATAAGCTGAACAAGACCTGCATTGTCCACGGAAGCCGTAAACTTATTTCCGTGAAGCAGTTAAACCCGACGAAGATTTCTACAGCAACACGTCAGAACAACGATGCCCCTATCTTCCTCGTCATCTGGTGAGAAGCGAAGTGAGACCGACAGAAGGCCTCTTGAGATCTAAGTTTAGAAAGGATGGAAACCAAGACCACATGTTATAGCAGCTGTCTTTGCAGCACAATATGACTTGAGAAAGTTATTGGGACACGTCGAACACGCATTTCAACCGAGCATTCAGAACAAAAAAACTTAGAAAAAAATCATATAGAGCGCAGAATTAAAATTCATTTTCAAGCACCAATACTAGCCTAGACACATCTAGATTGTCAGCCAGCATGAGAGCAGCCGATAACTGTAATCATACGAATATAACAGTGAACAAGAGCCTTAGAATTAAGGTAACACAAATAATGACGGAGGAAGAAGTGAGTACAGAGCGCGCGCGGTGCATGACAACACAGCTCATGAAATAAAGAAAACCATAATGAATGAAACTTAGCCGATGTTTAGTAATCACGTCATAAGGTACTTAATTAATACGAGTTGATGCAATTAAAAAATTCGCTTTTACATCCTATAGCGCAGAATAACAGTTCTTCGTATTAAAAGCTATGAGCAGTTTAGGTAACAACAACACCGAGAAATTTAGGTGTCACTAAGTGGAATATTTGTTCACAATTCGAATTTTCAGCGCAGTTCACTCAATGATTGCAAATTATGAAGGAGCGAAGTGACCTCGTTTCACTTTGCATCAAATTAAATGCAAAACTCTTAACTTGGTGCAGTGCCCATTGGAACATAATAGAATATGAGACAACTCTGTCAGTACTCGAAAACAAAAGAGAAGCTCCAAACATTCCTATCATAGTACTATCAAGTATCAATATATATTAGATAAGGAAGCCTCCTTTGGCGTCTGAGATGAGTGGTAAGAACACGTCTGCTTTCGATTGTCTAAAGAATCGTTGCAAAATCGATAAAAACACTTTTTAGTAATCTATACTCCATTTTGTTTATAAAATATATAAACAATCTTGTTGATAGATTTTATTGACGACGCTACAAACTATTTTTGTACTTTCATTTTCATTCTAAACGTATTATAATATGTTTAATTTTTTAACATCTTATCATTATAAGTTCCCATAAACTATGCCGGAATATTTGAAAGGCTTTAAAGCGACGGCAAATAAGCAACAGATCAAAGCCATTACTACCCTGTATAACCAACACAAGCGCGGTGAGTGACGAGGTAAGTAAAAAGTGAGTGAAGACTGAAGATATGAAGAGGTGGCGGGGGAGCACAAAGAAGGGGCATGAGCTTGGCGCCTCACACATGCCTGATTGCCGGTGCCCGCCTCAACGGCGACGGCAGCGATGAGGTTGGCGGCATCGAGGCCGAGACTACAGCAGGTAAGACAGCGCTACATCACGACTAGTGTACCGATATCGTGGCGTAGTTAGGAGACTACGGCAGGTAAGAGCGCTATAGCACGACTAGTGTACCGATATCGTGGCGTAGTTAGGAGACTACGGCAGGTAAGACGGCGCTACACCACGACTAGTGGTACCGATATCGTGGCATAAGCGTTCCATCAATAAAGGAAATATTTGGGTAACTGATATTACAAAGAATAGCGTACCGATATCGTGGCGTAGTTAAGAAATATTTGGGAAACTGAAATTACTAAGGCTAGAATTCCAAATTCCAATATTGTGGCGTAGTTAAGAAATATTTAGGAAACTAAAATTAATAAGACTAGCCTTCTGATATCGTGGCGCAGTTGGGAAATATCTGGAAAACTGAAATTACTAAGACTAGCCCTCCGATATCATGGCGTTGCTAGGAAATATTTGGGGAAACTCACATTACTAAGACTAGCGTTCCATATCATGGCGCAGTTTAGACATAAACGGGGTGCCCAAATTTTGCGACACACGTGATTCGATGTTCAGCTCATTGCGTCATGGAGAAATCCAAGTGAATTCACGCTTATGTGAAGAAAATACCTACCAATGAGATGCAGGCATTCGTTCTCGTTCAGTGACTTTTTCGTAAACAGTTTGAAACTAAAAAAAAAAGAGTGCGTCATTGAGCCTTTATATAATCACGGCACTTTTCATCTGAGTCAATGAATGCTAAAGCTAAGTCGCCGTACTGACAGCAATCTATAAACATTGCTAACAATAGCATTTCAATCAACATACCGTATGCTGAATAAATTCAGGAGAACCATAGAGAGACATCTTTCATAATACAGTATTATCATTACTATAATAAGAAATACAGACACCTATCGAGTACATCAACTCTTACAGAGACCGGCAAAGGAAAATCGACAGGATAGAATATATTATAAATGCTATCAAACTGATTGGTGCAGATGACAATAGCAAGTAGGCAACTAAAATCATGAGTGTGACAGAGGGAGTGGATGCTGTGAAAGCTGTCAATTGCAGTGCACTAGGCAAATTTCTCAACTGTGTAAATAATAATCAATAATAATAATGAAATTGCTTGTGTTATAAAAGGTAACCTTTACACTTGATGAAGAATCCAAAGAATCAAATTTAAAAAATGATATAATTTATGAAGTGCAATATAAATACATTTCAGAATGAATGATAATTGTACTCAATAAATGAATAACAGTTATCCATTAATATGCTAAAAAAATAATTTATTGTTATATTGACTACCTCCAATGAAATTCTGACATAAATTTAAAAAATATAAATTGTCAAGTATATATTCAGTTTAAATTTAGCCAAGATTATGAGTATCAAATCCATTGGCAGTAATATCTTCAGCCAAATGGGAGCCCTGTTACAAAGTAGGAACATATATATATATATATACATAATAATTTTCAGCCAAATT